ACACCATTGGAATCGTATTTACGCCCACTGTTTACGTTTCCCATGCGTCATCAATGGGCCACGCGATGCATTCTGCTAGCTCAAAAACCCAACATTAGCATGAATTTCATTAACAAGAAGTACAACATTACAAATCTTTTCCGAGATGTGAGATAATTGACTTGTTATTAGTAATATCGTATGGCTTTAGAATCGTGACATGATGTACGTTCGAGGAAAATAGGCAGATTTATCAACTCATATACCCTGACTTTGAGAAGGGATTGCGTGACGATTAGCTTATTTCCCTCATTAAAATGCAAATCAATTTATAACATTTTTGACATGCGTTTTTCTGGATTTTTTTGTTGTTATTATGTCTCTCACTGTTCAAATAAACCTACCATTAAAATTATAGACTGATAATTTCTTTGTCAGTGGGCAAACGTACAAAATCAGCACGGGATCAAATACTTTTTTCCCTCACTGTAGCTAGGCTACACCAGAGATATTATAGAAAGTAGGAGATAGGAATCCCATTGGGCAATGAATGGAGAAACATATAACGGCCCACCCAGCAGACTGTCAACCAATCGCGTGCCAAAAAAATCCAGAAAAACGCATGTCAGAAATGTTATAAATTGATTTGCATTTTTATGAAGGAAATAAGTATTTGACCCCTCTCAATCAGAAAGATTTCTGGCTCCCAGGTGTCTTTTATACAGGTAACAAACTGAGACTAGGAGCACACTCTTAAAGGGAGTGCTCCTAATCTCAGCTTGTTACCTGTATAAAAGACACCTGTCCACAGAAGCAATCAATCAATCAGACCAAAGAGCTCTCCAAGGATGTCAGGGACAAGATTGTAGACCTACACAAGGCTGGAATGGGCTACAAGACCATCGCCAAGCAGCTTGGTGAGAAGGTGACAACAATTGGTGCGATTATTCGCAAATGGAAGAAACACAAAATAACTGTCAATCTCCCTCGGCCTGGGGCTCCATGCAAGATCTCACCTCGTGGAGTTGCAATGATCATGAGAACGGTGAGGAATCAGCCCAGAACTACACAGGAGGATCTTGTCAATGATCTCAAGGCAGCTGGGACCATAGTCACCAAGAAAACAATTGGTAACACACTACGCCGTGAAGGACTGAAATCCTGCAGCGCCCGCAAGGTCCCCCTGCTCAAGAAAGCACATATACAGGGCCGTCTGAAGTTTGCCAATGAACATCTGAATGATTCAGAGGAGAACTGGGTGAAAGTGTTGTGGTCAGATGAGACCAAAATCGAGCTCTTTGGCGTCAACTCAACTCGCCGTGTTTGGAGGAGGAGGAATGCTGCCTATGACCCCAAGAACACCATCCCCACCGTCAAACATGGAGGTGGAAACATTATGCTTTGGGGGTGTTTTTCTGCTAAGGGGACAGGACAACTTCACCGCATCAAAGGGACGATGGACAGGGCCATGTACTGTCAAATCTTGGGTGAGAACCTCCTTCCCTGAGCCAGCGCATTGAAAATGGGTCATGGATGGGTATTCCAGCATGACAATGACCCAAAACACATGGCCAATGCAACAAAGGAGTGGCTCAAGAAGAAGCACATTAAGGTCCTGGAGTGGCCTAGCCAGTCTCCAGACCTTAATCCCATAGAAAATCTGTGGAGGGAGCTGAAGGTTCGAGTTGCCAAACGTCAGGCTCGAAACCTTAATGACTTGGAGAAGATCTGCAAAGAGGAGTGGAACAAAATCCCTCCTGAGATGTGTGCAAACCTGGTGGCCAACTACAAGAAACGTCTGACCTCTGTGATTGCCAACAAGGGTTATGCCACCAAGTACTAAGTCATGTTTTGCAGAGGGGTCAAATACTTATTTCCCTCATTAAAATGCAAATCAATTTATAAAATTTTTGACAAGCGTTTTTCTGGATTTTTTTGTCGTTATTCTGTCTCTCACTGTTCAAATGTACATTACATTACATTTTAGTCATTTAGCAGACGCTCTTATCCAGAGCGACTTACAGTTAGTGAGTGCATACATTCTTTTTTTATTTTTCATACTGGCCCCCCATGGGAATCGAATCCACAACCTTGGCGCTGCAAACGCCATGCTCTACCAACTGAGCTACATCCCTGCCGGCCATTCCCTCCCCTACCCTGGACGACGCAGGGCCAATTGTGCGCCGCCCCATGGGTCTCCCGGTCGCGGCCGGCTACGACAGAGCCTGGATTCGAACCAGGATCCAAACCAGGATCTCTAGTGGCACAGCTAGCAACTGCGATGCAGTGCCTTAGACTACTGCGCCACTCGGGAGACACAAAACAAATAAACCTACCATTAAAATTATAGACTGATCATTTCTTTGTCAGTGAGCAAACATACAAAATCAGCAGGGGATCAAATACTTTTTTCCCCTCACTGTATATTATAATATGAATGACACTGCATGATAACGTTACTGTCCTTTTATATTCGTATGGGAGGGGTAAACGTTCATTATTGATATGCTAATGTAACTTGATCATGAAGCATGTTGTTAGCTAGCTAGCAGGAGTTAGCTGTGTATTGTCAGCTATGTAAATGTGTACGGACGAGAAAATAAAGCCTTTAATTGTCTGCACCTGCTGGTGAATTGTTGCATTATTCAATAGTGTAATATATTTTAGAAGAAAAGTTGCTCAGATTGATAAATAGTTTGTGCTTACTGTCATTCATTACATTACATTCTGTTATCCACAGTGTGACAGAATGGCATCATAGGAGAGATCAGGAAACTATCCCTGAGCCCCACTCCTGCTGGCACTTAAACAGTTTAGGCCTAAGTCAGTTAACCCATAGAGCAAAGCTGATCACCAGGTTAGTGAACTCCTGTCTGTCCTTAGCCGTCTGGTGGTTATAATTAATAGAGGAAGTTGAGTGTCATTGATTGATAATTGCGCCTATGATAGCCCTTTGAATCATTGTCATCAAGACAGACATTTTGGCCTTTTCTACAATCTCTTCTTAAAATCTGATTTTAAACCTAACCACACCGATAACCTTATGCCTAACCCTAACCTTAAATTAAGACATTTGTTTTCATGAATTTTTACGATATACATTTTTGACTTTCTGGCTATGGTAACTAGTGACAAGCGTTCAAAGAGAGTTTTGATTATAACTGATTTACCAAGAGACACTGTTCAAACCCAGGGGCTTAAAGCTTTAAATGAAAAGTCCCTTTACTCAAAGTAAAAGACTTATGAGAGAAATAGAAAGAGAGACATGACAAAGAAAGAAAGAGTGAGTGAGAGAGAGAGAGAAAACCTCCTGACACGCCACAAGGCCAGCACAGTGCAGGAAAACAGCCGTGGCTGCATGACTGACTGCTCTGCACACTGGAAATATGGCTGGTGATGCAGCTGTGGACCAATGAAAATATCACTAAGCCCTTCAACTTTCTTTCTGTCCCTCCCCATCTATCTCTCATGACTAGAGGTAATGAGGTTTCCAGTAATTACACAGAGACCAATCTCCTGGGTAGCATCTATATTGGAAAGAGAAGTGTATGGGAAGGCCGAGGCAAGTGCAACGCAGAGAATACCGGTGACTAAGGTTGTGGATGACCCATGATGCCTTGCGGGTTAGTGGATATTCAGTGGCTGGTTTTGTTGATCGTTATTTGATCAAAACCCTTCCAGTCGTACAAAAGTAGGATTTCAGTTAATTTACTGGTCCATTTAGTCCGGATATGGGCCGGCATTGACTGGCCTGCCTCAGTGTCACTATGATCCAGACAAGGTCAGTTCCAAAAGAGAAATCAAATACTGTATGAGCAGATCTATAGACCAAAAGGGATTTAAAAGAGCTGCAATAACTGCAACAGGATGCTTTAGCACGTTTACAGGAACACAGTGCAATTTTGTAATGCTATATTCTTTGATACTATGACTATAACTAATAATGCTGCTTTGCTGTGTTCCCCTTTCTGTGCCCTCCTGGTTTCTTACTGCGAGAGCCTCATGTTGCTGATGCAGGCAGTTTTCATCCAGCACCCAGGCACTTTATTCAGGTAGACAGAGAGAGGCTTTCAGGGTAGCAGAAATGTATGAAGTTCACTCAGTGTGCACAGTGAGTCATACTGCCCCTTAGAAAACGGGACACAGCAAGTCAAGTGCATGTCCCTCACGATGCCTTAGTGGTGTGGGTGGGTGGGTACACAGCCATGGTGATGAGGTAAGACACCATGTCTCACCCCCTTGCCCTCGCACATTCTCATAGGAACATCAGCAGTCAACCTAGATTAAAGTTTGTAATAGTAATATCAGCGTATGTAACCGGTTATGGCAGTGAGTGTATGTGGGCACTGGTACTAGGTCAGGGGTTGGGTGCATAGTACCTCTGTACGCCCTCAGAAGCCAGTGTTCATGGTTGTGATCAAGCAATTAGTGCTTGGCCATGTGAGGACTATAGAGGGCCAAGTGGGCATGAGTATTGACTGCTGACCGTCTCTCCCTCGCCCTCCGTCCCCCTCTCATCTGTGGTGTGAAAGGATGTCATTGTCCTCACTCCGCTCATCTGCACCAAAATATTAACTCCTCTCCACTCGTAACCCAAGCACGTGTTCCAGCAGCTAGCCCCTGTCTGCCTGCTAGTTTCTCTGTCTCTAACAATGCCTCTCTCATGCTCTCACAGTGGGACTGGACATTGAGGGGTATAAGACTGCTTTGCAGCCCAGGGGGAAAACACTACACACCATCTGCATGCAAATGGAAGCATCAGGTTATAAATGGATAATAGATTGTGTATAACACTGATGTCAGAATGTGTCCAGCTACCATAATACTTATCAAATAGCTGCACTGTTCCACATGAACAAATAAGAAGCACATCAACAAATAAGAAGCAGCAGTAGCTCCCCTGGCTGCCAACCACCTCGTAGGGGCAGGGCTGAAGTGACATTTCACCCTAGAGGAATCCTTTACATGTCACTAGCTACCCACATAACCTTTTAGAGCCTGTGTGTGAGAGAATGTGTGGATTAGGAGGCAAACACACAGACACAGATCAGTGAGGCAGCATCCACCTTAAACACACACAGGAGAGCAGGAGTCAACATATCAGGGAGATTCGTTTTCAAAAAGGGCCCTCACTTCTGGCACAGTAATGTTTTTAACTCTGGGAGAGCATCCCTATAGGTTAGGACTGCTTTCAACTGCTCCATGGGTTGTTTTTGCACCATGAAACAACAATTAAGTTGTGTTTCTCTTGGACAAGGGCGGGGGATGTGTTTGTTTTAGGAAATGTGATTTCTCTGATAACTTATTATTTTTGGTCAATATGGGAGAATGTATTGAAGAACTGTCTGCATCCTACATTTTAGATTTTAGTCATTTAGCAGACACTTATCCAGAGCTACTTACAGGATCAATTAGGGTTAAGTGCCTTGCTCAAGGGCACGTCGACAGATTCCCCCCCCCCCCCCCTAGTTGGCTCAGGATTCGAACCAGCGACCTTTCGGTTACTGGCTCAATGCTCTTAACAGCTAGGCATACTGCACACTTATGGAAATGTAATGTTATAGGAGGGGATTCTGTGCAGTAATTTTTCCTTTCCTTTTCCCAAACTCAATTTCAGGTATATCAGCAAATCAATACACCTGAGACTTGTTACTTACCAACTCATCTAAGTTTCTCATGTCACACAGCACCCTCTGTTTCTGTTGCCAATGTGCATAGGGGGCAGGCTCGGGTTTATCCACCACACTCTCTTTCCTAACGAAAGCCCTGCTTATTGGAAGCAGGCTTGGGTTGGGCTCCCCCAGGTTCTCCTGGTCCCGGATCTCCTCCTCGATCTCCTCCTCCAGCTGGATCAGCATCGGGGCCAGCATGCCGAACTTGGCGCCGCGCCTCGCCACCTCCAGCAGGCACAGCACAAAGTTCTTCTCGTTGCATTTCTCCACTATGTCGTTGGTCTCGAACATGAGAACATCCTTGATCCACAGTTCCTGACGACACCAGCCGATGAAATTGGACACGTTGTCCCGAGCCAAAAACGACCCAGGAACCACGTTTCTCGACTGAAAGACCACATCCTTGGTTGGCATCCTCAATGACTGTGCAGCCTCCGGGCACTCCAGTTGAAAGTCCAGCGCTGCGCGATTCACGTTGTTGGCATGCCGACAGAGGGCACAGCCAGTCTCCAGCCCTTCCATAAAGGTGTCCGCCGTTATATCCAGTTCATACAGTGTGTTAAACCACTCCGCCAGGTCCTCCTTCATGGCATACAGGTATTCCTCGCTGGATTTGAATGGCCGGATGCTTTTGGAAGCAGCAGACTGGATGTTACTCTGATCAGCCATATTGTCGAAATATGTATCAATGCAGGCTACTTAATAATTCCAGGTTGTCTCATTGCATAAGCGCACTCCAAAACCGTATGGAGCAGAGCAAAATAACCGCGTCGACGCACCCATGACAAGCGCGCATATAAGGTATCTCAATCGAGGTCCTTGAAGGAATCCTTTGTATTGTTAAAGCATATTGACATCATGCTAGGAAACCGTGGCGCCTGGATGCGTTTCCGGATGTCTGCGTGATACCCGTTTCCTATGATGATAGCATCGCTATTTCTCACAGAGTTCCAACTGCGGGAGAGAGAGAAACCGGTATGGTTAGTTACAGATGGATACACACCCAATGCATAAATCTTCCCGGTACCCTAGATCCTACACCGGTGAATATACAATGCGTTGCGATAGTCATGTTGCTGGTTTGCCTGGAAGGTCCAAATCACTTATTCGCATTCTCCCTCAATAGAAAGACTCTCCACACTGACCAGTGGCAGGCTTCACAGTTCACTTGCCGTGTAACATCGTCCCCCGCTCATTAATTGCTCGGCCCATATTGCACCGCCTCCTGCTATAAACATGCTGACAGGCTCTAGCTTAGACAAGAGAGAGAGGCAGAGCGATTCAGTGGCATATCCCATTATGAGGGATAAGCGCCGGTAGAAGGGGGAAAAACTTAACCCTGTATCCACCGCCTGACAATAATATAACATAGCCTAGGGTTTATACCAGTGAAAAATGGTAGCCATTCTTTCTGAATCAAACGCACCTATTGCGTAGGCTATATCCTTCAATTGCAGAGCTGACAATTGACAATCTTTGTCACACTGTAACATGCAGATGCGCATTGAGCTGGATATGGTTGATGGCACATCAGCTGTGGGCATTTAAGATCAAGTAGGTTGTTAGGCTACAAAGGCCTACATTATTACCTGCAGTAGCCTAGCCTATAATAATCTAATATCAGCTCGTGAAGTCAGTGGTCTGATAAAAGGGTGGAACGCATGTTTACATTAGGCTACAGCTATTATTACAGAAGATAAAGAACAGAGGTGTTCACATGGTGAGAAAAAACATGACATCCTGAAAATTAACCGACCACGGGTAAGCGACCATGGTCTTTAAATGCACATCATAAGCCGTCAAAGAAAATACCATCATTATACTAGCTTGACAATAGGCTATTTCAATGGCGCAATGACCACACTGTGTGGATAATGTACATGACCAAGATTGACTAAATGAAACAACTCCGTTCTCATAAAGCAATGAATAGAAACATTTTAATTCTTTACATACCTTTGACAAGTCTGAATTTTCTGTCAAGGACGGCGTTTGTCGATGAAAGTAAAACAACTCGAAACCATCCCCCCGAACAAAAGCAGTAATATTGCCTACACTTTGAACGAGTTCAAAAGTGTATCATTAATGACACCCTCACCCTTTGCCCTTACACTTGTTTTTGTCATTGTCTTCAACACCAAATCACTTTCAACCCACGACACGGGGCAAGAAAAAAATGGGAGGCGAGTCTATTTCCTCCGGCTTGAGAAGGCAGACAAAAACGGCCAAGGAAACATTATTAGCAAGTCATCAGGTAGCCCACGTCCGAAGACTGCATCAAATTCAGGCATGCCTATTTTACCATAGGACAAATTGGTCCAAATTAGTATCCAGATTACTCCAAAGGAAGCATAAATTAGTATTACAATGTAACAAACAAGAAAAGGCTACAATGTAGCCTTCAAAGATTAGCAACAGTTAGGCTACTAACTCCACTTCAGTTTGCTGCGCCTGTGGCTGAGAGATCTTTGGCGGGAGGCGAAAGGAATTCTGTTTAGGCGGATTGTGTTCGGCTAATTATTTTTGCTGTGGTGCATTATGTAGAATTGAAAGCTGAATGTAAAACCGGGTGAGGAGGAGAAAGCAGTGTAAGGGAACTCCTCTCTACCAGTGATGTAATCCGTCCCTTAGACGAGCATGTGCATTAAGCATTCTGGGGAAATCAGTTAGATACACTATATATACAAAAGTATGTGGACACCCCTTCAAATTAGTGGATTCGGCTATTTCAACCACAACGTTGCTGACAGGTGTATAAAATCGAGCACACCGCCATGCAATCTCCATAGTCAAACATTGGCCGTAGAATGGCCTTACTGAAGAGCTCAGTGACTTTCAACGTGGCACCATCACAGAATGCCACCTTTCCAACAAGTCAGTTCTTCAAATTTCTGTCCTGCTATTGTGAAGTGGAAACGTCTAGGAGCAACAACGGCTCAGCCTCGAAGTGGTAGGCCACATAAGCTCATAGAAAGGGACTGCTGAAGCGCGTAAAAATTGTCTGTCCTCGGTTGCAACACTCACTACTGAGTTCCAAACTGCCTCTGGAAGCAACATCAACACAATAACTGTTCGTCGGGAAATGGGTTTCCATGGCTGAGCAGCCACACACAATCCTAAGATCACCATGCGCAATGCCAAGCGTTGGCTGAAGTGGTGTAAAGCTCGCCGCCTTTGGACTCTGGAGCAGTGCAAACTCGTTCTCGGGAGTGATGAATCACATTTCACCATCTGGCAGTCCGACGGACAAATTTGGGTTTGGGGGAGAACGCTACTTGCTCCAATGTATAGTGCCAACTGTAAAGTTTGGTGGAGGAATAATGGTTTGGGGCTGTTTTTCATGGTTTGCTCTAGGCCCCTTAGTTCCAGTGAAGGGAAATCTTAACTCTACAGCATACAATGACATTCTAGACGATTCTGTGCTTCCAACTTTGTGGCAATAGTTTGCGGAAGGCCCTTTCCTGACAATGCCCCTGTGCACAAAGCGAGGTCCATACAGTAATGGATTGTCGAGATCGGTGTGGAAGAACTTGACTGGCCTGCACAGAGCCTTGACCTCAACCCCATTGAGCACTTTTGGAATGAATTGGAACGCAGACTGTGAGCCAGGCCTAATCACCCAACATCTGTGCCCGACCTCGATTAATGCTTGTGGCTGAATGGAAGCAAGTCCCCGCAGCAATGTTCCAACATCTAGCAGAAAGCCTTCCCAGAAGAGTGGAGGCGGTTATAGCAACAAAGGGGGGACCAACTCCATATTAATGCCCATGATTTTGGAATGAGATGTTTGACGAGCAGGTGTCCACATACTTTTGGTCAAGTAGTGTAATCCTCATTTACATTTTAGTGATTTAGCAGACGCTCTTATCCAGAGCGACTTACAGTTAGTGAGTGCATACATTTTTCATACTGGCCCCCCGTGGGAATCGAACCCACAACCATGGCGTTGCAAGCGCCATGCTCCACCAACTGATGGGTCAGACAAAGTGTCAGGGCATGTCGAAAAAGTTCCTTACCAAGTTACACCTCAATATAGGAGACCTATAGTACAGGTCACTCTTTGTCAAAATGAAATAAGCCTAGTAGTTACACTTTCAGATACCTAACCTGTTTATATTCTAACTTGATTTCTGATTCCCACTGGCAATTCCAGTTCACAGGCAGGGCCAGACAAGCACTGTCTGTGAAACAACAGCTGCACCATTCTTGGCTCTGCACATGCTGCTCTGCGATTATTTGAATTTCAGTATGGAAAAAGGAGGGCCTTGTTTTGATTTGAAAAATACAGTTGTTTCTTTAAGAGAGAGAGGGTGGCAGAGGGAGGGAGAAAGAGAGACTGGTGGGATGAGATCATTTTCTGGGCCGGGATGAATCAGCTTTTCTGTGTGACACAGACACAACTCACACACAGTGTTCAATTCCCCAGCATGAGCAACTGGCTTCAGGCCTCAGAGAGAACTCTCGTCAGCTGTGACCGGATTTCACCGCCACACAAAACACTGGGCTTTGCTCTTTAACTGGAAATTAGACATTTGAGAAGTTAGGGCTGGAGCATTTAGCACATTCACATTTCACTGGATGACCAGGACACTATACAACAAAGTACAATGAATGCACCCTGTCTGTGATGTCAAAAGTGATTGCAGGTATACAAACAGACTGGATTATAAAGAGCTGACCTAACTTGTACATTTAAACAAAGCTCATCAACTCATTCTCATTGGGAAGAGAAGAGTGATTATCAAAAGGGCTCAGAGAATGTCTGGACATATGCTGAACAGATGCATTAAGAAATGTGGTATAAGTCACAGCCAGGGGCGGCTGACATCTGTGGTTAATAACTTCCATTGCCTCTTGATTGGGAGGCTTCTCAAATTATGAAAATAACTTGCAAAAACATCAAGGCAATTCTGGAAAAAAGCAAAGCCTGAAGGCAGTTGATGTCTATTCTCACTGGCAAATGTGCAATTTAGTTGTCAGTCATTTGACCAAGTACTATGGAAAGCCTCTTCATTCACTAGTCATTATACAGTGCATTCGGAAAGTATTCAGACCCCTTGACTTTTTCCACTTTGTTACGTTACAGCCTTATTCTAAAATTGATTAAACTGTTTTTTCATCAATCTACACACAATACCCTATAATGACAAAGCAAAAACAGTTTTTTTTAGAAATTTTAGCGAATGTATATATAAAAAAGTAATAAATACATTTACATAAGTATTCAGACCCTTTACTCAGTACTTTGTTGAAGCACCGTTGGCAGCGATTACAGAGGAACTCTGGCACTCTGTCAGTGACCATAGGGTTCTTGGTCACCTCCCTGACCAAGGCTCTTCTCCCCTGATTGCTCAGTTTGGCCGGGTGGCCAGCTCTAGGAAGAGTTTTGGTGGTTCCAAACTTCTTCCATTTAAGAATGATGGAGGCCAGTGTTCTTGGGGACCTTCAATGCTGCAGACATTTTTTGGTACCCTTCCCCAGATCTGTGCCTCAACACAATCCTGTCTCGGAGCTCTATGGACAATTCCTTTGACCTCATGGCTTGGTTTTTGCTCTGACATGTAGTCAACTGTGGGATCATGTCCAATCAATTGAATGTACCACAGGTGGACTCCAATCAAGTTGAAGAAACATCAAGAACGGTCAATGGAAACAGGATGGACCTGAGCTCAATTTCAAGTCTCATACCAATGGGTCTGAATATTTATGTAAATAAAGGTTTATTTCTTATAAATTTGCACAATTTTCTAAAAACCTGTTTTCACATTGTCATTATGGCGTATTGGTTTTGTATGTAGATAGGTTTTTTTATTTATTTAATACATTTTAGAATAAGGCTGTAATGTAATAAAAATGTGGAGAATGGGGTCTGAATACTTTCCGAATGCACTGTATATGATTACAAATGCAACATGAAGAGAATGTCACAGACCACAGTTACAGTGGGGGGAAAAAAGTATTTAGTCAGCCACCAATTGTGCAAGTTCTCCCACTTAAAAAGATGAGAGGCCTGTAATATTCATCATAGGTACACGTCAACTATGACAGACAAAATGAGAAAAAAAAATCCAGAAAATCACATTGTAGGATTTTTAATGAATTTATTTGCAAATTATGGTGGAAAATAAGTATTTGGTCAATAACAAAAGTTTCTCAATACTTTGTTATATACCCTTTGTTGGCAATGACACAGGTCAAACGTTTTCTGTAAGTCTTCACAAGGTTTTCACACACTTGCTGGTATTTTGGCCCATTCCTCCATGCAGATCTCCTCTAGAGCAGTGATGTTTTTGGGCAACACGGACTTTCAACTCCCTCCAAAGATTTTCTATGGGGTTGAGATCTGGAGACTGGCTAGGCCACTCCAGGACCTTGAAATGCTTCTTACAAAGCCACTCCTTCGTTGCCCGGGCGGTGTGTTTGGGATCATTGTCATGCTGAAAGACCCAGCCACGTTTCATCTTCAATGCCCTTGCTGATGGAAGGAGGTTTTCACTCAAAATCTCACGATACATGGCCCCATTCATTCTTTCCTTTACATGGATCAGTCGACCTGGTCCCTTTGCAGAAAAACAGCCCCAAAGCATGAGGTTTCCACCCCCATGCTTCACAGTAGGTATGCTGTTCTTTGGATGCAACTCAGCATTCTTTGTCCTCCAAACACGACGCGTTGAGTTTTTACCAAAAAGTTATATTTTGGGTTCATCTGACCATATGACATTCTCCCAATCCTCTTCTGGATCATCCAAATGCACTCTAGCAAACTTCAGACGGGCCTGGACATGTACTGGCTTAAGCAGGGGGACACGTCTGGCACTGCAGGATTAGAGTCCCTGGCGGCGTAGTGTGTTACTGATGGTAGGCTTTGTTACTTTGGTCCCAGCTCTCTGCAGGTCATTCACTAGGTCCCCCACGTGTGGTTCTGGGATTTTTGCTCACCGTTCTTGTGATCATTTTGACCCCACGGGGTGAGATCTTGCGTGGAGCCCCAGATCGAGGGAGATTATCAGTGGTCTTGTATGTCTTCCATTTCCTAATAATTGCTCCCACAGTTGATTTCTTCAAACCAAGCTGCTTACCTATTGCAGATTCAGTCTTCCCAGCCTGGTGCAGGTCTACAATTTTGTTTCTGGTGTCCTTTGACAGCTCTTTGGTCTTGGCCATAGTGGAGTTTGGAGTGTGACTGTTTGAGGTTGTGGACAGGTGTCTTTTATACTGATAACAAGTTCAAACAGGTGCCATTAATACAGGTAACGAGTGGAGGACAGAGGAGCCTCTTAAAGAAGAAGTTACAGGTCTGTGAGAGCCAGAAATCTTGCTTGTTTGTAGGTGACCAAATACTTATTTTCCACCATAATTTGCAAATAAATTCATTAAAAATCCTACAATGTGATTTTCTGGAAAAAATTCTCAATTTGTCTGTCATAGTTGACATGTAACTATGATGAAAATTACAGGCCTCATCTTTTTAAGTGGGAGAACTTGCACAATTGGTGGCTGACTAAATAGCTTTTTCCCCCACTGTATATTATCCTTTGGGGCTTAGAGAAGTCCTCTAAATAAGGCAGGTTTAGTCATGCTCTGATAAGACACTATATCCAATTTGTAAGTCGCTCTGGATAAGAGCGTCTGCTAAATGACGTAAATGTATATCTTCAGCAAAGTTGTTGGGAAAATAGATGCATCTATCATGCTGGTATTGTTGCAAAGCTGCAGACTTCAATGCCTCCTTGTGGACAACTCATTAAGAGAAACCTGCTGAAGGCGCAGAGCTGTCAAACACCGTATAATTCCTAGTTTTCCTACCATTCAAGAACCGCGTTGAAAATCTAAAGGCAAATAGTTAATCAATCATGATGCCTCATAACAGCAATGGATCTGAACATCTCTTAGCATCAAATCGGAGTGGAAATTTTATTTTCAAAATTGATCATTACACAACTGTGGGAAGGAGAAGCAATTACAATTTTAAAAGAAACGTGTCATGTTTTACAATACACTGTCCAAAAATCAGTCTGTACATCTAAGAAATGCAAAAATAAACTTGCACAAGTCAATAAATGAACCAAGGGTAAACAAAACTAAAAAACATAAAACGTTTAACTACGACTTGAATGAAACTGCACCAGAGTATTTCAAAAGCAGTTCTATAACCATTTATAATATGGAATCATAAATTAAAAATTTCATTTAAAAAAATCAAATCCTGCATCAGAGCGAACATTTTAATTGCTTTCTTTCAGTAGGGTCGGTCTCTGCGTTCCTGGCGATGGTCCCTATGAGAGGAAAAACAGTAATTTAGTGTCTAACGAACATACATTAAGTAAGCAAATAATATTTGAGTATGATGAAAGCAGTCCAACATATCCCCTTACCTCATATCCATCTTGCCTGGGGGCCCTCCCATTCCTCCTCTCCCCATTCCTCTTCCTCTGTCCATCGGTGGTCCTCCCCTGCTACCCCCTCGGAATCCCCCTCGGTCCATTCCACCACGCCCTCTGAAGCCACCGCCACGATCACCTCCCCATCCTCCACGGAAGCCTCCAGGACCACCGGGCCCTCCTGGTCCGCCACGGTCCATCCCTCTGCCCCCACGCATCCCCATGCCACCCCTGCCTCGCTCACCACCTGAACAAAACCACACAAGGCCCAGTTAAGCTTGCCACCACAGACTATTGTAGACATACATCATATGCTACAGTGTAGATCGCTGTGATATAATTTGGGCTGCTGGTAATGATAGTACCAGGAAAGTCCAAACGTCAAAGACTACTTTGAACTTCATATCATGGAGTACTTCACAGGGAGGGAAACACAAGTGGCATTCCAAGTGAACACAGAACATTCCCCTCCAATGCCAAAGCTTTCCATTACAGTAAGCCGACTGCTGCACATGGATGATTTCATGTTTCCCCCAGAGTTGACACTAATCAAGTACAACCGCTAAGCATGGACCCCGAAGTCAAGGTGATAAACCTGTTTGTTTGATTTGGCTGTTTACATTTCAAGCATTAAAATATGTGAAATAGGGAAGGTAAATCAGCCCTTGTTGCTCAAATAACACTTTGTTATAATGATTCCTGTCTAGAGTTATGAACCAGGCCCTGATAATAGTGCTGCTGTGCCGGTGAGAGCCATACCTGAAGGGGGCCCAAAGCCCTCTGGTTTGGGAGCTTTGCACTGGTTACACTCCATCCTCCAGGAAAAGTTCTGGTTGCCACAGCCCCTGAGAAGGACAACCATTCAGTCAGTACGTGTTACACACAAAAAAAACGGGAAAGTTAATTTTTAAAAGGGGAAAGGGAAAACCCTTTTTCTTGAGAGGTACTTACTGGCTGGGGCACTCCCAGTCTCCAGCTCTCTGCTGTATGTTGCCACCTGGGCCCCCTGGCCCACCTCTGCCCATGCCACGTGGTCCCCCTCGTGGGACAAAACCTCCACGCTCTCCTCCACGGCCCATCATGCCTAATAACACACACACCAGCGGTTGTTTCAATATTTCACTTCATGGTCATGGCAATGTCGGACAACTTATACTTTCTTGTTCAAAATTGAAAATGTAAGTCTCACAAAGAAACAGTTGTACATTTACCTCCAGGTCCTCCACGGCCCATCATGTCACCCCTCATGGGCATGCCCCCTCTCATCCCACCCATCATGGGCTTACGGCGAGCCATGGACACCTTCAGCCTCTTGCCCTGGTACTCTTTCCCTGTGGAGATCATGAACAGAAGGAAACAGGAATAAATAGAAATGGAGAGAGAAATGAGTTACTGGTCATTTCTTGTATTCTAAAGTGCATTTATGCATTAATCTGGACAGTTCAAGGGTAGCATCAGAGAGTAGGCTGATGCAGGTTTAAAAGGGCGAGTGACACCAACCATCAAAGAACTCCACAGCAGCTTTGGCACAGAGGGGCTCCTCGTAGGACAGAGTGGCGTCTCCCTTAGGCTTCCCGGAATCATTGTCTGTGTAGATGTTGATGGCAGGCTTGCCCAACCTCCGGTTCATCTGAACAATAACAGGAATTAAAAATCACTCAAAGGTCAAACTACCACACTGTTGACAGCTATATGCAGTTGCCAATTTTTGATAGCATTTCTAAAACTGTTCAAACCTCCAATTAAATGAGAATACAAGAGATTAGCACTGGCCCTAAATAAAAGCATTATTTGGGAAAGACTAAAGGAATGCAGTGTTTCCCCTATTTATTTATGCCGTGGTGGAAACGGTCGCAAAAGGGGTTGAATCTGTCCGGAATTGGCAGCAGAGAAAAAAAGTGTGCTGTTACTCAGACAATTTCCTGCAATTCTATACATTTTTCCATGGAGCTGAGAGAATTTTGTAGTGTGAAAGCTAATTTCCTGCAATTCTACGCATTTTGCTTAAATATTATAACATCAAATGGGGACCCCAAATCAGGGCCCCTGGGCATGTACCTTGCGTCAGTAATCCAGACATGCCCAAAATAATCCTAAATTCATTTTTTTCTGAAATTTTTGCTTCTCCCTGGCTGTCTTTTATTTTGATGATTTCTATTTTTATTTTTTTTAATTAATAAAAGAATTCATACATATATACACTGCTCAAAAAAATTAAGGGAACACTAAAATAACACATCCTAGATATGAATGAATGAAATAATCTTATTAAATACTTTTTTCTTTACATAGTTGAATGTGCTGACAAAAATCACAATTATCAATGGAAATCAAATGTATCAACCCATGGAGGTCTGGATTTGGAGTCACCCTCAAAATTAAAGTGGAAAACCACACTACAGGCTGATCCAACTTTGATGTAATGTCCTTAAAACAAGTCAAAATGAGGCTCAGTAGTGTGTGTGGCCTCCACGTGTCTGTATGACCTCCCTACAACGCCTGGGCATGCTCCTGATGAGCCCTACAACTCCTGGACAGTCTGTGGTGCAACGTGGCGTTGGTGGATGGAGCGAGACATGTCCCAGATGTGCTCAATTGGATTCAGGTCTGGGGAACGGGCGGGCCAGTCCATAGCATCAATGCCTTCCTCTTGCAGGAACTGCTGACACACTCCAGCCACATGAGGTCTAGCATTGTCTTGCATTAGGAGGAACCCAGGGCCAACCGCACCAGCATATGGTCTCACAAGGGGTCTGAGGATCTCATCTCGGTACCTAATGGCAGTCAGGCTACCTCTGGCGAGCACATGGAGGGCTGTGCGGCCCCCCAAAGAAATGCCACCCCACACCATGACTGACCCACCGATGCTGGAGGATGTTGCAGGCAGCAGAACGTTCTCCACGGCGTCTCCAGACTCTGTCACGTGTGCTCAGTGTGAACCTGTTTCATCTGTGAAGAGTACAGGGCGCCAGTGGCGAATTTGCCAATCCTGGTGTTCTCTGGCAAATGCCAAACATCCTGCACGGTGTTGGGCTGTAAGCACAACCCCCACCTGTGGACGTCAGGCCCTCATACCACCCTCATGGAGTCTGTTTCTGACTGTTTGAGCAGACACATGCACATTTGTGGCCTGCTGGAGGTCATTTTGCAGGGCTCTGTCAGTGCTCCTCCTGCTCCTCCTTGCACAAAGGCGGAGGTAGCGGTCCTGCTGCTGGGTTGTTGCCCTCCTACGGCCTCCTCCACGTCTCCTGATGTACTGGCCTGTCTCCTGGTAGCGCCTCCATGCTCTGGACACTACGCTGACAGACACAGCAAACCTTGCCACAGCTCGCATTGATGTGCCATCCTGGATGAGCTGCACTACCTGAGCCACTTGTGTGGGTTGTAGACTCCATCTCATGCTACCACTAGAGTGAAAGCACCGCCAGCATTCAAAAGTGACCAAAACATCAGCCAGGAAGCATAGGAACTGAGAAGTGGTCTGTGGTCACCACCTGCAGAACCACTCCTTTATTGGGGGTGTCTTGCTAATTGCCTATAATTTCCACCTGTTGTCTATTCCATTTGCACAACAGCATGTGAAATGTATTGTCAATCAGTGTTGCTTCCTAAGTGGACAGTTTGATTTCACAGAAGTGTGATTGACTTGGAGTTACATTGTGTTGTTTAAGTGTTCCCTTTATTTTTTTGAGCAATATATATATATATATATATATATATATATATATATATATATATATATATACATACACACACAATACCTGTCAAACGTTTGGACACACCTACAGATTCAAGGGTTTTTCTTTCTTTTTACATTGTAGAATAACAGGGAAGACCAAAACTATGAAATAACACATATGGAATAATGTAGTAACCAAAAACTATTAAATCAAAATATATTTTATATTTGAGATTCTTCAAATAGCCACCCGCTGCACACTCTAGGAATTCTCTCAACCAGCTTCATGAGGTAGTTACCTGGAATGCATTTCAATTAACTGGTGTGCCTTAAAAAGTTAATTTGTGGAATTTCTTTCCTTCTTAATGCGTTTGAGCCAATCAGTTGTATTGTGTATACAGAAGATGGTATATTACCAAATAGGGCTAAGTCCATATTATGGCAAGAACAGTTCAAATAAGCAAAGAGAAACGACAGTCCATTACTTTAAGACATGAAGGTCAGTCAATACGGAACATTAAGAGTGCAGTCGCGAAAACCATCCAGCGCTATGATGAAACTGGCTCTCACAGCCACAGGAATGGAAGACCCAGAGTTACCTCTACTGCAGAGGATACATTTATTAGTTAGCAGCCTCAGAAATTGCAGCCCAAATAAATGCTTCAGAGTTCAAGCCACAGACACATCAACTTCAACTGTTCAGAGGGGACTGCGTGAATCAGGCCTTCATGGTCAAATTGCTGCAAAGAAACCACACCAATAAGAAAAAGAGACCTGCATGGGCCAAGAAACACAAGCAATGGACATTAGACCGGTGGGCATTTGTCCTTTGGTCTGATGAGTCCAAATTAGATTTTTGGTTCCAACCTCTGTGTCTTTGTAAGATGCAGTGTGGGTGAACGGATGATCTCCGCATGTGTAAAGCATTGCGGAGGTGTTATGGTGTGGGGGTGCTTTGCTGGTGACACTGTCTGTGATTTATTTAGAATTCAAGGCACACAACCAGCATGGCTACCACAGCGATACGCCATCCCATCTGGTTTGGGCTTATTGGGACTATAATTTATTTTTCAACAGGACAATGAGAATGCCAAGAGTGTGCAAAGCTGTCATCAAGGTAAAGGGTGGCTATTTGAAGAATCTCAAATATATTTTGATTTGTTTAGCACTTTTTTGGTTACTACATGTTTCCATAGGTGTTATTTCAGGTGTGATGTCTTCACTATTATTCTACAATGTAGAAAATAGTACAAATAAAGAAAAACCCTTGAGTAGGTGTCCAAACTTTTGACTGGTTGTGTGTGTGTATATAAACAAGTGTATTATCTTTTCTACATACATTGTCTGGGTTTCGTCATTGTAGTTTACACCAGAGTGGTTTTCCATACCAAATTATTACTTTTTAAATGAAAAAATGTGGGTGTGGTTTTCATTTATTAGGATCCCCATTAGCCGACAGCTAGTCTTACTGGGGTCTGAACACAAAAAATGACATTACAGACAAAAGACTTCACATATGTTTAAAAACATGAACATGTAGTGTGCATACTGTACACATACAGTACGTCAGTACATACACACAAGTATGGGGGAGAGGCGTTGTGCCGTGATGTGTTGCTCTATTTGTTTTTTGAAACCAGGTTTGCTGTTTCCTAGCGCTATATAAGATGGAAGGGAGTTCCATGCACTCATGGCTCTGTATAATACGATACATTTCCTTGAATTTGTTCTGGACCTGGGGACTGTGAAAAGAACCCTGGTGGCATGTCTGGTGGGGTAAGTGTGTGTAAGTTGACTATGCAAACAATTTGGAATTTTAAAAACAAATGTTTGTGGCAAGAATTTAGCAGTTGCGGTGCACCGCTGCTAGATGAATACAGTGGAAACACTGGAATGCATTAGACCTAATACAGGTTTAAATTATTTAGTTTCAGAGCATATCCTCACCCTTATAGGTCCAGGGTGTTTGAAGAAAATCGCCATCTCCTCCAGAGTTGCGCTTTCCGTGAGTCCTGTGATGTAGATGGTGCTGTTCTCAGAGTCATCCTGCTCCTCAGGGCGCCCTGAACAGAAATAACTACTGTTAAAAACAAGCCTGAACACAGCCATTACACTGTCATGTCAGATTCATAGCATAATCCATTAGGCGAAGCCACTTCAAGATCAATGCAACAAAATGATTTCAGGTGGATGCAATACTGCCAAATCAGTAAGATAAATGCTGAAAGGTTCTGTGATGGTCAGTTAGTGTCTACTTACCCATGTCACGCTCCGCCCCATTGTTCATGGGTCCTGTTGTCAATTAGGCAAGGGAGAGAAAAAGGCAAAGAAAAGTCAGTTTGTGCCACTCAAGTCCACTGCTGAAGAGAATTTGAAGTGATAACCCAGACACACTCCTCCAAAACACAGGTGTCAGACATTTTGGAAAATTGAAAATGGTACTTTGTGGTAAACCATGTTTCCCCTCTTAAGTGGAAGATACACTCAGTGACCAGTTTATTAGGAGTCCACCCCGTTCACGAAAATGGTTTGCTCCTACAGACAGTGAGTCACATGGCCGTAGCTTGCTATATAAAGCAAGCAGACAGGCATTGAAACATTCAGTTACTGTTCGATGGAACGTTAGAATGGGCAAAACGAGTGACCTAAGAGACTTTGAGCCTGGTATCATCATAGGTGCCACGTGCACCGGTTCCAGTATCGCAGAAACGGCCGGCATACTGGGCTTTTCACGCACGACAATGTCTAGGGTTTACCGAGAATGATGTGACAAACAAAAAACATTGTTGGCGGCAGTCCTGTGGCGAAAACAGCTCTTTGAGGTCGAAGGAGAATGGCAAGAATCATGCAAGCTAACAGGCGGGCCGCAAATAACGGTGCAATACAACAGTGGTGTGCAGAAAGGCATCTCAGAACACACAACTAGTCGGTCCTTGCCACGGTTGGGCTATTGCAACAGACGACCACACCAGGGTTCCACTCCCATCAGCTAAAAACAAGAAGCTTCTCCAGTGGGTACGCCATCCCCAAAACTGGACAATTGAGGAGTGGAAAAACATTGCCAGGTCTGACGAAACCCAGTTCCTGTTGCATCATGCTGATGGCAGAGTCAGGATTTGGTGTAATCAGCATGAGTCCATGGCCCCATCCTGCCTGGTGTCAATGGTGTGGGGAATGTTTTCCTGGCACACGTTAGGTCCCTTGATACCAACTGAGCAACGTTTCCATGCCCTGAAGAATTCAGGTATTTCTGGAGGCAAAGGGGGGTCCGACCCAGTACTAGATGGGTGTAGCTAATAAACTGGCAACTGAGTGTATATTGATAATTTTGTAAAATAAAACCTGACCCTTTCGTATATAAAAATGTGTGCCATAAGAAAAGTTCTTATGACACCACAGATAGTTCCAAAAAATACCAGGGGTTTGGCTCCATGAAATTGTAAATGCAAAACCATTTTTCAAAACCAGACACGTTTCTTAGCAGCAGTTATTTGTCATTAACTTGTCATTGTAAAATAAGAGTACCTTGCTTTTCAAGGTTACCTTAAGCAGTGAGTGATGAACCAAAATGAGTTAAAAGTACCCCTTTCCAAACAGTTGTCTCAGACATTTAAACTGGATCCCCCTCTATTTCCATCCATCCTAATAGTCACATGTATGTATGTATGTATATATACACATATTTGGCTACCCAAAAAACGCTACACACACCAATGTAATGTAAGGGCTTAGGTAAATGCTCAGAGCGTACATGCTCTAATAGGTAAAGGTCTGGAGTGGACTAGCCAGTGTAATACTCGTTAACTTACCACCAGGCTTATTGAAGCCACCTCTGTCTCCGGCGACGCTATGGGGGAATAAATGGAGATATGAAGTCGATTTCCCTTTTAACAGCCACTTCCATGTTTGGAGCCTCGTGGCTCGTTTGGTGAGGTTGACGGACACAGTTCTGACTAGCTCATTTAACAACCCCCAACATGCCTTTACAGTCTATGCAATCCAGTTAATTGGGAATTAAGGTATTAACAGCAACTACGTGGCATGATTCCTTTACTAAATGGCTTCTTAATGACAGCATTCGATAGCAGATACTGGCTAGTTTGGAGCTATCCAAGGGGTGTTAAATCTCAGTTACGTTTGGGAAATATGGGACAGAATCCCAGGTATTTGTTACAAAGGAAAATGATTTCAGATGCATTCCATATGTAGACAAAAAGGCTAAATGTCTAGCCTGAAGATAATACAATGCTGACGAGAGAACTTACATTTAAATATGTGGAAGGCTCTAGAGCATTATGTCCACTTTACAGTTGAAGCAAACAGCTATACAAGTAAAGTAAAGAAAAATGATTTTAAATTGTCAAATGCAGTGGATCTGAAATATTACAAACAGGTGATAGTCACCTTTGAAATTGAAACAAACAAAAAAACACCATCCATGTACATTATTTTACAAAGACGAATTGAAGTTACACAATTCTAATAAATACAGAATTTAATTTGACCAAGTTACAATGTTCAGAGGTAAAAGTAATAAGTTACATTTGTATAGTATAATAATAATTTTAGAGTTTCCCAGCACGCTTTAGACACCACAATCCTCATCTCTTGGATTTAAGGCAGAACCCGAATCTCTGTGGTTTAACCCCTTTGTTGTTTAAGATGCTGGCTTTATTGAGTACAGGTACTTAATAGAATATAGCTGGGTTTACATGGCTCTCACTGTGTTACCTGTAGCGTAAATGTGACAAAGCATGTTAAAAAAAGTTGTTCATTTGATTAAACAAAACATTTGTAATCCAAACCACATTTCAAAAACACACACATAAGGGGGTGGTTTTCCAGACACAGATTAAGCCTAGTCCAAAGAGTAAAAAGCATTCCCAGCATTCTTTTCAGGAGACTAGGCTTAATCGGAGTCTGGGAAACCAGTCCCAAAACATTTTGCCCAAAATGCTATCCTGTATGAAAGTAAATGCATGCATGAGTTACATATGTATGACAAATGCTACATTTGACTACTTTAAGCAATGTCAACTGAGAGCTAGGGTTGCGATATACTTTCAACTTTAAAAACAGGACTAATTCAATAACTATCTAATTGAGGCTAAGAAATGTAATTAATGAAATATTGTGCTGTTGGCAGAGCAGTATTATTTACTTTGATGATCATTTTAGGGCAAACACACAGCCATGTACTGAATAACCTATTAATGTAATATAAGCCTATGGGCAAAACACAATTGAACATGATAGGAGTCTGGTGTGACCTAGTGAACAACCCTTTTTTTATTGTTACAGGGATATTACCTTGAGCTGTCTGATACTCAAATGGAATCAACCTTGACTCAAACTCTAGAGGTCCTATCATAATGCCCAGAAAGCTTTAACCAAACATGAAAGGCTACAGGTGGCAAGTACGGTACCAACAACCTATAAGGGGGATAACTTTAGTTCTGCATGGATGTGCCCTGAAGAAATGTACTTCATTGGGTTTCCAGAAAAAAACTCAAACGTGCATCGACCTCAACTTAATATGAAAAAAAATTGTGTTGGTATAAGCAATCAATGCATCTTGCTTATTAAACAACAAGTTATTTTAAAAGTTCGGCCCCAGGGGGGGTCGTGAGCCAAAAAGGGTCCCCTAAATGGCCAAATTACCTAATTGGACAGAAAGGGGCACACCTCTCAATATCAATGAGAAAAAAGCTTGTCTTTTATTGCAAAGGTTTGCTAGCTTAAAGATTATTTTGTGGTTTCATGAGGCAAGTCATTGATGAATCTGAAATAATACCTTTATATAAACAATAGTCAACACAAGCCAAAATGTGAGGTTATCAGTTAACTAAACTTCCATAGTGCATACTCAAAAGTGTACCTCCTGGGTCAGCTTTTTAAAAGGAAAACCAGAGGACGGATTAAACACCCATGAAAATGGTACCTTCTTAAACCATCTTAAAAATGTAATTAACCTCAAAGCAATCATTTAAAAAGGTGAGGTGAGCCCACCTAATGATTGAAACCTGCAGCAGTGACCCTGTGAAGCCTTGTGAATAGATGGACCATAATCAATGCTATGGATGATATACATCTGTGTTGCTGCGGTACAGCAACAAAGGATATCTGATTGAATAGTTTAGAAGTCCAGCTCTCTGTTCACACGTCAGTCCCAGCTCTTTGATTCATGAAAACATATTCCCTTCTTACCTTTGGCCACTATGGCAGGGCTGAGAGTTAGTACCCATTCATGGAGGGTCCCTTGATTTAACTTTTAGGTAGGCATTAGATCTTTAAATTTTACACGAAAGTGAACAACAGTTTGACTTTCCCCACTAATAAGTTAGATGTCTGTTATCCTTTTGTAGGGTTATAACTCGGGACCCACTTATGTTTTAGGGAAACTTCAGACTCAGCCCTGCTCAGCCTGGACGCAGCACTTGTGAGAGTGGATGGAGGTTAAATTAAGCAATAAGGAGAGTCACTTACCCCATGCCTCCACGGCCCATGCCCCCACGGCCCCGGCCACCGTGCATCATGCCGCCCCTGTCATAGCCATCCCTGGGAGGCCCACGGCTCTCCCCTGACCCTGGGAACCCAGCAGGCTCAGAGCCAGAATAGCCAGAGCTGCCTCTGCCCTCCTGTCCATAGTTATCTACAGAATAGCATAACAACAAGGTTAGGGGAAAAGGAGGGAACATCACATGACTATAACTAGTAGGTAGGCATATTGCAATGATGGTGTAGGTGTTAAAATAACAGGAGACTGCTGCTCTTACTGTAATGGCTTGACTGGTTGTAACCACTTTGAGGTCCACTCTGTTGTCCATACTGGCTGGCTGCAGGCTGCCCATAGGAGCCCGAGGCCTGAGGGGGATAGCCCGCAGCAGGAGTCTGTTGCTGCGGTGGGGGCTGCTGCTGGTATCCACTCTGCTGCTGCCCATAGCCTCCCTGCTGGGCCTGGTACCCACTCTGCGGCGCGGCATATCCACCTGGCTGGGAGTAGCTGCTCTGGCTGTAGCCAGCGGGCTGGCTGCTGGCACTGTAACTAAAGTGATTAGGGACAGGCAGGGATTGAACGAGTCAAAGAGTGCTACACAACTCTCTCTACACAGTAGATGGTTCTTATAGGTTGACAGCTGCAACTTGTCTACTACTGAAAATAAACTATCAACAAAATATTGTGTAACATTCACTGCATCACTACCTCCATTACACCCAGACGGATATACTACAAAGCCAAATCAATGAGTTAGCCAGCTAACTTTGATAAGCAACCAGAAATAACTATTGATTTTATGATTATCAAAAATAGCTCAACTTAGATACGCATTTTAGTTTGTTAAATCAAATTAGACCATGCCCATTTCAAGCTTACCTTTCTACAAAATAAAAAGTTATACAAATAGGCAAGTTAGCTGGCTAACTCCTTGATCCTGCTTTGTAGTGTACCCCTCATGTCCTAATGTAACACTAGTACCCCTCATGTACCACTAGTTAGCCTACCTCTGAGGTGCAGTGGAGGCAGGCTGCTGGCTGTAGCCAGCGTAGGCAGACTGGGCTGCATAGCCTGGCTGGGACGCATAGGATGGCTGAGAGGCAGCGGGAGCAGCAGCAGCAGCACTTTCATATCCACTGGCTCCATAGCCCGCAGCGGGCTGGGAGTAGCCATGGGCACTGGGCTGGGCAGCAGGGTACCCAGCTGTGGACAAAAGAGGAGATGGTTTAACTAAAACCAAAAAAAAGGTTTAGATGGATAATTCCAGGTACACACTGTTGGGATTTTAGACCAGAGGCTGAACTACACAAATGAACGAAGCAATCGGTTGCTTATTTGGATTACTCTATACCACTCTGGAGGAAAACTGATGAAGAATATTATGGCAAAGAAGAATACCATTGTGTGATTAAAAGTATTAGAATAAGTGTTAGATATTGTTAGATTAATAATATTATGAAGGGACTATCGTCTTGTATCACTAACATGTCTGTTACAATCATGATTCAGGATGAGAAAGAAATGTAGCATGTCCCGGGTTCAACTAGTCTACTAACTACATAGGATTCTAAATACTGTATATTATATGGATCAATCCATCAAGCCATTGAAGACTTTGCCTAAATGTCATGAAATGGATGGAGATGCATGAAAAAAAGGAATTGTGTCAAACCTGTTTTATTCCCAGCTGGAACGTGATAGCAATAGAGGAGAAAATGTTCACATTACACATGGTGAATGGTTAGAGGCATTTGATGGAGAATTCTCACTCCCTTCCCCAAAAAATACAGTTGGCCAAACATTTTGGTCCCTCTGAACTGACCTGATGCTGGTTGCCCATAGGAGGAACCATACTGCTGCTGTGCATAGCCGCCAGCAGAGGGTGCTGCCTGAGGGTAACCGGTCTCAGCTGCAGCTGGTTGGGCATAGGACCCATATGCTTGCTGGCTATAACCCTGCTGAAATACAGAAGGCCATAAGATATTAGTCTATAGAAGAATAAGTACCTTGTGAAAGCAGACAAGAACTGCAAAAATCTCTGAAGCTGGAGACTCATCTCCCTCACTAACTTTAAGCATCAGTTGTCAGAGCACCTTACCTTACACTGCACCTGTTCACAGCCCTTCTGAAATTAGCCCACCCAACTACCTCATCCCCATATTGTTATTTATTTTGCAACCCAGTATCTCTATTTGCACATCTATCATTCCAGTGTTAATACTAATTGTAATTATTTTGCACTATGGCCTATTTATTGCCTTACCTCCATAACTTGCTACATCTGCACACACTGTATATATATTTTCTGTGGTATTTTTGACTTTATGTTTTGTTTACCCCCATATGCAACTGTGTTGTTGTTTTTAAATCGCACTGCTTTGCTTTATCTTGGCAAGGTCGCAGTTGTAAATGAGAACTTGTTCTCAACTGGCTTACCTGGTTAAATAAAAGGTGAAATAAATTAAAATAAATAAAAGTTTCCTGTGCTTTAGGTCAAGCTGTATGTAAACATGTCATGAGATCAGGGCATAATGTGGGTCACTGACCATTATTCCAGTTTGAGTAATTTATAAATGGACTTCTAATAACACTCACCTGGGCAGATTGTCCATAGGCCTGTGAGGGCTGAGCAGCATAGGATCCATACCTGCAGAGACACAAGAGCATTCATTCAGTACTCATCTCTGATGTTGGTGTCTAATTACACAAACACTCGTCCTGGTAGCACAAAACACATGTAGAAAGACTTACCCCTGCTGGGCACTGGCCTGGTTGTAGGAACTGTAATCTTTAAAAGAAAATGACAAAATAAATGACTAGTCTAGGCCTAACTTTCAAAAACAGTCCTAGTATCACATTCAGTTTTGGACTCATGAGAAGCAACTGCTCATGTTCACTCGACAATAATATTGTGTAAACCTTTGGCATTGCCAACCATGGCACACAATGGAAAGTATTTCAAGTTCAACAGACCTTGAAAAAATACAAAGCATTCCTGCTATTCACTCTTAAGTAAGGTCCGACTAGAGGCCGTTGTTTGCCGACGTTGTGTTGTGGGGGACATCCCCGCCTTTGCGTGCATAACTACGGTAGTTAACGTTAGCTGGCTCATGTTAGTTAACTTTTTGTGGTTTAACTAGCCACACGTTTCAATTTGCAGACAAAGAAACAACGATGTGTGGCTAGATTAGCAAGGCCGCATGACCAACGGAAATGCATACACACAGGCACGAATTAACAAAGCAGATATACGTGCGTGGTGAATTTACACCCCTCGGCGCGGCATCGTGGCTAGTTAGGGCCTACTGCCCTAAATTCTAGCTAAGCTAGCTACTATAGAAAACTGGTCAATTCCCCAAACGGGTCAATTTGGATGGCTAGCTACTACTACTAGCTAGCTTAGTAGCTAGCTACCGACTACTGTACATATTTAAACGTTCGCATTAGACTAGAATATTGGATTATAAAATTGATGTAACTATGCAGAAATACATTTACTTTCTTTCGATATGCAACAATAGCTAATGGATTCGTGCAAAATTAGAAAATAAAAGACCGTGACCGAAACCCACCAGGAGCTGACGCCATCTTCGTTTCTTCGTTTAGTCTCGTTGTTCTTTTTCCCAACCCAGTTAAGCCAAAACCACGCCCCGTTTTTCAGAGGGGCGTTCTACAACGCTTTGAGCGCTCTCCAAGTCCGGAAGTGAATATCACGTAGCGCGAAATATCTGTCACTGATTAATAACATTTGCACTTGTATTTCAAGATTGAAAAATATTTAAATCACTGATTAATAACATTTGCCTAAATCCTTAATACATACATATTTTTTCTATACCGTTTGGTTAGATAATGGTGCATGCGCGTAAACGAATAGATGAGCGTCTCTGGCAAAGATTTTCGGTAAGCGCTATTCTGGATCCTTGGGATGTCCCTACCCTAAACCGTAACCTTAACCATAACAATAACACTTACCTAGCCTTAACCGTTACCTTAAAGACGCAATTTGCAGAAACCGCTCCGGTTGCTAAAATTCTAATAGTTCGCCCTCAACGTGATCAAGACAAAGGAGATGATCGTGGACTACAGGAAAAGGAGGGCGGAGCAGGCCTCCATTCTCATCGATGGGGCTGTATTGGAGCAGGTTGAGAGCTTCAAGTTCCTTGGTGTCCACAACACCAACAAACTATCATGGTCCAAACACACCAAGACAGTCGTGAAGAGGGCACGACAACGCCTATTCCCCCTCAGGAGACTGAAAAGATTTGGCATGGGTCCTCAGATCCTCAAAAAGTTATACAGCTACACCATCGAGAGCATCCTGACTGGTTGCATCCCCGCCTGGTATGGCAACTGCTCGGCCTCTGACCGCAAGGCGCTACAGAGGGTTGTGCGTACGGCCCAGTACATCACTGGGGCCAAGCTTCCTGCCATACAAGACCTCTACAGTCGTGGTCAAAAGTTTTGAGAATGACATAAATATTAATTTTCACAAAGTCTGCTGCCTCAGTTTTTATGATGGCAATTTGCATTTACTCCAGAATGTTATGAAGAGTGATCAGATGAATTGCAATTAAAATGAACTTAATCCAAGAAAAACATTTCCACTGCATTTCAGCCCTGCCACAAAAGGACCAGCTGACATCATGTCAGTGATTTTCTCGTTAACACAGGTGAGAGTGTTGACGAGGACAAGGCTGGAGATCACTCTGTCATGCTGATTGAGTTAGAATAACAGACTGGAAGCTTTAAAAGAAGGGTGGTGCTTGAAATCATTGTTCTTCCTCTGTTAACCATGGTTACCTGCAAGGAAACACGTGCCGTCATCATTGCTTTCCACAAAAAGTGCCTCACAGGCAAGGATATTGCTGCTAGTAAGATTGCACCTAAATCAACCATTTATCGGATCATCAAGAACTTCAAGGAGAGAGGTTCAATTGTTGTGAAGAAGGCTTCAGGGTGCCCAAGAAAGTCCAGCAAGCGCCAGGACCGTCTCCTAAAGTTGATTCAGCTGCGGGATCGGGCCACCACCATTGCAGAGCTTGCTCAGGAATGGCAGCAGGCAGGTGTGAGTGCATCTGCACGCACAGTGAGGCGAAGACTTTTGGAGGATGGCCTGGTGTCAAGAAGGGCAGCAAAGAAGCCACTTCTCTCCAGGAAAAACATCAGGGACAGACTGATATTCTGCAAAAGGTACAGGGATTGGACGGATGAGGACTGGGGTAAAGTCATTTTCTCTGATGAATCCCCTTTCCGATTGTTTGGGGCATCTGGAAAAAAGCTTGTCCGGAGAAGACAAGGTGAGCGCTACCATCAGTCCTGTGTCATGCCAACAGTAAAGCATCCTGAGACCATTCACGTGTGGGGTTGTTTCTCAGCCAAGGGAGTGGGCTCACTCACAATTTTGCCTCAGAGAGAAAAAAAAATCTGAGAGCAACTTCTCCCAACCATCCAAGAACAGTTTGGTGACGAACAATGCCTTTTCCAGTATGATGGAGCACCTTGCCATAAGGCAAAAGTGATAACTAAGTGGCTCTGGGAACAAAACATCAACATTTTGGGTCCATGGCCAGGAAACTCCCCAGACCTTAATCCCATTGAGAACTTGTGGTCAATCCTCAATAGGTGGGTGGACAAACAAAAACTCACAAACTCCAAGCATTGATTATGCAAGAATGGGCTGCCATCAGTCAGGATGTGGCCCTGGGTCAACACTGCAAATATTGACTCTTTGCATAAACTTAATGTAATTGCCAATAAAAGCCTTTGACACTTATGGAATGTTTGTAATTATACTTCAGTATACCATAGTAACATCTGACAAAAATATCTAAAAACACTGAAGCAGCAAACTTTGAAGACCAATACTTGTGACATTCTCAAAACATTTGACCACGACAAAAAATTGCCAAAGACTCCAGCCACCCTAGTCATAGTGTTCTCTATGCTACCACACGGCAAGCGGTACCGGAGCGCCAAGTCTAGGTCCAAAAGGTTTCTTAACAACTTCTACCCCCAAGCCATAAGCCTGCTGAACAGCTAATCAAATGGCTACCCGGACTATTTGCATTGACCCCCCCTTTTTTTACGCTGCTGCTACTTGCTGTTTATTATCTATGCATAGTCACTTTACCCCTAACTACATGTACACTACTGTTCAAAAGTTTTGGGTCACTTAGAAATGTCCTTGTTTTCTAAAGAAAAGCAATTTTTTTGTCCATTAAAATAACATCAAATTGATCAGAAATACAGTGTAGACATTGTTAATGTTGTAAATGGTTATTGTAGCTGGAAACGGCTGATTTTGAATGGAATATCTACATAGGCATACAGAGGCCCATTATCAGCAACCATCAGTCCTGTGTTCCAATGGCACGTTGTGTTTGCTAATCCAAGTTTATCATTTTAAAAAGCCAATTGAACATTAGAAAACCCTTTTGCAATTATGTTAGCACAGCTGAAAACTGTTGTGCTGATTAAAGAAGCAATAAAACTGGCCTTCTTGAGACTAGTTGAGTATCTGGAGCATCAGCAATTGTGGGTTCGATTACAGGCTCAAAATGGCCAGAAACAAATAACTTTCTTCTGAAACTCGTCAGTCTATTCTTGTTCTGAGAAATGAAGACTATTGCCAAGAAACTGCCAAGAAACTTTTTTGCATAATGCCGCATTCCAAACAACTGTGAACTCTGAAAAATACGAGATCAACTCATAAGGTCAGTGATTTTCAGGTCGGAAAGTCGTAGCTCTAAAAGAGGCCCGAGTTCCCAAGTTGGAATTCCGAGTTGGAATTCCGAGTTGGATGACCATTTGTTTTGAACGCACTGAAGTCGGAAGTCGGAGATTTCCGCGTTCCCAGTTGTTTTGAACGCGGCATATCTCCTATAATAAGAACGCACCAACTCCACCATTGTTCGTTGGACAAAGCCTATGGGTAAATTAATTGAGTTTTTGTAGGGTTTTTGGATAATCGCCAAAAATACCATGGTAAACACAGGCTTAGGATATCTTATATAGTGAGTATTGGTAAAGTGGTCCACTTTCTGAAAATTATTTTTCCGGAACACCTTACAGAATCCCCTTACAGAATCATCCCATTATCTTAACCCCCAACATGATACCATTCTAAATAACGTAAGAACTGTACTAAACTATAAAAAATAAAAAATAAATATTAATAACAGGATGGAGGACTCTTCTACAAACACACATTTTCCTGAGACCACATTTTTTAAAGTCGATACTGGCAAATTGGGACACCTTGATGGCAAAGTGGGACTCTTAATTCTTTATTGTAAAGAAGGATACATTTTAGAGGATATGAGGAATCTCAATATTTTAATGATAAACTTAAATTATCTATTAAAACATTCTTTATGTATTTTGGTGGAACATTAAGAATGATCATTTATTATTATTATCATTATTATCATACTTGATTATAATTATATGATGTAACCTATATGTAATTGTATAGCCTATAAATACAACAAAATTAACTTCATCTAGGCCTATCAGCTCAACATTCTCAACAATACACTCTAATGGACATTTTGTAGAATGAAACCAGAAACTCCTTACCCCAACAATTGTATTGTCACCAGAGTCAAATACAGCAAAATAAATGTTTTTAGTCATCATATACCTACCTACCTGTATGGTTATGAATCAAAATCAAATCACATTTTATTTGTCACGTGCGCTGAATACAACAGGTGTAACCTTACCGTGAAATGCGTACTTACAAGCCCTTAACCAACAATGCAGTTTTAAGAAAATAGAGTTAAGAAAATATTTACTAAATAATAAAAAAATAACACAATCAAATAACAATAATGAGGCTATATACAGGGGGATTTTTTTATGTTGGTGGGGTAATATCTTTATAAGTAAAATGCAGCTATGCTAGCATTTTCTAGCAAGCTAGCTGATAGCAGATTTGAGGAAAAGGAAATTAAATTTTTTATCCTATTTAGAAAATGGATTTCTGTTAAGAAAACATGTATTTCATAATCCCCCAAAATATTTTTACCGCATTACATTTTAGTCATTTAGCAGACGCTCTTATCCAGAGCGACTTACAGTTAGTGAGTGCATATATCGTTTTTTTTTTTTATACTGGCCCCCCGTGGGAATCGAACCCACAACTCTGCCGTTGCAAACGCCATGCTCTACCAACTGAGCTACATCCCTGCCGGCCATTCCCTCCCCTACCCTGGGCCAATTGTGCGCCACCCCATGGGTCTCCCGGTCGCGGCCGGCTACGACAGAGCCTGGATTAGAACCAGGATCTCTAGTGGCACAGCTAGCACTGCGATGCAGTGCCTTAGACATTAAAATGGCCTAGAGGAGTGTCCCAGTTTGACAGTAACAGGGTGTCCCAGTTTGACTGTAGGCGATTGGCATACTGGGACACTGTCAAAATGTCAATATTCTAAAAAGGTGAGCGTAGTAAGAAAACCATTTACAGTCATTTTGATTTACAATTACATCCCATTACAAAATATGTTGTAATGAGACACTGAATATCCTTTCTTCGTTTTTTATAACATTATTTACCTCAGAACCCTATGTCATTTTACTTACTATTTCACCTCTAGCAATACTCACCCTACATTTTGTTCTATGCTATAATCTTTATCAGCAAAGGTCACTTTTTGTGAATTTTGAACGATTATTTTGTTGTAATGGTAATGTTAACTGACTGATTTTATCTCATAGAACAAAACTTATAAGATCTCCTAAGCCTGTGTTAACAGTCCTTATTTTCGGCGTTTATGCCAAAACCCTATTCTTTGCAACCCAACCGATTCTTTCCCCATTCATTTTCCAAATAGGAATGGCTGAACGAACCAGAGGTCACACATTTCCGGTTTTTAGGACTGACTACAAGGTTGTCACTAGCTACCACAGCCACAAAGTCAAAATTGTCTATATCGAAAAAAGTTATGAAAACAAAAAATTGCTTTTTGGTCTTAATTCAAGGTTAGGGTTAGGCATTAGTTTAGCAGTGTGGTTAAGGTTAGGGTTAGGTTTAAAATCTGATTTTAATAAAATAAATTGTAGAAATAGGCGGGGTTTATGACTTTGTGGCTGTGGTAATCCACTGAGATATGGTTCTATCTGTGTCTCTGGCATACACCATATTTCCGTGGGGGACAACAAACTTACTAAAATCAGAGTGCAGAAATATTTTATGAATCACATAATTACAGAAACCCCCAAAAAATATGTTCCGTATGTAGTCAATTACAATAACTCGGTTGACTATGACTAAATATATTAATTAATTTAGTACGTTAAGGTAATTGTGAATGAACTCGTCCAAGAACGTAAACAGGAAGTGTCGATACATTGCAAAGTGGGACATTTTCAATCGGCTAAGAAAATACTTGAGTATTCATGATTTAGGAATTTTAACACGAAAAACAACACTGAATGCCACTGAACTAACTGACACTAATTGTACATCTTTCGACCCTGGGAGAAGTGGGAATCATCTCTCTGCTATCATTCTCACTTTCTGATACGTCGTTGTAGCTATCTTATTTTGAATATTGTCAGTTATAAAGCAAAGATGGCTTTGTCATATTTACAAATATCCAAGTCAAATATATGCCATTGTCTTTATTTGCCATGAAACAGATTAGAACTTCGTAGCATGAGCTGTCTGTCCTGAATATCTTTTGAATGGGGAAACTGTTTGATTAGAGAGCTTACTACAGTGCTTCTACGACAAGCACTAGTAAATGAGCTACAATGGTTGACCGAATTTGCTCAATATGGTTTTGGTTTGGATCGAATCGTCCGGGATTCTTTCTTGGAACAACGTTTCTGTTAACTCTGATGGTACTGATGTGGCTTGGTGGTATTCCAGCCAGTCTGAGTTTAGGCCCAGGTGGACAGTTCCCAGGGTGCCGAGGTAGGTAATCTGCCAGACACACCTAGAGTAAAGCAGGTATGGAATTTGATTTGTTACCCCTAAATAGAAAATAGAACGTAACCTTCCCTCTCTCACACACAGATCTGTCACTCTATGCCTTTAGTCATGAGGAGCTGCCCTCTCTTCTCTACAACGCAGTTCTCCTGCTGTTGCTTGGACCATGCCAGGAGCGACGCTGGGGCACAGTGGCTTTCCTTGCCCTCTCACTCCTCTCCATAGCTCTCCTGCCTCCACTGTATGCCATCCTACTCTTTATCAGTGGGGATGAGGCTAGTCGTGTTTGTGGTTCCTCCGCCACCCAACTGGCTCTGTTTACAGCCCAGTGTCGTCAGGTGACCCAGAGGAAGCTGCTCAGATGTGTACCAGTTTGGTTCCTGCCCTGGCTGCTCTTACTCCTCAGTCTGGTGTTGCTCCCAAGCACACCGGGCCTGCTCCACTTCTGTGCCATACTGATAGGACACAACTGTATCCTTCTCTGCCAAAAAATACAACAAATTATTGGAAAGTGTTTTTGACCCCATTGTCTCTGCCATATCTTTTACATTCTGTGATTATGTACCTTAACTTTGTTTAAAGATCGTCCATCCTTTATTGGGGTTTTGCAGAAAATAGAGAATATTGGGATTTTCAACTTCCTTCCTGCTTGGGCCTATGTTCCTTACTATTCAAGGCTCAGGCTTCCCACCTATAACACCTCACAGAGGTGAGAACAACTAATAAGTTACAGGAGTTTCTTGAAGTCTGATTTACTACTACCTATACTGGGAATGGCAGAGTTGGTGGCATGAGTGAGATTAGATTAGAGAGTTTAATAGTCACATGTACAGGGTTGCAGATGTAATTACAGTGTACAGTGAAATTCTTGAGCTTCGAGCTTCAACAATGCAGGACAAAGTGAAATAAAACAATACAAATATAAATAATAATATGAGTATTGTCATATGAGTATTGTCACAAGACTTTGTTGTTTATTACAGATCTGGGCCATTCCCTCAGGTAGCTCCCTCTAACAGAACCCCCATGGAGGACTTTTCACCCGTGAACCCACAACCTTGGTTAGCGTCTGTTCCTCATTGGCTGCTGGACGGGTCTGCAGCAGAGTCAGAGGCCCAGTTATTGGAGGAGCAGATGCTGAGGGCAGGGATATTGGCCTCCTTACAGGATGCTCCTGAGGAACCAGGGACCAAAGTGGAGGTGCCAAAGTCCTCAGTGTCCTTTCTGAGGTCAGTCAGGTTTACTAGGGCATTTACTAGTATGGAAGAGCATATTTTGCCTATACACTGAGTGTACAAAACATTAGGAACACCTTCCTAATATTGAGTTGCACCCCCTTTTGCCCTCACAACAGCCTCAATTTGTCGGGGCATGGACTCTACAAGGTGCTGAAAGCATTCCACAGGGATGCTGGCCCATGTTGACTCCAATGCTTCACACAGTTGTGTCAAGTTGGCTGGATGTCCATTGGGTGGTGGACCATTCTTGAAACACACGGGAAACTGTTGAGTGTGAAAAACCCAGCAGTGTTGCAGTTCTTGACACACTCAAACCGGTTCGCCTGTCACCTACTACCATACCCCGTTCAAAGGCACTTCAATATTTTGTCTTACACAATCCATTTCTCAAGACTTAAAAATCCTTCTTTAACCTGTCTCCTCCCCTTCGTCTACACTGATTAAAGTCGATTTAACAAGTGACATCAATAAGGGTATCATAGCTTTCACCTGGATTCACCTGGTCAGTCTATGTCATGGAAAGAGCAATGTTTTTTACACTCAGTGTATGTACTATATGTTATTAGAGTAATTTGTCATATAATGCTTAATTTTGATTCCGCCCAAAAGCAAGCTTTGATCAAATATGACTGGCTCATCAAAGAAAATAATTTGTGAGTAAAAACATACAGTACCAGTCAAAAGTTTGGACACACCTACTCATTCCAGGGTTTTTCTTTATTTGTACATTGTAGAATAATAGTGAAGACATGAAAACTATGAAATAACACATATGGAATCATGTAGTAACCAAAAACGTGTTAAACAAATTAAAATATATTTTATATTTGAGATTCTTCAAAGAAGCCACCCTTTGCCTTGATGACAGCTTTGCACGCTCTTGGCATTCTCTCAACCGGCTTCATGAGGAATGCTTTTCCAACAGTCTTGAAGGAGTTCTCCCATGCTGAGCACTTGTTGGCTGCTTTTCCTTCCCTCTGCGGTCCAACTCATCCCAAACCATCTCAATTGGGTTGACTTTGGGTGATTGTGGAGGCCAGGTCATCTGATGCAACACTCCATCACTCTCCTTGGTCAAATAGCCCTTACACAGCCTGGAGGTGTGTTTTGGGGTATTGTCCTGTTGAAAAACAAATGATTGTCCCACTAAGCGCAAACCAGATGGGATGGTATATCGCTGCAGAATGCTGTGATAGCCATGCTGGTTAAGTGTGCCTTGAATTCTAAATAAATCACAGACAGTGTCACCAGCAAAGCACCATCACACCTCCTCCTCCATGCTTCACGGTGGGAACCACATATGCGGAGATCATCCGTTCACCTACTCTGCGTCTCACAAAGTCATGGCGGTTGGAATCAAAAATCTCAAATTTGGACTCATCAGACCAAAGGACAGATTTCCACCGGTCTCGTGTTTCTTGGCCCAAGCAAGTCTCTTCTTCTTATTGGTGTCCTTTAGTAGTGGTTTCTTTGCAGCAATTCAACCATGAAGGCCTGATCCATACAGTCTCCTCTGAACAGTTGATGTTGAGATGTATCTGTTACTTGAACTCTGTGAAGCAATTATTTGGGTTGCAATCTGAGGTGCAGTTAACTCTAATGAATTTATCCTCTGCAACAGAGGTAACTCTGTGTCTTCCTTTCCTGTGGCGGTCCTCATGAGAGCCAGTTTCATCATAGCGCTTGATGGTTTTTGCGACTGCACTTGAAGAAACTTTCAAGTTCTTGACATTTTCCGGATTGACTGACCTTCATGTCTTAAAGTATTGATGTACTGTCATTTGTCTTTGCTTATTTAAGCTGTTCTTGCCATAATATGGACTTGGTCTTTTACCAAATAGGGCTATCTTCTGTATACCACCCCTAGCTTGTCACAACACAACTGATTGGCTCAAACGAATTAAGAAGGAAAGAAATTCCACAAATTAACTTTTAACAAGGCAAACCTGTTAATTTAAATTCATTCCAGGTGACTACCTCATGAAGCTGGTTGAGAGAATGCCAAGAGTGTGCAAAGCTGTCATCAAGGCAAAGGGTGGCTACTTAGAAGAATCTCAAATATAAAATATATTTTGATTTGTTTAACACTTTTTTGGTTACTACATGATTCCATATGTGTTATTTCATAGTTCTGATCTCTTCACTATTATTCTACAATGTAGAAAATAGTTTATAAAAAAAATAGTAAAACTCTCGAATGAGTAGGTGTGTCCAAACTTTTGACTGGTACTGTATATGTATTTTCTTTAAGTAATTTTTCCCTCTCAGGCTTCAGCAATTGGAGAAGATGGGGTTTCCTACAGATAAAGCTGTGGTGGCGCTGGCTGCAACTAGACAGCTAGATGGTGCCATCTCCCTGCTCATTGATGACAGAGTTGGGGAGGAGGCTGTGATGACATCCAAAGGGAAGAGCCCCCTGCCACCAAGAATTATCTGAGGCCTGTCAGATCAGCATATGGTGGCCAACTGGACCTTGGAACAGAAGGTGTGATTTAGCATCATGATATTGGAATTTGCTTGAGTTTTGCTGAGCTGAACTTGTGTTAAAATGTACCCTGTGGGCTAAAAGGAAAAGACGAGTACCCAAATAAATGTCATTATGAAAAAAAGGACAGTTGGCCTGTTAAAAAAACAAAACAATTATTTATTATAACAACCATCTAGAAGATTATTTTAGCACAATAACACATTAGCAAGCAATTTCAAATATGCCCAAAATGGAAAATACATATAACGTTACGTACTGTATATCAGCATACAAAACAGTAAGCTTCTATTTATCTTTTTTTTAAATAATTCACAACATTTTTATTATAAGATAAAGAAAAAATTATCAAGGAAGCAGTTTTTTTTTTTTTACTGTGACAGAGAAATCAGTCTAAATATAAGAATGTAATAGTGGTACAACGTTACACAAAAATGTATTCAAGTTCCATCAACAGGTCCTGTACTCCTACTGTGTGGTGTGGTGTGTGTGCGTAGGACTGAAGCTGCTGTAGGAGAAAGATACACCTGACCCATGAGTGGGGGATTCTTAGAGATGTCATTGCTTTAGCTTGTGAGTTTAAAATAAGTGAGGTGTCTTACTACTGACAGTTTATGCAGGAGCTGCAGTTTGGGGTTTGAAATAAATGCAGGAATTTGATCACATATCAGTTTTGATAAAGGAGATACTTAGCTATAAGGGTATGAGTTTTGTATTCCGGCACTGTTGTTGAGAACAAATACTGTCTAAGAATGTAGAAAGTGTAGAAACTGGTAGCACATAACTGCATTTGTTGTGCACCAACAAATCTACAATAGAATGTGAATAAAATAAATACAATAAAATCTCTTGCGGGTTTGTTTGATTTAAAGGGGTGGTTAAGACACCAAGACAAATACTGTACACTGATATGCTTGGCTTTTCATAACATGGCACTACTAACTGACATCTCAATAGGAAAGGTGTGTCATGTCTTCATCTTTATAGTGCACTACATAGCAAGGAGTAAAACAATATTATAGAAACAAAAGGAATATAAGAGGAAGAGGTTTTTTTGTGTACGTGTGCCTTGCAGTCTGTACATGCTCAATATATTTAAATAAGTAAACCTCAGATTCCCAACATTGTTACAGTCCAAACAAATTCTCAGAGCCAGTCTCTTTTCTTTCACACTTAATTCCTCCTTTAATTTACCGTAATTTATCCTATCCTGCAATGACCCTTATAGTCCAGAATTGTTTTCAGATGAATGAGCACCATTAAACATATCAAGCTTTTTAATATTGGTTTTCCTTGTATCTTATGAGAACCTTTGCATGTTTTCCAGAGGCCTATAGGATATTTTCTTGAAATATTTCCTAGCTGTAGCCATGGGGATGGGACACAGGGGGAGCCATGGGTCTACGTGGAGGTGTATGTTGGGGTAAAGGTGGCTGGTACTGGTTCCCAATGGAGGTGGGCAGACTCCGGAGCACCAGTGGAGCTTCCCTGAGGTGTCCCCCACCTTTCGTCTGATGGTACAGCCCACAGAGGGTATCGGATAAGGTATCAGATAAGGTCTGGATCAGTAGAGTGCCAGAGAGACCTAAGGGAGGGGGTGGTTAAACCCAGACTGTGATCCTCAGAGATGCAGCAGGGAGCGATGCTACTTCCCCTGAACCTTAGTGTCTGAGGACAGAGGAGGGGAGACGAGCCGATAGGGTTCGGATCCTGCCCGCTTATCCCTGTAGAAACCACCTGGGGACGCAGTCCCGAATGGACCATCTCCAGACCCTAAATCAGGCTCTGTTGAAGAAACAAAGAGTTGGGGCCATGCTACCCTATGCATACATATGAGACATCAATATAAAATACTTAGTTAATAGAGCACATTATTACATATAATAAAGCTTATATGATGTTGCCATATGAGATATTCGTCATTATGATGCGCCTAGCTATGAAAGTGATCTAGACATGTCTAAATCTTTGAGTTGCATCACCTATTTAGTGAATTAATAAACATGTACTAGTAGGTGCCTACTAATGTGAGTTACAGCAACAACTCTTAAATAAAAACAGACATAAAATATAATTTTTCATATGATCCCTGTATGCCTGATCCAGTAGATAATGTACTAGTGACTAGTGTGACCTGGAGGTGAGGATGGTTACCAGCGTTACCTGGCCAGATGATAGCCTCCAGCAGTGTCACCCTGCGAGCCAGAAGCTCCAGGTCTGCCTGCAAGTCTTGGAACATCTTCAAACTAATGTCCTATCAGAGAACAGTGACAAGGGGACTGGGTGAGGGGTGGGGAGCGGACACACCAGGCCTGGTCCTGGGGCTGTCTGCCTCTGGCCATACCCCCTGTCCCACTTCCCAGAAGTGGAGGAGTGTGGGGTGACACCCAGCCTTGTCTGACCCCTGCCTAAAGCTGACCCTGCTACCTCAGGCCTCCTACTCACCATGAATACCGATCATAGTCTCGAGGATTAAAACCCTCTCGGCTAAGATCTTCAGCGCTTCTCTGATCTGATGTATCCCGTCCCCCTGTGAAGATAGATACAGCCGTCAAGGTAAGGAGCACAAGCCAAACAAATTGCTCGCCAAGGTGCAAGTCATTTTCTCTCTGTCAATCTATTACAGCAGTTAGCAGGTTAAAACCAGTCCACGCACCCACCCAGCACCCTTTACAGATGTTGGATCTTAATTTGAGACAGTTTGCTATAGCAGGAAAAAATAATCCTGCAGCAACAGGAAATGTGAATTATTATGTGGATTATAATTAATGAACATTTATTGTAGGGGTTGATACATTTTCCGTTAGGGCAAATCAAGTCTGGCATTTTAAAGGGAAAATTACAAACTTTAGAAGCCTTTTTAAACCTTGAATACACTACAAGTTTGCATTTCCTGCTGTGCAGGAAGATTCTCAGCAACAAAATAGTGATCAAATTAAGATCCTACATCTGTACCTTATCCCGCCCCTGTATCTCTCTATCTCCCTCGTTCTCTGGCCATGCTGCCATACCAGGCCAGTCTTTGCCATGCTGGGCAAAAACAGCATGCACATCACAAGACATTCCCATGTTGTTGACATAACAAAAGTGGAGGAGGCGGTCCAGGGCCTCAAGTTTGACCATGCCATCTGCATTCCTTCTGGACTTGATCAAGATGAGCAGCTATTCAGCCAGACAAGTTTCTGTTGCATTACAGAGTGATTTTCTAAAACGGTTGAAAATAACCTTCTGAAGTCTCAGTAAACTGTTTCTACATAACGGTTATTAGAGCTGAGTTCATAATAGCTGCCCATCCATCTCTCACTGTATTAAAACATGCTCACCAAATAAAGCCAGTAAACCTTTACTCTTTCTATTTGATTCTGTTTAAAATGAGAAACAGATCACTGTCCAATTGTCAAGAAAGACCTACTGGCTTTATGAATCATCAAACATTGAAAAAAAGGAACAGAAAGTAAACAGACACAAGCAATCATGTCAGTGACAGTTGATAAAGAATGCATGCACAATATGACGTTAGTGTGGATGCCTGAGTATTTTTCTCTTGGGTCAAGAAATAAACTGATTAACGAGCAAAGGATAAACCTCTACAGAACAAAAGGCAAGATTTCATTAAGCTATATCAATAAATCATATCAATGACTAATGTCCAGTGTGTTTGTGTTTGTCCAGTTTGTACGGCTCCACAATAACAAGATCCTCTGGGTCATGGTTGATTGATGAGGAGCAGATGGGAGCTGAAAGGATAATGGGCCTATTGTGAGACCATTGAGGAGATAATAAATATAGTTTTGGTTTGAGATACAATTTAGAGTGACCATGCCCGGTTTCTGTGTTATTGATGCATTTTTACACTAAGTTAAGGAGTTTACATTTGAGTTTGGCAAGCAAGAGAGAAATGGCAAACAGTGCAGTAACTAAGGATGGGAGCATGCAGCCATGCATTGTGGGACACTGGAGGATAGCTGTATCCATTCACATCTCCAACCCAGTCCACCCCACTCAGCACTAACCCACCACCACTGTTCCCACAATAACTCTACATGGAGTGATTTGGCATATACATTCCACATATACCAATGTTAATTTATACTATGTATAAACGTTATGTGCTTTATAATAATAATAATAATAATATGCCATTTAGCAGACGCTTTTATCCAAAGCGACTTACAGTCGTGCGTGCATACATTTTTGTGTATGGGTGGTCCCGGGGATCGAACCCACTACCTTGGCGTTACAAGCGCCATGCTCTACCAGCTGAGCTACAGAGGACCACGCAAGTTGACTTGACATATGAACATGCCATCCTTGGCATTATTTATATCATTTGTAGAAGTGTTTGTAAAAGCATGGCATGACCAAATATTGATCCTCAATACAATGCTGTATTACATGCCACTCAACAGATTCTTAAAGATTCTATTATCTTTCCCTCAATCAGCAAATGACTTAGCATTCGTGATGTAGGAACAGCAGGTGTGTGTGTGTGTATATGCCAATGTCAGATGCTCAGAATGTGACTGTGAAAGGTAACCATGGAGACAGTAGCTTGCAGAGGGAGTCAGACAGCTTTAGGGTCAGACAGGAGTAGGACAGTGTTTTCAACAAGGGGCAGCACCCACAGCACACCCCGAGGACCAAAAAACCACAATAATCACAACATCATAATTAAACAGAGCCCACACAAACAACAAAAACCACAATCCCACATGCCGCAAACTGACATACTATGAGTAAATGAGTACTTTTTTAAAACAAGTGCAGGACGATTTGCAGAACAATACTAATAACAATATAGATACATGGAAAGTAAACTTCATAAGAAAGTAAATATGTAAACGTGGTGATTGGACATGGTTCATAAAAATGCCCAAGCGGTGACTTGGTTCATAAATCCCTTACATTTAGATTGTTCTTGTAAAATGAGAAAGAGGCAAAGGAAAATAAGTGATTAGACAGACACAGAATAATTGTCTACACAGTATACAGTATTTACACTTAAGTACACTGTGGGGAAATGGACTACTTCTCAATTAGTTTTTCTCAATTGCTGGCATCCTCTTTCCTCACATCTTTCTCAAACCCCATTGGAGGAGAAGACCCAAGGTTCCTCCCCTCAGACATTTTCCTCCTATGAGTTTTGAGAAGGACGCAAGGATAGAAGACACAAGGAATCAAGGAAAGACATTGGGCCACTGTTTCCCCTCCTGGCTCCTGGTCCTATACAGCCCAGTGAGAGTCAGTGAGGCACAGGGTGAGCTACGGCCCCATCTCTGGTGTTCTTACCGGCAGGCCTTTCTGTCCTGGCTCTCCCTTGGCTCCTGCTACTCCCTGTATAGAAACATTGAGTCAAGAGTAATGGCACACTAGTGATAACTAGTTCTCACTGGCATAAAGTACTGCCTATGAGGGGTTGGGTTAAATGCGGAAGTTGAATTTCAGTTGAATGCATTCAGTTGTACAACTGACTAGGTATCCCCCTTTCCCTTTCCTTTATGAAAAAGCAGCAGTAAAACACATTCTCTGAGATCACTGGATTGTATAGTTGACCACGGTGTAATCGGGTGTGACGTGTTGGTTTTTGCCACACTCATCAGGGCCACAGCTAGACAGGAGGTAGGTGGCTTACCGGCTCTCCTCTGAACCCTCTCTCTCCTGGATAACCCAGAGGACCCTAGGAAGCCAGAGGCAAGTTAGAAGGAGTTTTGTCTCTCTATCTAGAAATAATAGAATGGGGAGGAAACATTAGGTGTGGTTGCGCCCTGGCCTGTGCATGGTACTCACTCTCTCCCCACTTTCTCCTTTTGGCCCCACCAGGCCCTGTAACCCAGGGGCCCCCAATTTACCCTGTAGAGAGACAGGAGAAAAGGTTAAAACAGACAGATAACACATTTGTTAAATTGTACAGTAGGTGGGATCTAATCTCACATGATTATTATTTCCATTGCACCATTATACACTGCCCACTATAGTCCTAAGGCAAACGCTTACGTTCTGTCCTGCTGGGCCAGGGGGTCCCACGGGGCCTTTGGGGCCTGGAGGACCTGTATGATGGGATACATAAGGACTGTGAGCATCAAGGTAATAGGCAGCCTTTAGGTCAGGTTGCCTTTATAGGCCAAGATAGGTTCTTCTCAGACACACAAGGCAAATTGAGAATGAAAAGATAGACAAAATAAAGGAGGAAAAAAATATGAGTTATGGATGAATGATAGGAAAGGGTTTCATGTTACATGTGTGTTTTGGAACACCTGCAAAGTTAGATTATGCAAAGGTATTTGGACTATGACATTAACCACTATAAAAAAGTATGAAAATAACCAGAAATCTCTAGTCAGATGAATACTAACAACTGTGTCCCATTACGTCTTTCTATTCCTACCCCCATGATAGGTGTGTATATAATTACTGGACTGGACAAACCATTACAAATATGGACATACTTGTTATAATGAACACTCTTAAATCTGCCTTGTTTGGTTATGATAGAAGTGATGCTAGATAAGTGTTATCCAAAATCCGACCAATCATAGGAGCTGACCCAAGCTCACTCCTCTCACAGCTCACTTTAAACATGGGAATTGAAAAGTCTCATCTTGACATATCATTTGATTGAACACTGTTGATGCAAACTGAGGCAAGAGGGACAGGCAAACAACAAATCAATCCAACATTTGAGAGACTGGGAGCAAATTCAACTTCCTCTAAAGAGGAAATCAGGAATCTCTAGATGAGAGTTGAGGACAGGGGAGTTGTGTTTCAGTGAATCTGACAGAGAATGGATAATTTTGTTTATGCTTCCAAGGGCATAACTGATAAGAGAACCCAAATGAATACTCAATTTAATCACTACACTGACAGGATAATGAAACCAATATGTTACTGGCTAGTGGCTAGGGACCAGGAGAGAAAAACAGACATACTGACCAGCAGGTCCAGCAGGGCCTTGTGGGCCTTTGACAGGCATCCCTCGTGGGTCAGGGAAGGTGTTGGAGAGGAGCAGCTCCTTGCCCTGACCTGGAATACAGAGGACATGCATAGAATTGAGTGGTTAAACAGGACAAAAGAGGACTGAACTACATACCTGAAAAGTACCTACATGGGGCGATGCTCTCGCGCAAATGTTCGGGCTTCTTTCAGCACCATAAAGTATCAAACCTTTACACTGTCCATCTTTCATAAAGGTAAATGTAAAATATATATATGGCTAAATATCATCATTATCACATTGTTTGCACTCATGTGTATGCGTACTTCATGTCCTACAGGTATACATGGTACAGTACTTATTAAGAAAGACTTGCGTCACCTCCATTGACATTGGGCTGACAGAGGACTTCTGTGACCTATATCTATCTGTAGGGAAAGAGAGAGGAAGAGGGATAGGAAATGTCCAGTGATAGGGGGAAGTGTGTGGTTTTAAAGGGTTGTCTCAGGCTGACAGGTAGCACTGTGCTGATGGAGTACCACAGAGGGGGAGAGCAGGGAGGGGAAGGCCTGTCAACGAGACACATCCTCCAGCTGCCAGACTGACTCTGATCCCTATTCCAGTCCCACATAACCCTGCTATCAATAGAGGTGTCTGTCTGCCTGCCTGCCTGCCTGCCTTCCTGCCTGCCTGCCTGCCTGCCCGCCCGCCTGTCTGCCTGTCTGTCTGCCTACCTGTCTGCTTGTCTGTCCGTCTCCCGTCCGTCCGTCTGCCTGTCTCTATAGAAACATTATTTTATCTTCATCTCCAGCTCCTGTACTTAAACACCCTCTCTGATAGTGAGTCTCTGTCCATGTACTTTCCAACCCCACAATGTCCTGAGTTTACAACAGTGTTCTACAATGTAATGTATATGATCTTCTAAGATGGCTGGGTTCATACATCCCCTCCCCCTCCTCCTCTCTACCTGTGACCCTGTCCCACCTGAAAGTTGGAGGATTCAGTCCCATTCTGCTGCAGGAGATTCCCGCCTCCAGATCCAGACGGGACAGCCAATAAGCCAGTGTTTTCCAAAGGAAGCCCAGCACAGAACCCCTGCGTCTGCTGCTTTCACTTTGATGTGAAAGAAACAGTTCACAGTATGAGAATTCTCAATGCCAACCTTAATTTACCCACAGCTAGAATTCTCCATCTGTCAACCTACACATCTGCACATTCTGCAGCCCATTTCCTCCTCTCAGTTATCATCCCTTCTCACTGCCTGGGCTCCAACCTTACGTGAGGCTGAATGAATTTAGTTAATAAAGCTGCATACAAACTACTTTTTGCTTTCTTGAGTAAGGCAGCTTCAAAAATATGGAGCGCAGGGGTTGGTAATATTCTCTAGTTGCACCGTGATTGGCTCAGTGTTCTGTCACTCATGGGGACACTATGTCACTGCGATATCTAAGGGTAGAGCTCGAAAATTCAAGCCCCTTGGGTGCTGCCATAGAGTTACATTAGAAATGCCCATCCAAGAAGGCTCAAGGTCATCGGCCACAGATAAAATGACGTCAAATCACGTTATATCTACAGCAGCTTTGATTGGACTGATCATGTCAACATCATACTTTCAAAATCTTAGCTAGCAAGCTAGCAGTCATCATCATGAATCAAGTCGACAATCTACTGGCAAATCCTTTTTAATTCTTGTCATATGAAGAGAAATAATGAAGAGAAATTATAGATAAAAAGTATCGGTGCTCATCGGCCATTGGACATAAACATTTGGAAGGAATCAGTGGCTAACTGCAAGCATCGCAAAGCAGTCACTAGCCTGCTATTCAGTGGAGTGGGTGTGTGGTCCCAAGTCTGGGTTTAAGGGTCTCTTTTCCAAGCTTAAAAGGATAAACATTCAACATTGGCCATGGTGTCAATCCAACATGACTTCTGCCACGCTCAAAACAACTGGAAACTCAGAACTGGTAAATCTGATTTCAGTGAGTTCAAGACAACTGGGAACTCAGAAAAAAACAAGCTCCAACTGGGAAAATACGTTTTGAACGGTCATCCAACTCGGAATTGGAAGTTGGGAACACGGGCCTCTTTTTAGAGCTCCGACCTGAAGATCACCAACGTCATCATTCGACCTTGTTTTTTTCCCAGGATCCCAGTTGTCTTGAAAGCACCATAAATCCAGAGAATGCCAGACTTTGATGACAAAGTTTGATGACAAAATTTGCCCACGAAGAACCGTCGCGCCTCCTTCCTGTTCAAGTGAGCACAGCACAACAAGGTGAGCCCAAAAATGTATTTTATACTGCTGCATAAATGGTGTAATATGCCAGGGAGATATGTACAGTGGGGAGAACAAGTATTTGATACACTGCCGATTTTGCAGGTTTTCCTACTTACAAAGCATGTAGAGGTCTGTAATTTTTATCATAGGTACACTTCAACTGTCCAGAAAATCACATTGTATGATTTTAAAGTAATTAATTTACATTTTATTGCATGACATAAGTATTTGATACATCAGAAAAGCAGAACTTAATATTTGGTACAGAAACTTTGGTTTGCAATTACAGAGATCATACGTTTCCTGTAGGTCTTGACCAGGTTTGCACACACTGCAGCAGGGATTTTGGCCCACTCCTCCATACAGAGCTTCTCCAGATCCTTCAGGTTTCGGGGCTGTCGCTGGGCAATACGGACTTTCAGCTCCCTCCAAAGATTTTCTATTGGGTTCAGGTCTGGAGACTGGCTAGGCCACTCCAGGACCTTGAGATGCTTCTTACGGAGCCACTCCTTAGTTGCCCTGGCTGTGTGTTTCGGGTCGTTGTCATGCTGGAAGACCCAGCCACGACCCATCTTCAATGCTCTTACTGAGGGAAGGAGGTTGTTGGCCAAGATCTCGCGATACATTGCCCCATCCATCCTCCCCTCAATACGGTGCAGTCGTCCTGTCCCCTTTGCAGAAAAGCATCCCCAAAGAATGATGTTTCCACCTCCATGCTTCACGGTTGGGATGGTGTTCTTGGGGTTGTACTCATCCTTCTTCTTCCTCCAAACACGGCGAGTGCAGTTTAGACCAAAAAGCTCTATTTTTGTCTCATCAGACCACATGACCTTCTCCCATTCCTCCTCTGGATCATCCAGATGGTCATTGGCAAACTTCAGATGGGACATGCGCTGGCTTGAGCAGGGGGACCTTGCGTGCACTGCAGGATTTTAATCCATGACGGCGTAGTGTGTTACTAATGGTTTTCTTTGAGACTGTGGTCCCAGCTCTCTTCAGGTCATTGACCAGGTCCTGCCGTGTAGTTCTGGGCTGATCCCTCACCTTCCTCATGATCATTGATGCCCCACGAGGTGAGATCTTGCATGGAGCCCCAGACCGAGGGTGATTGACCGTCATCTTGAACTTCTTCCATTTTCTAATAATTGCGCCAACAGTTATTGCCTTCTCACCAAGCTGCTTGCCTATTGTCCTGTAGCCCATCCCAGCCTTGTGCAGGTCTACAATTTTATCCCTGATGTCCTTACACAGCTCTCTGGTCTTGGCCATTGTGGAGAGGTTGGAGTCTGTTTGATTGAGTGTGTGGACAGGTGTCTTTTATACAGGTAACGAGTTCAAACAGGTGCAGTTAATACAAGTAATGAGTGGAGAACATGAGGGCTTCTTAAAGAAAAACTAACAGGTCTGTGAGAGCCGGAATTCTTACTGGTTGGTAGGTGATCAAATACTTATGTCATGCAATAAAATGCAAATTAATTACTTAAAAATCATACATCATGTGATTTTCTAGATTTTTGTTTTAGATTCCGTCTCTCACAGTTGAACTGTACTTATGATAACATTTACAGACCTCTACATGCTTTGTAAGTAGGAAAACCTGCAAAATCGGCAGTGTATCAAATACTTGTTCTCCCCACTGTATACTGTAGCTAAGAAAGTAATACTAAGTGTATGTTGTGTAGTAAGCTGTTAGTAGCCCATGTGCCTCACCCTAATAATTTGGTCCCGTTTCCTCTCATAATTTCACCTACTGTTCTGATTTGGTGGTGCATATAGCCTGTTTTAGAGACATGTAATCATCGAATATTGTAAGAGCTTTCATTGTCTGCTTATATGCCCCCTTTATTTATCCTACGGTTCTGACTTGGTGTACAGGGAGAATACTGTAAGAACGGCCCATGTTCTGAATTCTGTTGCTGTACATTTCAAAAGTGCTGAACAAATAGTTACATTGACTACGTCCGTCCTAGCTCGCTCATTAATGTCTTAATCAAAATTACGGATTGCCTCTTATCCTCTCGTCGTCTCCTTATGCCATAGTTTGTACATCTCAGTTGTCAGTAGAAATCACATTTGTTTAAGCAAGTCAGCCATATCAGCTATGTTTTTTTAAAAGGCAGTAAATGAAGCTGAATTAACTGTTTCTCTGCCAGACAAGGCTCCGCTGATAGCTAGGTGTAGCAGTGGTAAGGGGTTGGGACTGCTGTTGGGACTCGGCTGTTTGGACAGCTTTATGTAGGCCCTAACAGTGTGTGGGCACCGTTTGTCACCGTTATAGTGCAATTAATGTATTGTTTAGTGTTGTGTAGTGTTGTGTAGTAGGTTTGTTGGCATTCATCTAAAATATATTTTTTTTAGTTTGCCCCACCAATATTTACATGCTAAAATAGCCACTGCCCATGACATCATAATTGTAAACAAATTATTTGAGTGTTCCATAACGCAACTGTTCATCTGATTAATTGCGTGTGTGTGGTGTTGGATATGGCTGTAGGGTATAGTGGTGCTTCTCTTACCCCGGTCTGGCTCTGGGATGCGGGCGCTGGCTGGGGCCGGGGGTCCAGGGGGTCCAGGAGGTCCAGGAAGCCCAGGTAGACCCCTCTCTCCTGGGAGACCTGATGGACCTTTGGGTCCTGGGGGGAGGGGAGATACACCACACTGTTACACTGAGGGACAGCATTGGCATGATGACATTGGAAAGGGTAGGAAAAAACTCCATGACAAAAGCAAGAATCAGTATTGGGACAGCATTCAAATCAAATCAAGCTTTAGGATAAAAAAACTAAAGAATACCAATAAAAACTGAACGACTACAAAGCACCCTAAGGAAAAGCAAAGCTAAAAAGGGTTGTTTTAAGATGTCTTTTAAATATGTCCACAGTTTCGGCCCCCCTCAGGTTCTCTGGCAGGCTATTCCAGAGGCTGGGGGCATAATAACTCTGCCTCTCCATGCCTCTTGGTCCTAGGCTTGAGATACTGTAGTTAAATGGCCCGTTCCAGAGGACGTGAGGGACCTACTGGGTACATAACTTAAAAGCATGTCTGACATGTATTGGGGTGCACAATCGTGGACTGATTTAAAAATCAATAAAACTCACAGGCAGCCAGTGCAGAGACCTTAAAACTGGTGTAATGTGTGCTCTCAGTCTGGTCTTGGTCAGTACCCGTGCTGCAGCATTCTGTATGTTTTGCAGTTGACCAATGGTTTTCTTGGGTAGACCAGACAGGAGAGCATTACAGTAGTCAAGCCTGCTTGTAATAAAAGCATGGATGAGTCTTTCTGTATCAGCCTGAGAGAGAAACTGCCGCACCTTGGCAATGTTCCTCAGGTGGTAAAAAGCTATTTTGGTCACATGTGATTCGAAATTGAGTTCAGAATCTAAAATGACCCCTAGGTTTTTTACCTGGTGTTTTATCTTTATTGCCTGTGAATTAAAATGTGCGGCCAGATTCTCTCTCTGTGCTTTGGCTCTAACAATAAGTACCTCGGTCTTGTCTTGATTTAGCTAGAGGAAGTATTTAAATCACTCATACAGTCTAATCATTTATCCGTGGAGTTAAAATCCTCTGGTGACACTGAATTGTAAAGTTGTGTATCGTCTGCGTAGTTGTCACGACTTCCTCCGAAGCTGCCACCTCTCCTTGTTCGGGCAGGCTTCGGCGTTTGTCGTCACCGGCCTTCTAGCCACTGCCGCTCCTCATCTCATCATTCCATTTGTTTTGGCTTGTTTTTTTACACACCTGGTTCATATCCCCTCATCAGTCCCTGTATAAGTATTCCCTCTGCCCCCCATGTCTTTGTGTGTGATTGTTTCATGTGGAGGTGTCGATAGCTCGGTGGAGCATTATGTACTGTATCGCCGGGATATTCACCCGTGTGTTTTATTTTTCTCCAGTGCGCCGTTATACCGCAATGTAGTTATTTTATGCCTTGCTGCGAACCGCTGTATTGGCCGAATAAACCATTTATTCTGTGATTTACACCTCCTGCGCCTGACTCCGTCAAATCCCCCGCTACAGTAGTAGTGACAATCAATGCTGTGCTTTCTGATAACGCTGCCAAGGGTTAACATATATAAACTGAGCAGTACTGGACCCAAAATCGGAACCTTGTGGAATGCCACATGTGATATGTATTTTCTCTGAGTTATCTTCACCAAGGGTTACAAAAAACTCTTGACTGGTTAAATAGGTCCTAAACCAATTTAGAGCTGGTCCAGAGAGGCCAACACACCTCTCCAGTCTATCCAGAAGGATAGCATGGTCAACAGTGTCGAATGTAGCACTTCAATCCAAGAGTACAAGGACAGAGAGCTGTTTGGCATCTGTGTTGGCTCTAAAATCATTTACCACTTTAACTAAGGCTGTCTCTGTGCTGTGGTAGGCACAAAAACCAGATTGGAATTTTTCATAAATACAGTTGGCACTTAAAAAATAATTTAGCTGTATGAAAACCAATTTCTCCAGAATTTCGCTTAAGAATGGAAGGTTGGAGATTGGCCGAAAATTGCTAAGAGCTGAAGAATCTAGATTACATTTCTTCAGAAGGGGTTTCACCATAGCATATTTTAGTGCAGTGTGTAAAGTGCCCGGTGACCAGAGAGAAACTTTTAATCTCTTTTGGTATATCATTCGATTTTTCATTGAGTATTTTCATAATTTCAAAGGGCACCAGATAGGTGAACCCATGATGAAGAGGTTTCACTCTGTGTTGCCTTTCCTGGCACACCTCACAATGGCAGGGGAGCACTGGTGAACCTAGACAAGGTGGTAGGGTACAGGGCTGTGTAGATGTATAGTAGAGAATGTGAAGGGAGGGAGAATGGGGGAGAGAGAGAGCGAGCGCTGCATGGTGTATTAGGTTTCAGTGCTTGGCGGTTAATATCAGCAGCAGGAGAGGAGAGGCGAGGAGAGGAGATTGCGGGCTGAGCGACTGACTGCTGTTCAGCTTTAATTAACAGGAGGAGGGCTCTTAATGGCTGTGTGCTGGGAGCTCAAAGGAGGACCTGGGAAAACTCAAATAAAAACGATTAAACGTTGGAGCATATTAGCGGCACTGGTGCGTAAGAAATTTAATGCTGCCTGAGTCTGCACGAGCCGGAGCGTGAGAGCGCTCACGGTTGTGTGTGTGCGTGCATAACCAGTCCCGACAAGCCAGCTAGTGAAAGTGTTTCTCTCTCCCTCCCACATCGGCTTCTACTTTTGTTGAAAAAAGGTGAGAAAGAAAAGCTGAGATGTGACTTGTCCCTGTGGCCCAGCTGGATTGACTGCTCCATCCACAAACCCAAACAAAGTGCCTCACCTCCCCACAGCAACATCTGACCTCATTGTTTGCACTTTCCTGAGGTAATGCTGTGCTCAACATGACCCCCCCCCTCACACTCACTCACTCACTCACTCACTCACTCACTCACTCACTCACACACTCTCTCTCTCCCTCTCCCTCTCCCTCTCCCTCTCCCTCTCCCTCTCCCTCTCTCACACACACACACACACAATCTCCCTCTATCTCCTTGTCTTGTGACCCTGAATAATGCTCTGGAGGGTGATGCAACTGACAACAGCTATCATTGAGTTACATTGATTGTATTAGCAACTATGAATAACTTGGCATAGGAAAGGATCATTTGTAATGTGTTATTACAGCTCTAATTGGATTTGACACCTCGCTGATTCATTTTCACTTCGCTTTGGTAAACATTGCAGCAAAGACTGGCTGTGTTGTGGTTCTGCACACGCTCAATCCAACCTGAAGGACCATGACCCATGGTCAGCAGCACAGTGGCTCCATCTCCAGAGTCTGTGTGTTAGCATGACATTAGGGCAAACTAGGCTCTATATTTCCTGCAGGATAATGGGGCCCTGGAGCAGCTGTGGGCTACAGTGTCCAGGTGTGAGTAAAATTGTGTGTGTGTGCATGCGTGTGTTTGTGTGTGTGTGTGTGGGCGTGCATGCGTGTGCGTGTAAGGGAATCCTAGTTCTTCTGTACAGGAAACACATGTCCTGTCTTTGCGCTGATTCAGGGGAAAACATCCCAAAACACATCAGTGCACGACTGCACACACCCCAACCTGACACTGCTTCCCTCCCTGCGGAAGTCCCTGTGGGACAACAGTCTCCCCTTGACTCTTTATGAATCTGTCTTAACCACTTTTACACCACTGCTGAGTTCATTCATTTCCCTTCCTCCTAAACTCTTGCTACCAAACATGCTCTCATAAGGCTCACGTTTTCAGTTACATCAAACACATTCTTGTCAATGTTAACATTTCTAGTATGTGCAACGTACAGGAAGAATTCAGCATACAGGGGAGAAAATAGTTTTGAATAGAAACCCTATTGCACTCTGGGAATACACATCATATAATGAAGATAGGAAAAACAGGGCAACAGTAAACATGTCGTCCCCCACCAATGATGCAGTGTATGACTAACACATTTCAGTGAATTACTATAGCTCCCACCTTGGGCCAATCAGTGTCATTTTGTAAATGCCGGATCTCTATGGCAAGACACATTATTCACCCAAGTTTAGTCAAAATTGGCCCAGTGCTGTTTGAGATATCGCGTGTGACTAACGTACGAACGTACGAAGGAATGTATGAACGAATGTACGTACGGACGGAGACAGATCCACAGATTTCATCGTGGGGGACAACAATAACACCGCAGACATATGGAAGACATAAGGAGACAGGACTTGTATACATAGCTCATGTTCATTTCAGATTGGAATCACATGGTGTTTCTCAGAAAGTGGGTTTGTAGTTTCTACCCAGCAGCAGCAGCAGCAGCAGCAGGCAGAGAGCAGGGGTCATATGTCCCTCAGAGAGGGAGGGGTACACTGTCTGCATGTTCCATACAGAGAGGAACCAGAACCACAGCCTCCAGCTACAACATTCTACATTTACATTTGAGTCATTTAGCAGACGCTCATATCGAGAGCAACTTATATTACTATTTATTTGATTATCTTTAAACTCATAACTGCCCGGGGATGCCTAGGGATTTCTTGTTTTCCGACTGTTATTTATTATTTGTCTGTAACCATTTACCCTCAAATATAAGCATCAGATTGATGCTTTTCTTTATGTTGCTGAACGAATCGACTCTTGTTGGTCAGGAGGCAGGAACAACAGCGAGTGTTGCGAGCCATAGGAGAGCTTCGTGTAGATAAAATATTGAAGATAAATATTTTTTTTGCAGGCTGCTGGAAACCATGCTGAATCAGCAAACTCTGTATTTAGTAAGTCTTATGGTTGAGAAGTCTGTAAGTTATCATCATGCTGTCCACAGAGGAACTGCTGTGTTTTTCATGGACTACGCATGGCTTTGTGGAATGGCCGAGTGGTTTCACAGAAAGCCTAACACTATGATGCAGGATGTCATAATGCAGTTTGTTGCAATTTGTTGAGATAGATCTGAGTGACTTTTCCACCATTGTTTCAGGCCTTAAGTCAACAGGAAGTGACATACACTCTGGGTTCTTGTTTGCCCTGGCCTAATGAGAGTACTGTCATAGTTGTGTCTTAGAGACAATGGGTTAAGTGGGTGGGTACGCATACAATCCCCCTGTCCCCACACTGATCTTTACCATCTTTATGACATGCGTATTTATTGACAAACAGTGTCAATGTCTTGTAAGACAAGAAGCATTCGGTGCACCCTGCTTAATCAACTGTAAATCTGGAATGATCTGGTATTCATGAATCAAACATCTACTGAATACAGTCTGTTACTATCATATTTCAGCCAAAAGGAATGACTGTCACAAATTTGGAGGCTTAAGCAATTTTACAGTGAAATCAGTGGTTGTTAAAATCATACACTCTGTCATTGTTTAGTTACAGTAAGTATCTTACCCACTGGTCCTGGGGTCCCCTTAGATCCTGGGGTCCCAGAAGGGCCCCTCACCCCAGCCTCGCCCCTGGGGCCACTGGGGCCCGGCAGTCCCCGGGACCCTAGCTTCCCTGAGCAAAGACAGGGTACAGACACTAGTAACCATAAAGCCATTCTGATTCAGCCACAAATAAGAGTTTGTGTTACAAACAAAACAATGACTGACTTGACATCTCAAACCTACCATCTTGTCCAGGGGTACCGTCTCTGCCTCTATCGCCCTGTGGACCTGTATGTTAGGGAAGAAATAGACAGGTGTCAGAGAGCAGTCCAGGGCCCAGGGAAAGAGGGAGCGAAAGGGGTCGTCCATTGCCTTGTGTGGAAAAATGGACTAGACGTTGAGTGATTCCTGAGGTGAAGGGTTACCAGATGGAGGTGGCAGAGCAGCTGAGCTGTGCTCTGGATTAGACAGACTCGCTGAAAGACTAAGCACTGAGATGTTAATTAGGGCCACAGAGGTGCCAGAGAGGAACAAACCCCATAGCTAGTCATGGGAGACTAAAACCAAAGAGTCCCACACAGGGCAGAACATTCAGCGAAATTATAGCTCTTATATTGTAGTGAAACAAAAAACGTATATACAGAACAGATCATTTCTCTCTCTCTCAAAACTACTAAGACTGACCCACAAACATTGCCTGTGTGGCAGGATGAACATAATGGTGCATTTACATTCATCTACAGGCCTCAGAAGGCCAGTGATGATCTTACCCTGAGAGAGCCTTTGGCTAAAACAGATTTGAATGTAATTGGATGGAAGTTGATACACTATTGAAAGGCCTTTTGAAAGTGCACCAGCAGAGCACTCTCTCTTTCTAGCTGCAGCCAACGCTGGGCTGAGCTCCAGGGAAGGAGAGGGCTTTCATGCCCTGAAGTGTTCACTTTCCACACAACAGAACCCTGAAAGAGAGCAGCACAGACAACTGGAAATTAGTGTCTGTGTCTGTGTGTGTGTGTGTGTTTGTGTGTGTGTGTATGTGTGTGTGCACGTCTCTCTCTTAGCGACAGAGGAAATAGGATATGGGGGAGGAGAGCAGGTAGAGATGCAATGGAGAACGAATTACAGCACACGAAGAGAGCTGTGCAGAGTGATTTCTCACTAAATGATCAAACATAACCCACTTCACTCAAATCAGTAGGCATACATGGTTTTCCTAAAACCTGCCCATACATGGGTATAGGAGACTTGTACGTACCTACGGGTCCCTGCTCGCCAGGTGCTCCTTTGGTTTGTGGAGCCTCTATCTGTGAGGATGACTCCGGTGCCGTTCCTCCTTTACCCTGTAGGTGGCGGTGAGAAGTGGAAGCAGGAGAGGACAGCACTTGGACCTATTGGGATAAAATAGGAAAGAGAGAGAAAGAGAGACATTTGAAGAGATTTTTTAATTTACCTTTTTATTAGGATCCCCATTAGCCGACACCAGTGGTGACAGCTAGTCTTACTGGGGTCCGACACATAACGAAAAAGACATTATAGACAAAATACTTTACAATTTATTGTAGTGTGTGTAGGCCGTCATTGTAAATAATAATTTGTTCTTAACTGACTTGCCTAGTTAAATAAAGGTTTAATAAAAATAAATACAAATCTATCAGAGAAATGCCAGTGCCTTTCAAAAAGACTCAAACACTGGTGTTCATGATCAGAGACTGTGTAGCCTCTCACTGCAGCACAGTTTTCAGTAGAGTCCATGACTGTACCTTGTCCTCCAGTGAGCTGAGTCTGTTTGTCAGGGCTGTGATTCGACTACAGTTGAGGCAATCTGGAGAACAGACAAAGAAACAAATATTATACACTACAGTTCAAAAGTTTGGGGTCACTTAGAATTGTCCTTGTTTTCGAAAGAAAAGCAATTTTTTGTCCATTAAAATAACATCAAATTGATCAGAAATACAGTGTCGACATTGTTAATGTTGTAAATGGCTATTGTAGCTGGAAACAGCTGATTTTTAATGGAATATCTACATAGGCGTACAGAGGACCATTATCAGCAACCATCAGTCCTGTGTTCCAATGGCACGTTGTGTTTGCTAATCCAAGTTTATCATTTTAAAAGGCTAATTGATCATTAGAAAACCCTTTTACAATTATGTTAGCACAGCTGAAAACTGTTGTGCTGATTAAAGAAGCAATTAAACTGGCCTTCTTGAGACTAGTTGAGTATCTGGAGCATCAGCAATTGTGGGTTCGATTACAGGCTCAAAATGGCCAGAAACAAAGAACTTTCTTCTGAAACTCATGTCTATTCTTGTTCTGAGAAATGAAGGCTATTCCATGCGATGAAATTGCCAAGAAACTGAAGATCTTGTACAATGCTGTGTACTACTCCCTTCACAGAACAGCGCAAACTGGCTCTAACCAGAATAGAAAGAGGAGTGGGAGGCCCCGGTGCACAACTGAGCAAGAGGACAAATACTAGTTTGAGAAACAGATGCCTCACAGGTCCTCAACTGGCAGCTAAATAGTACCCGCAAAACACCAGTCTCAACGTCAACAGTGAAGAGGCGAATCCGGGATGCTGACCTTCTAGGCAGAGTTGCAAAGAAAAATAAATATCTCTGACTGGCCAATAAAAATAAAAGATTAAGATGGGAACTTGGATTAGCAAACACAACGTGCCATTGGAACACAGGACTGATGGTTGCTGATAATGTAGATATTTGTCACGTCACCTCCCGTTGCTCCCCTCCAGCGCTCTGATTCGCCGGTCTACTGAGCCACCGGTCTGAGCGCACCACCTCGGCAACACCCAAATGGAAACCCAACGCAACCTAATCACCTCTAGCGCACTTGCACCTCATCTCATCACCACCCCTATATAGCCCTGGACTGTTCAGTATTATGTTGTGAGTGATTGTTAGTGTCTTGTCGTGTACTCGCTCTTTGTTGTTCTCTTGCTCAGTGTTAAGTAAACCTTTACATTGTTGATTCCTGCATCCTGCCTCTTCGTATCCTCAGTACTCGTCACAGAATCACACACCAATCACGAAGATGGATGCAGCAGCTAATCCTCCTGGAGTTTCCCAGCGCCTCGACCAGCACCAGCAGCAGATTGCCCAGCTAAACGCCGCCATGCAGGAAGTGCTCCAAACGCTGCATAAACTGACTATCGCTCCGGTTCCACCTCAGGGAGCGGCGAGTGCAACCAGTCCACCTCCTCCTGGGCTATCACCAATGTCTGAGGGAACCCTCGCCCTGCCGGAGCGCTATGACGGGAAAACGAAGAAATGTAGAGGCTTCCTGCTACAGGTTTCACTGCATCTGGCGTGTCAGCGTGGGGCATCTCCATCGGACCAAGCAAGGATAGTGCTGGTGATTTCACTACTGAAGGGAAAGGTGCTGGATTGGGCCACGGCAGTCTGGGAAGGAGGTGAGGCTGCAGCGCTTCCCTACTCCACCTTCCTCGCTCGGTTCAGGGCGGTGTTCGATCATCCCACGGAGGGAAAGGACGGGGGTGAGCATCTCCTCCGGCTACAACAGGGAGAGGGGGCCGCACGCGAGTACACCCTGAGCTTTCGCACGGTGTCTTCCGGCTGGAATGAGCGTGCTCTGCGCACGGCCTTCAGGAGAGGCTTACGGGAGGACATCACGACGGAACTCACATGTCGGGATGACGAGATGGACCTTGATACCCTCATCGCCACGTCCATTCATCTTGACGACATGTTGAGAGACCGACGGCGTTCCCAACACCTCCCGGAGCCTTGACGCTCACCCCATCTGAGCTATGGAAGCCGCCCTGCCTCCGAGTCCTCACCCTTGGAAGTGGGCAGCACCCCCTACACCACCACGGACCACAGATCTCCTGGCGGCTCCCTATCTAGGCGGTATGACTCCCGTCGCCGCTCCGTGAGTGTTCCTTCATCACCTGTCACCAAACCATTGTTTTTAGTTCCCCTAACGGTGAATGGTTCTTCCTTTTCTTCGCTTTCCACGGCAATGATAGATTCCGGATCAGTGGGGAACCTTACAGATAGGGTGCTGGTCTCTGAATGGGGGTTGCCCACTGTGCCACTGCCTTCTCCGTTTCACGTCACCTCGCTGGACAATAAACCACTTGGATCAGGCACCATTACGCACGTCACTCTCCCCATCACCATCACCATCACCATTCCCACACTACCGGAGCACCACGAGGAGCTGTCCTTCCAGATCGTCACGTCACCCCTTCACCGGATCATCTTAGGATGTTTTCTTTTTTTTTCTTCTCTTTTTTCTTTTCTTTAGGGGTGTTGATCAGCTTTACTATTGCTGATAGATTGTAACTTCCATCATTGTAATTGTCTGCATCACTTCCGATCGTCTTGGGATTGCCCTGACTCAGACTACACAACCCCACCATCAATTGAATCACCAAGAGGATCACAGCCTGGTCCCCCTCATGCCGGAGGACCTGCCTGCCGGTGGTTTGTTGTTCCACGTCAGTGGAGAGTCCGGAGTCCGCCCTCCAGCCCAACATTCCACGTGAGTACGCAGATCTCTCCGATGTCTTCTCTGCCTCCAAGGCTAAGTGTCTCCCTCCTCACAGGCCCTGGGACTGCGCCATTGACCTGCTGGAGGGACAACACCCCCCGAAGAGTCGGATTTACTCCCTCTCCATATCGGAGACTGATGCCATGGAGAAGTATGTGGCAGAGACCCTGAAACAGGGGTTCATCAGACGCTCTACCTCTCCTGCCTCCGCCAGCTTCTTCTTCGTGGACAAAAAAGACGGAGGACTGAGACCGTGCATTGACTACCGGGGGCTGAACGCAGTCACCACCAAGTACCGGTACCCCCTCCCTCTGGTTCCGTCGGCCATCGAGCAGCTGCGAGGGGCCCGGTACTTTACCAAGTTGGCCCTGAGGAGTGCCTACAACCTGACCTGAATCCGGGAAGGAGACGAGTGGAAGACGGCATTCAGCACTACCTCAGGCCACTATGAATACTGTGTCATGCCCTACGGCCTCGCTAACGCACCTTCCGTGTTCCAGTCCTTCGTCAATGATTTGTTGCGAGACATGCTGAGTAGACAGGTGGTGGTGTACATCGATGATATCCTGATCTACTCGACTACGTTCGAGGAGCACGTCAGGAACGTCAGAGCGGTCCTACTCTGCCTCTGGGAACACAGCCTGTTGGTGAAGGGGGAGAAATACGAATTCCACCAACAGGCCATCTCCTTCCTGGGATACAGGATCAGTCCTCAGGGGGTGTTCATGGAAAGAGCGAAGACGGACGCCGTCAGGTCATGGCCAGTCCCCACCACCATCAAAGGCCTACAGAGCTTCCTGGACTTCGCTAATTTCTACCGGCGTTTCATCAGGTCCTTCAGCTCCATAGCCTGCCCCGCTCACCTCTCTCCTTAAGGGGGGCCTCAGAAACTGGCCTGGAACCCTGAGGCTGACGCTGCCTTCAAGAGGCTGAAGGAGAGGTTCACCACAGTGCCCCTGCTAAAACACCCAGATCCAGCTCGTCCTTTCATCCTGGAGGTGGACGCATCTGAGGAGGGCGTGGTTGGGGTCCTCTCCCATCGGCAAGGTAAGCCAGAGAAAATGTATCCCTGTGCCTTTTTCTCGAAAAAGCTTACCTCCGCAGAGAGGAACTATGGAGTTGGAGACAGGGAGCTGTTGGCGGTGGTCCTCGCTCTGGAGGAATGGAGACACTGGCTGGAGGGCGCAGTCCATCCATTCCAGATTCTCACTGACCACTGGAATCTGGAGCACATATGGGCAGCGAAACGGATGAACTCTCGTCAAGCCAGGTGGGTCCAATTTCTAACTCGCTTTCAGTTTATTCTGTCCTACCGCCCAGGATCCCAGAATGTGAAAGCCGACGCACTCTCCAGGATGTACCATACCGGAGAAAGGAAGGATTTAGGGGGTCCTATCCTGCCACCGTCTCTCATCGTGGCACCTGTCGTTTGGGATGTGGACAAAGACATCCGACCTGGCGGCTCAGGAGGACCCAGCGCCTCCTGGGCGCGTGTATGTACCCACCAGGGTCCGTGACCGCCTGCAGATCTGGGCGCACACCACCTTTACGGCAGGGCACTCCGGTATGACGCGCACCCTACATTCTCTCTCACAAAAATACTGGTGGCCCACCTTGGCTACTGATGTCTCCCGCTATATCAACTCCTGTTTCGTATGTGCCCAAACGAAGACACCTCGGAATGCCCCGGCAGGCAAACTAGTTCCTCTCCCAGTGCCTCAGCGAGCTTGGTCACACCTGTCCATAGACTTTGTCACCGACCTCCCACGTTCTGACGGCTTCACCACAGTCCTGGTGGTCGTAGATCGGTTCTCCAAATCATGCCGTTATTTGCTACTAACTGGTCTTCCTTCTGCTTTCCAGGTCGCTGAGGTCCTGTTCCAACAGGTCTTACGGCATTATGGACTTCCGGAGGACATCGTCTCGGACCATGGCCCCCAATTCACCTCCCGAGTGTGGAAGGCTTTCCTGGAGAAGATCGGGGCCACGGCCAGCCTCACTTCCGGGTATAGGCCTCAGTCGAATGGGCAGGTGGAGCGCATGAACCAGGAGCTGGGGAGGTTTCTTCGCTGCCACTGTCAGGACCGGCAGGGTGAGTGGGCAAGGTTTCTACCCTGGGCAGAATATGCCCAGAACTCCCTCGTTCACTCCTCCACAGGGCTCACTCCCTTCCAGTACATCCTGGGGTACCAGCCGGCCCTGGCCCCTTGGACACCCAGCCAGACCGATGCGCCCACAGGGCCGGACAGGTCTGGGATGCTGCCCATGTCCACCTCCAGAGGGCCATTCATCGGCAGAATATGCCCAGAACTCCCTCGTTCACTCCTCCACAGGGCTCACTCCCTTCCAGTACATCCTGGGGTACCAGCCGGCCCTGGCCCCTTGGACACCCAGCCAGACCGATGCGCCCACAGGGCCGGACAGGTCTGGGATGCTGCCCATGTCCACCTCCAGAGGGCCATTCATCGGCAGAAGGAACAAGCTGACCGCCACCGAAGTGAGGCCCCCGTATTCCAGCCTGGTGATCGTGTCTGGCTGTCCACAAAAAACCTCCCTCTCCACCTGCCCTGCAAGAAACTGAGCCCCCGGTTTGTGGGGCCGTTTAAAGTCCTCCGGCAGATAAATTAGGTATCGTACCGGCTGCTCCTTCCCCCTCACTACCGTGTCTCACCCACTTTTCATGTGTCTCTCCTCAGGCCGGTGGTTCCTGGTCCTCTGGCGGATGCCGTCCCCCGGGGTACGCCCCCTCCCGTTGCTCCCCTCCGGCGCTCTGATTCGCCGGTCTATTGAGCCACCGATCTGAGCGCACCACCTCGGCAACACCGGAATGGAAACCCAACGCACCCTAATCACCTCCAGCGCACCTGCACCTCATCTCATCACCACCCCTATATAGCCCTGGATCGTTCAGTGTTGTGTTGTGTGTGATTGTCAGTGTCTTGTCGTGTACTCGCTCTTTGTTGTTCTCTTGCTCAGTGTTAAGTAAACCTTTACATTGTTGATTCCTGCGTCTGCGTCCTGCCTCTTTGTATCCTCAGTACTCGTCACAATATTCCATAAAAAATCTGCAGTTTCCAGCTACAATAGCCATTTACAACATTAACAATGTCTACACGGTATTTCTGATCAATTTGATGTTAATTTAATGGACAAAGAAATTGCTTTTCTTTCGAAAACAAGGACATTTCTAAGTGACCCCAAACTTTTAAATGGTAGTGTATGTGGACAAGTATCGATATCTGCAAAAAGCACTTCCAAAAATGTACTTCAGTGAATATGAGAAACATGGGGCCTGAGTGTTAAAACAAAACGTTGTAAAGGAGATAAATGGGATCCTAGGTGTTCTGAGTCTGACGATATTCAAAAGAGAAGTATGGTTCCAGGTGTTAAAGTACTGTATGAGAGAGTGTTAGGGTTGTGGTTTTTACTGGTGGAGAGCTGCTCCCCTGTTCCTGTGCGGGCCGGGGCAGGAGGTCGGCGGAGAGTGGACGGCTTCCTCACCGCCTCCTGAGCCACCAGCTGGTTTCCTGACTCTGAAGAGGAAGAGGATGAAGAGGAGTCAGTTCAGTGGACCACACAGTGAGGACATACAGACGTCATTCCGTTATGATGCACTAAGTCACTCATGCAAATGGCCCTGATAAGCAGTGAGGCTTCCAGACAACAGCACAATCAGTACACATCAACAAGAAAATACCAACCCTCCCACAAAGTATTTTCACTCAATTTCGGAATGCTCACGGGTGCCAATATTCCCTTGTCAATTCAGTATTCTTTTTTTATTCCATTATTTTTATTCAAATTATTTGGCATTCTGATTATGATGAAGCACTGTGGCAGGCAAGCTGGACTGCATGAGAGAGTTTTGCTCTGAAAGCCCTGGACAATAACTCTCTAGTGTCCTGTGACTGTAAGGAGACCGGGAACTTCTCTCTATCAGGTGACCTCACCAACACCACAGTCAGGGTGGGCCAGCAGGTGAGGACCACAGGGGAGAGGGATGGACGGATGGAGGAATGGATAGAAAGGGGGATGATGGTGCTAGAGCAGGCGTGACTTTTATCTCTGTCCTATATCCCATCCATAGAGCCATGATTGCATGGAACTCCATTCCATCTCAGATTGCTCAAGTGAACATCAGACCTGGCTTTCAAAAACAGCTTCACGGCACTTCAACGCCTCTCCGCTATTTAAACAAATGATTTGATGTGTATGTATGTACTGATATGAATGTATAACTGATAGTCTAGATGCTACTGAATTGAGTCACTATTGAGTCAGTACAGAACCTTTTAGTTATATTTTTCTTGTTTACAATTGATTTAGTTCTGTCTTTGAGTTCTTGTCTATTAATGTTCTGTATTATGTAATGTGTCATGTTTTGTGTGGACACCAGGGAGAGTAGCTGCTGCTATCGCAACAGCTAATGGGGATCCTAATAAATTCCAAATACCATACCATAAACATCCTACAGATGTAGGATCTTAATTTGAGCCAGTTTCCAGCCAGCAACAGGAAATGTGAATTATTATGTGGATTATAATCAATGGACATTTTTTTGTGGGGTTGATACATTTTTCTTTAGGGAAAATCAATTCTAGCATTTTAAAGGGAAAATTACAAACGTTAGAAGCCTTTTAAACCTTGAATACACTACAAGTTAGCATTTCTTGCTGTGCAGAAAAATTCTCAGCAGCAAAAGAGTGATCAAATGATCTGTACATTGCAATTATATCAAATTCACAAACAACAAAAGCTGCACTTGGCCAAACTGCTTTCATGTTGGTATGATTTTATTGAGTATAAAAACAGTTTCAGCACTTTCAGTCTATTCTATCTTGCCTATGGGAGTTTGTGTTCCTGCTGGTTGGGGATGTTTTGAATGGGCAGACCTTTGTGGAGTCCCAGACTGTCTGCTCTGTGTGTGTTAGTGTTGTTGTGTCTGTATGACCCAGGTGCTGCGGGCACAAACAAGAGTCTGGGTTCAGCACCTCACTCCTCTCAGAGTCAGCTGGAGCCAAACACACTGCAAACTACTGGCCAACACTGCCTGGAAATAGCACCTGCAACCCTTTCAGGGGCAGGGAGAGACTATTATACTCCGTCAAGAACTCACTCAATCTCTATGTGTCACACACACAGTCAGCCACACTTACCATAATATATATTATGCGCTATTGATGCTTGTCAGTGACAGCACAAACAGAGATACAGTACAGAGAGTTCATGTTCTGTTTAGAGTTCAGTGAGTGGGAGAGAGCAAAAGAGGACAAAAGAGATCACGACAGAAAGAGTTAGTGGCCATAAAGAGAGAGGAGGAAAAAGGGAAAAGAACAGTGTGAAAAGGCTTTGTGTAAATGGACCCTGCTCCAGGCACTTGCCCTCAATCTTTGTGGTTTTGATTTTCTATGTTTTGGGTTGAAAGGCTTTCTCAGCGGGTTACTATTAGTGCATGTGGAAATTAAACAAGGTTAGAGCTGAGACTGTAAAGCAATGGTATGTTCTGAGGAATGTGTAAAGAAATACTCCTAAAAGCCCTGTCTTCCATTTCAGTAAGAATGTAAAATTAGCGGCGAACTTCGATCGGGGAGTGAACACACGCTTTGTTCTGCTACATGTCCGTCTTTCTGCCTGTCTATTTGAGAGTGTATCTCTGTGTGTGTGTGTATGGTGGTGGTGGGGGGGGGGCTCAATTGAAGTGTCCTATGGAGACCGGCTCATATTGATGACTGTGTCCGATTTCAAATTGGCTCGGAATTGATAATATACCCCTGCTCCAGAACGCACTGAAGGCACCTCTAACCTAGCCTCCCTTTCCGACAGACAGCACCTCTTTTCTCTTTAGACTATAGACCATTCAAGTGCCAAGATCCCTCCACCCACACTCAAATACATTGTATAAAACATTCAGCTGGCTTTGGCACTCAGACAACCATCCCCCACACACCCCAACTGCCTAACTTTCATTCTCTCACTCTCTCTTTCATTCACTCGGCCTGATCATGTTTCAAGTTTGAGAAATCACAAGATAACAAGACAACTTATTCCCCTATATTCCCATAGACAGTGTCTGTGAAGCAGTGTGTGTTGACTTGGATGTGCTGAGTGTGATCTATTCATCTGGGCCAAGAGTAACAATGTCAAGGCTAATGACTGGTCTCTCTCTCTCTCTCAATTCAATTTCAATTTAAAGGCTTTATTGGCATGGGAAATGTATGTTAACATTGCCAAAGCAAGTCAACATCTCTCTCTCTCTCTCTCTCTCTCTCTCTCTCTCTCTCTCTCTCTCTCGGCTAAAGGGGGGGGGGGGGGGGGGGGGGTCAGAGAGACTTGCCTGAGTGCGTTTGACCCTTGACCCTGTGCTGCTCTGGGCCCTAATCAGCATTTGAAACAGAGCTCTTCATTAGAGGAGACTCCTGTGGAGAGAGGAGAGGTCGTCCTGACATCAGCTCTGTGTCTGGTTCCAGGCTCTGGGGCTGACAGGACAGGACAGGACACAGAGCACAGCACAGGGGGGAGTTTTACACTGTTTACAAACACTGACAAGTCATTTCCTCCCCACTGGCCTGACCTGCCTTGTGGAACTCTCTCAGGAGACACAGGGAGAGGGGTGAAGGTCACACCACTGCAGTGTCAGGGTTAACTAAAATCTCATTAGTGTTATACAATTATCCACAGCTGTGTGTGTGTGTGTGTGTGTGTGTGTGTGTGTGTGTGTATGTGTGTGTGGCAGTACTGGCAGTAGGCGCAGGGGAGGGGGGTCTTGGCAGTCTTGCTAACAATCTTCCAAAAAGCATAACCCCTTCCCCCTCTATGACTGTGGTTACCCAAATAACTCCCTCCCTCCAACACCCTTTAAGCAGCCCCTGAGGGCCCTCCGTGGCAGTCCGGGGGAGGCCCCTGACAGCACACGGTCACAGGGAGAGTGGGCTGGGAGCCATCACACTCAGAGAGGAGGCCAAATTCTCACCAACCAGCAGGCTTGTGTGTTTGTGTGTGTGTGTGTGTGTGTGTCAAATTAAATCAACGTTTATTGGTCGCGAACACAGATTTGCAGATGTTATTGCAGGTGCAGTGAAATGTTTGTGTTTCTAGCTCCAACACTGTAGTAATACCTAGCAATAAATAAATAAATACATACATAATCCAGAAAAATTCCGGAATATACATATATATATATACATTAAGGGTTAAGGTTAAGGGTTAGGGGTTAGGGAATAAATGTTTTGGTCCCCTCAAGGATAGTACAACAAACATGTGTGTGTGTGTGTGTGTGTGTGTATTTGTGTGTATGTGTGTGTGTGTGTGTGTGTGTGTAGCCTTATAAATGTATCCAAGGTCAGTCCTCCAGTGATATCCTCCCAGTGAAAATAAACCAGACCATTCTGCAGAGAGCCCAGCCAGCCCAGAGAGCATATTTCCCCCTTCCTCTCTTTACAGAGCCAGTTAATGCTCCAACTCACTCTCGGCTCCCTCTCCTTAGCTCATTATTTGCCCTGGTTCATTTATTCTCTCTATGATATGCAAAAGACATAACCCTGTGCAGACAGACACAGTCCTCGTGCTAGGAAGGCCTGTCTTGTGGAGGTATTTCTATGGCTAAAATGTCTCTTTGTTTCTCAATACATATGGTCTGTAATGGTGTGAGGGTGATTATATGCAAGCTCACACACATCTCGTCTCAGTGTTGGCCTTGGTGGAGTTTAATCAACAACGAGGTGTACATTTAAACGATGTGATTTTACCACAGCACAGGGGCTCTGGCTGCCCCTCCTCCTCCTCCTTTAGCTTGAGTTTCATAAGACTGGTTTAGCTCAGAGCCAGAGGTTCCCATGGGGAGGTATGAGGTCTGAGGGAGCAGGGAGCAGCTGTGGACACAGCCTATCCAGTCAACACAGAGCTGGGCTGGGCTGGGTTTGGGAGGGGAGGGAGGAATCCTCCTGATCTGATACAACATATGTCTGCTCAGAGAGTGACTGGGTGCTGCTGACCAGCCAGGCCAGGGAGTTTGTCTCTGTCACGCTGCTGCTGAAGCCTTCATGAAGACTAAAGACCACTGGGGCATATGAACAAAGATTTGGATGCATCTGTAGATGCACTACTATTAGACAAAATTCTGATCCTGCAAATATTCCCTACAGAGTGGCTGGCTACTCTTTGCCTATGAGTGCTGACCCAGCAGTTTCACTGGTTTATTAGTATGACCAAAAAGGGCATATGATAACAAATTGGGGTGATGCTCCTCCAGTTCTCTCCTCTCTCTCTCTCTCTCTCTCTCTCTCTCTCTCTCTCTCTCTCTCTCTCTCTCTCTCTCTCTCTCTCGCTCTCTCTCTCTCTCTCTCTCTCGCGCTCTCGCTCTCTCTCGCTCTCTCTCTATCTACACATGGCTTCCATCTCCAAAGTTACGTTGGGACCATGGTATCGTCACCGCGACCGACCCGGGGCTCATCCTCAGTGGGCCAACCCAAACCTGCCCTCCAGCGTTTATAGTGCTTTCCCAGGATTCCAGCTTTGCTTTTATTAGGTGATTGGCTGAGAGGGAGGGACGGCCTACATCATGAACTGCCACTCTCCAGTGAGCCCCCACCTCTGCCTGCAATGGTGAGGCCCACAATCTCTTCTCACACTGCAGTGCCCACTGGGTTCCTGTGGGACTCTGTAATTAGGGGCAGGTGTAGGGAGGGGGGGGTGGGTGTCCTTGGGCCAACATGGACTATCTCCAGAATTCACTATAAGGGTAGGTTAAGCTGACAGAGTCTTTACAAGGACACTCAAACATATTTGTCTACACACACAAACACACACTGCTATGGCTGTTGTTGTGAGCAGACCTGCTGCAGAGGTGTTGGGCCAGACAAACTGCAACTGAAACCAGACATGGCCTCTAGGACCCTGAGGTGAGGGGTGGGGTGGTGGAGGGTCAAGGGAGGGGCTCTCACCTCCTACAGACACATCTCACTTCATCAGTCAACACCAGCAGGCCGGCAGGCAGACCAGACAGTCAGACAGGAGAGCCCTGGCCTCCAGACACACACTCCCTCCCTCCCTCCCTCCCGCCACCTCCACTAGGCTAGACCTTCATAACTCCATCACAAATGGGTCTGAGAACAGACTGAGACTGCCTGGGATCTTCAACAAACACTTGGCATGGCCACTCAATGGAGTGTTGGAACTTGTGTGGTTGCAGTTACTGACTTCATTCTAATGCTTTCCTCTTGTTCTGATTCCAGATGAGCTGTTAAAGGTAGACTCAGCTAAATGACATTGCCACGAGCACCACCGCAGATATTACGATGAGCGAGATTGCAAGACTTCGCTCCCACACAGTCACACCCAGTATCTGCGCATGTGTATGGGTTCGCTTCATGATGTTAGAGCGTGGTAGGTACGGGACTAATCTCGGTTACCCAGAAGTAAAATTCTCACAAAGTTGTCACTTCCCGTTTACATGTAAATCTGTCCACAATAGATTAGTACGGGACCAAAACTGTGGGGGAGTTTAGCCTCGCGCTTCAACACTCTTAATTGTTGCGGAAATTGACCCACTATGCTGTTTACTTTGTGCACCTACGTCATATCGCTGAGTTTACCTTTACCTGGCCTCTACAGGGAAGACAGACAGACTCAGCAGGGTGGCACTAACCCACACCAGCTCCTCCACAGAGCAGACCAGATGGTCCCATAATATGGAGCACAGCCAAACACACACACACACACGCATCCGTACACGCGCACAAGCTCCCGTGCACGCGCACATGCACACACGTAAATGCACACATATACACACAAACACACACACACACATGCAAGGTGATGCAGGAGGCAGGGAGAACAACAGCATTCTTCCTCAGTAGTTCCTACAGTAGTGTAGTGCCCTGGCAGCTCATCTATTCCATCCAGATGTGCACGCAGACAGACCTCTAATCTTCCACCGGAAAAATAGGTTTTCTACCTCTCCTCCCACCTCCTCTTCCCAGACAGGGGCTGCTCCTTCTGCCCCCTCTCTTCCTCTCTCCTGCCCCCTCTCCCTCTCCCTCCCGCTCTCTCTCTCCCATACCTGTGGTGAGGCTGATGGCAGGGGCAGGGTCCGTGTCTCAGACGGCTCTGTGGGGCCTGGTTGCCCCCCCCCCCCCCCCCCCCCCTCCTCTCCTTCTCACTGGCAGACAGTAGTCTATAATTACAGAGTAGAGCCTGGCATGGCTGTATGCGGCACTGGTGTCTATCTGCCTGTCTGTCTGTCTGTCTGTCTGTCTGGAACATCCACATCTGCTCCTACTGGGACCCTGTCAGACTGACTGGTTGCTATCGGCAGCCTTTAACTTAATTTCCCTCCCCTCCCACTTCTCCCTCCACTCCTCTCTAACCCTCTGCTTATCATTTGCCAACTGCCTGATATGTGGTTACCTACACTGGAGTCCAGTCCTCTGGCCCACCTGACAGTCTTCACTGCTGAGAATCGCTCCAAGGCACTCTCATAAATAATAATGACTATAATAGTGAATACAGAAACAATGAGCTCTGTTTAATAATCCCCTCACTTTCCCTCTGACCTTTGAGTATACTAACTAGAGTACCTCCCTCTCTTGCTGCCTGACCACTTTATTTCTCTCTCCAAAATATCCCTATTATTTTTCTCTTATCTGCTTCAGCACTCTGTCAGTCCTCTCAGTAAGTTTCATCTCACCAACATGATGTCTGGATGCCCACAACAACAACAACTGGGTGTGCTCATAGAGCAAGCCACAGAAAATAAAACTATTCTGAAATCCTATATTCCAACAAACAGATGCGAAAAAAGCAAGGCTAAACATGGTTTAAAAAAAATAAGATATTAAAAGTAGAAACATCCCCTTCATCCCCCCGTATGGCGAAAAGGAAACAATTATCTTGGTGCCGCAAAAACAAACAACGCTGTGGTCTGTGTAAAGTGGCAAACATTAGCGGCGAGCACATCTGGGGAAGTGAAGCATGCTGCGTTTGAGACGGCGTGCGGTTGGGATGGGCTGCACCATAAATCCGCCCCACGCTTTTTAAACATTTCCTCCGCTTGAAGGTAACAGATGTCCAATAAGTACATGAGGCAAAGGCTGACGTTACCATCACTTTTTATTAAGAAGGACACAAAAACATTGGAAAACTATAAAATCTCCTTCCTTTCATGTCCCCGTCTTGTGACCCCAGCTGACCTGCATGCAGACGCCGCTCTCATCACTCTCCCTCCTCTCTCAATTCAATTAAATTCAAATAGATTTATTGGCATGGGAAACATATGTTTACATTGCCAAAGCAAGTGAAAGAGATAATAAACAAAAGTTAAATAAACAATAAAAAATGAACAGTAAACATTACACTCACAAACGTTTCAGAGGAATAGAGACATTTCAGATGTCATATTATGGCTATGTATAGTGTTATAATGATGTGCAAATCGTTAAAGTACAAAAGGAAAATAAATCAACATAAATATGGGTTGTATTTACAATGGTGTTTGTTCTTCACTGGTTGCGCTTTTCTTGTGGCAACAGGTCACAAATCATGCTGCTGTGATGGCACACTGTGGTATTTCACCCAATTGATATGGGAGTTTATCAAAATTGGAGTTGTTTTCACATTCTTTGTGGGTCTTTGTAATCTGAGGGAAATACAGTTGAAGTCGGAAGTTTACAGTGGGGAAAAAAAGTATTTAGTCAGCCACCAATTGTGCAAGTTCTCCCACTTAAAAAGATGAGAGAGGCCTGTAATTTTCATCATAGGTACACGTCAACTATGACAGACAAAATGAGATTTTTTTTCTCCAGAAAATCACATTGTAGGATTTTTGATGAATTTATTTGCAGATTATGGTGGAAAATAAGTATTTGGTCAATAACAAAAGTTTCTCAATACTTTGTTGTATACCCTTTGTTGGCAATGACACAGGTCAAACGTTTTCTGTAAGTCTTCACAAGGTTTTCACACACTGTTGCTGGTATTTTGGCCCATTGCTCCATGCAGATCTCCTCTAGAGCAGTGATGTTTTTGGGCAACACGGACTTTCAACTCCCTCCAAAGATTTTCTATGGGGTTGAGATCTGGAGACTGGCTAGGCCACTCCAGGACCTTGAAATGCTTCTTTCGAAGCCACTCCTTCGTTGCCCGGGCAGTGTGTTTGGGATCATTGTCATGCTGAAAGACCCAGCCACGTTTCATCTTCAATGCCCTTGCTGATGGAAGGAGGTTTTCACAAAAAATCTCACGATACATGGCCCCATTCATTCTTTCCTTTACACGGATCAGTCGTCCTGGTCCCTTTCACAGTAGGTATGGTGTTCTTTGGATGCAACTCAGCATTCTTTGTCCTCCAAACACGACGAGTCTCTAGATGGAATTTGTATTTGTGGTCCTGACAACTGGACCTTTTTTTGGAACACCATAATTTTTGTCTTCCTGAGATTTACTGTCAGGGCCCAGGTCTGACAAAATCTGTGCAAAAGATCTAGGTGCTGCTGTAGGCCCTCCTTGGTTGGGGACAGAAGCACCAGATCATCAGCAAAGAGTAGACATTTGAGTTCAGATTCTAGTAAGGTGAGGCCAGGTGCAGCAGACTGTTCTAATGCCCTCGCCAATTCGTTGATATATATGTTGAAGAGAGTGGGGATAAAGCTGCATCCCTGTCTCACCCCACGGCCCTGTGGAAAGAAATGTGTGTGTTTTTTGCCAATTTTAAATGCACACTTGTTGTTTGTGTACATGGATTTTATAATGTCGTATGGTTTTCCCCCAACACCGCTTTCCATCAATTTGTATAGCAGACCCTCGTGCCAAATTTAGTCAAAAGCTATTTTGAAATCAACAAAGCATGAGAAGACTTTGCCTTTGTTTTGGTTTGTTTGTTTGTCAATTAGGGTGTGCAGGGTGAATATGTGGTCTGTCGTACGATAATTTGGTAAAAAGCCAATTTGACATTTGCTCAGTACATTGTTTTCACTGAGGAAATGTACAAGTCTGCTGTTAATGATAATGCAGAGGATTATTGGGGTCAAATCTCTCTCTCTCTCTCTCTCTCTCTCTCTCTCTCTCTCTCTCTCTCTCTCTCTCTCTCTCTCTGAACGCAAGAAGAGTATTGTCCTGTGATGTGTCTTAGCATTCCCTCCCTCCTCTTCCTCTTCCTCTTCCTCTTCCTCTTCCTCTTCCTCTTCCTCTTCCTCTTCCTCCTCCTCCTCCTCCCCTCATTCCCCTGTCCTGTGGTCACCAGGAAGACCATTAAAACCAGGAGCATTGTACTACTGACAGTGCCTGGGTGAAACCACACTATCCTCTGTTGTGTGTTTAGAGTGACAGTGAGGGACCGTCTGTGACCTCCTCCCTTCCCGTCCTGACACAGCACAGCAATTAAAACCCAGTCCTCTCAGCCAACACACAGCCACAAACGGCTCAAAGAACAAGTGTTCCAAAAACAACTGGGCCCAGGAATAGGCCTGCCTACTGACCTCCATACACACACACACTCTCCACAGCCACAGCCACAGATATAACCACAGACACAGCCTTTCCCTGCTCACTGAGGTTGGACATAGCAAGTACAGAGCAGCTACGATACTGTGCATTACTATACATTACTATGTATCAGTGGAGGCTGCTGAGGGGAGGATGGCTCATAATAATGTCTGGAATGGAGTAAATGGAATGGTATCAAACACGTGTTTGACACCATTCCATTCACTCCATTCCAGACATTATTATGAGATGTCCTCCCCTCAGCAGCCTCCACTGCTATATATTAATACTTTGCAATGAGATATGAAGTCCATGCTCACGATGCATAAATTCTAAAACAAAATCACACCCACTGAGGAATAGAGTAGCTGAATTTGACAACACATAGTAAATATACACACAGTCGTTAGAAGCGCCTTAAGAGGCATGTATTGTATTGCACTCTTGAACATTTTTGAAAATTGTGAGATTAGGAAAAATTCAGCTTTCAAGCCAAGAACACTGATCTAAAACCCCAGGTAAGAACAGTGGTGAGGGCTATTTCACACACTTTGGTTTGCTGCACCAAGACACCCTGCAACAACACGATTCTGGGGGAATTCTTGGCCAGTGAACCCTGTACTCTGGCCTGGCTCATTAAGTTGTGCACCCTATTCCCTATTTAGTGCACAACTTTTGACCAGGGCCCCTATGTAATGCACTACTGGTAGACCAAAGGTAGTACATTATATAGGGAATAGGGTGCCATTTAGGACACACCGTCAACTCACCCCACTCTGCCCACAACGCCAGCCAAGCATAAAGCAGCCCAGTCCAGCCATGCAGCTAAACATCCTGCCCCATGTCTAATGCTATATACAGAAGGTTCTGTGGGAGTAAACGGTGTTGCTCCATCAGCCCATAGCACTGTATGTGAGAGCAGATGAGGGCAAGGCTTATTAATAAAAGGCTTAAAACACCCCCATCACCACCCACCTAAACAACCCAAAAAATCAAGAGCCCCCTATGACAACCGTGTAACGGTACCCATGGCAACAAAAAACAAAGGTTTTGCTCTAATGCATTGACTGACTATATTCCAACTCCCCTCTCTGCGATATTCTGCTCCAACAGCAAACCGTAAACCTTCCTTAATCCTGTGTGCTATAAATGAGCTGGGAGCAGCAGAGAGAGACAGGCGCGGTGAGGGGGGGCCAAGCAGCGGACAGATAGCTGGGTCTCAGAGGCCTTGATTTAGATGGCCTTTATACTCTTCACAGATAGAAACGTCACTGTCGGTTTGGGCCGACTACAAAACCTTAATGCATAAAAACGCAGGAAGGAATAGCTACATGTAAAAGAAAAGTTCGGTACATAGAAACAAATGATCAAATATATGTATTTTCTAGATAATATGAAGAACCCCTCCTAGTCAGCCTCGGGCAAGTCCAAAGGAGGAGGGTGTGCCTCTTCATAAACAACAACTGGTGCACTGCTTCCAGTGTGAAGGAAATCTTGAGCTTTTGCTCACCTGATATAGAATATCTCATGGTAAGCTGCAGACCCTTTTATCTACCTAGAGAGTTCTCATCCGTAATTATCACATCCCTCCACAAGCCAACACCAATTTGGCACACAACTAACTGTATGGGGCCATAAACAAACAAGAATCAACACATGATGATTCATGTTTTCTTTTAAATCCACAACTAGAATCCCTCCACAGCCTCATAGAGGATCTAGATCCATTTTCTAACCACTCTGGATTACAACCAAATTATGACAAATGTACTAGATTACGTATTGGATCACTAAAAAATACAATTTTTACATTACCATGTAGTTTACCTCTTTAGTATTATCCCAGTTTACCTATTTGCTTATGGTCTTGCCTACGCCTAGCGAACAGTTTTTTAAATTATATGAGAAAAAACTATTCAATTTTATTTGGAACGGCAAGCCAGACAAAATTAAAAGGGCCTATTTATATAATGAATATGTGTCACGGTTTCGGCCGAGACTGCTCCTCCTCCTGGTTCGGGCAGGCTTCGGCGTTCGCCGTCCCCGGAGTACTAGCTGCCACCGCTCTATGTTTCGTTATTTGATTGCTTTTGTCTGTCTGTTACACCTGTGTCCATTTGTGTGTTGATTACGTGTCGTATAAGTTCCTTGTTTTGCACTAGTATGATTGTGTGTTGTTTTCACTGTCATGCTGTTCGGAGCTACGTGTTTGCACTCTGTTTGTTTTATGTTTAGTGTTTACGCGTGTATGCGTAATTCTCCCTCGCCTCTTGTTTTGTCGAGGTCGTGTTACTTTTGGACATTTGACTTTGGATTATTAAAGTCTGTTGGACTTAACCTCTGTGTCCTGCGCCTGACTCCTCCACCACATCCACATCGGTTCCCTTCTGACAGAACAACACACCACCATGGAGTCAGCAGGAACAGCGGCGGCACCCGAATCCCTGGAAGACCGGATCAACTACCAGGACACCATGATCCGGCAACTCGGGGCCGCCATGGAGGATGTGTCCAACACTCTGCGCCGATTGGTGAATCGAGAGGTGCCCACGCACTCTTACAACATCCCATCACCAACGGCCAGTCCTCCTCTCTCAGCACCGGAACCCAGTGGCATTCGGCTCTCGCTCCCGAGGGCATATGACGGTTCTGCAGCCGGGTGTCAGGGATTTCTCCTGCAGGTGGAACTTTACCTGGCCACCATACACCCGGCGCCCTCGGGATACGAGAGCGTCTCCGCCCTCATCTCCTGTCTATCCGGCAAGGCGTTGGAGTGGGCCAACGCCGAATGGAGGGGAATAGACGCCGCAACCATCACCTACGCGGAGTTCTCCCGCCGCTTCAGGGCTGTCTTCGATCATCCACCTGAGGGGAAAGCGGCGGGAGAGCGTCTGTTCCACCTCCGACAGGAGAAGAGGAGCGCACAGGAGTTCGCACTGGAGTTCCGGACACTAGCAGCGGATGCGGGGTGGAATGAGAGGGCCCTCATCGACCACTACCGGTGTAGCCTACGAGAGGACGTTCGTCGTGAGCTGGCCTGCAGGGACACCAACCTGTCGTTCGACCAGTTGGTGGACATTTCCATCCGTCTAGACACCCTGCTGGCTACCCGCGGACGTCCCGAGTGGGGGTCGTCCATTCCGCCCTCCAGCACCTCCGAGCCGATTCCCATGGAGCTCGGGGGTGCTGGCGCTAGAGAGAGGAGGAGAGGTAACCCGAGGGGGGCCATCCCCTGCACCACCTGTGGTCGTGGAGGACACACCGCGGCCAGGTGCTGGGGAGGGTCTCCTGGGAGAGGTGACAACAGGCCACGCACTGGGGAGTCATTTCAGGTGAGCAGGCGCCCCACTTACCCAGAGCTTTCTGTTGGTCACATGAGTATTCCTGTGAAATTTCCACAGGTGGCACCTCATTCCCAGCATAAGGCGCTAGTAGATTCAGGCGCAGCTGGGAACTTTATTGATCGGGCATTTTGTTGTAGGTTAGGAATTCCCCTTCGGCCGGTAGAAGCTCCATTTCCTGTCCACGCATTAGACAGCCGGCCGTTGGGGTCGGGCCTGATCAGGGAGGTCACAGCACCACTGACGATGACGACGCAGGGGGGTCATGAGGAGATCATTCAGTTTTATCTGATTGACTCTCCTGCGTACCCCGTGGTGTTGGGCCTTCCCTGGTTAAGTACCCATGATCCTACCATAGCGTGGCAACAGAGAGCTCTTATGGAGTGGTCTGCCCAGTGTGTAGGGAGATGTTTAGGTGTTTCCGTAGGGGCGACCTCGGTAGAGAGTCCGAACCAAGTGCCCGCACTGCGCATTCCCCCTGAGTATGAGGATTTAGCACTTGTGTTTAGCAAATCGAGGGCAACACGGCTACCTCCTCATAGACAGGGGGACTGTGCGATAAATCTCCAAACAGGAGCGGCTCTGCCACGGAGTCGTGTGTATCCCCTGTCTCAAGAGGAGACAGCGGCTATGGAGACTTACATAGCCGAGTCCTTGGCACAGGGATACATACGGTCCTCCACTTCCCCGGTCTCCTCGAGTTTCTTCTTTGTGAAGAAGAAGGACGGGGGATTGCGCCCGTGTATTGATTACCGTAGTCTCAATCAGATCACAGTTAAATACAGTTACCCACTTCCACTGATTGCGACGATGACGGAATCGTTACGCGGAGCGCGGTTCTTCACAAAGTTGGATCTCAGGAGCGCGTATAATCTGGTGCGCATTAGGGAGGGGGATGAATGGAAAACAGCATTTAGCACCACCTCGGGTCATTACGAGTATCTCGTCATGCCATACGGGTTAATGAATGCTCCTTCAGTCTTCCAATCCTTTGTTGACGAGATTTTCCGGGACATGCATGGGCAGGGTGTAGTAGTTTACATCGACGACATCCTAGTGTATTCTTCTACACGAGCCGAGCATGTAGCCCAGGTGCGCCGAGTGTTGAGAAGACTGTTGGAGCATGACTTGTATGTCAAGGCAGAGAAATGCCTGTTCTTCCAGGAGTCCGTCTCCTTTTTGGGTTATCGGTTGTCCGCGTCTGGTGTGGAGATAGAGGTAGACCGGGTATCGGCCGTGTGTAATTGGCAAACTCCAACAACGGTAAAAGAGGTGCAGCAGTTCTTGGGTTTTGCTAATTACTACCGGAGGTTTATTCGGGGTTTTGGACAGGTTGCAGCTCCCTTTACGTCCCTGCTAAAGGGGGGTCAGGTTCGTTTGCAGTGGTCGGCTGAGGCGGACAGGGCATTTGTCAAACTAAAGAACCTGTTCACCTCGGCTCCTGTGCTGGCGCATCCGGATCCCTCTTTGCCATTCCAAGTAGAGGTAGACGCGTCCGAGACCGGTATTGGGGCAGTTCTGTCACAGCGGTCCGGCACGCCACCTAAACTCCGCCCCTGTGCGTTCTACTCCAAGAAGCTCAGCTCGGCGGAGCGCAACTATGATGTTGGGGACAGGGAGCTGTTAGCCGTAGTCCAGGCCCTAAAGGTGTGGAGGCATTGGCTTGAGGGGGCTCAACACCCTTTCCTCATTCTGACTGATCACCGTAACCTGGAGTACATCCGGGCAGCTAGGAGATTGAACCCTCGTCAGGCTAGGTGGAACATGTTCCTAACCCGGTTTGTTTTTAAGATCACATACATCCCTGGGTCCCAGAATGGTAAGGCAGACGCCCTGTCCCGGCGGTATGACACAGAGGAGAGGTCCAACGAGCCTACTTCCATATTGCCGGAGTCTTGTTTGGTGGCTCCGGTGGTATGGGAGGTCGATGCGGAAATCGAGCGGGCACTGCGTACCGACCCTACTCCCCCCGAGTGTCCTGTGGGGCGGACGTACGTGCCGCTCGAGATTCGTGATCGTCTTATTTATTGGGCTCATACATCACCCTCCTCTGGACATCCAGGTATTGGCCGGACCGTGCACTGTCTTAGCATGAAATACTGGTGGCCAACGTTAGCTAGGGATGTGAGGGTTTATGTCTCCTCCTGCTCGGTGTGTGCCCAGTGTAAGGCGCCTAGACATTTGCCCAGGGGTAAGCTACATCCCCTGCCCGTTCCACAACGACCATGGTCCCACCTATCGGTGGATTTCGTAACCGACCTACCCCCCTCCCAGGGGAATACCACCATTTTGGTCGTTGTGGATCGGTTTTCCAAGGCCTGTCGTCTCCTTCCCATGCCGGGTCTCCCTACTGCCCTACAAACCGCTGAGGCCCTATTTACCCATGTGTTCCGGCACTATGGGGTCCCCGAGGATATAGTGTCTGACCGAGGTCCCCAGTTCACCTCCCGAGTTTGGGGGGCGTTCATGGAACGGTTGGGGGTCTCGGTAAGCCTTACCTCGGGGTATCACCCAGAGAGCAATGGGCAGGTGGAACGTGTCAACCAGGATGTGGGTAGGTTTTTGAGGTCCTATTGCCGGGACCGGCCGGAGGAGTGGTCTAGGTTCATTCCCTGGGCAGAGATGGCCCAGAACTCTCTCCGCCACTCCTCCACCAATTTAACACCTTTCCAGTGTGTTTTAGGTTATCAGCCGGTCCTGGCACCATGGCACGAGAGCCAGATCGAGGCCCCTGCGGTGGACGAGTGGATTCGGCGCTCGGAGGAGACGTGGGACGCTGCCCATGTCCATCTGCAGCGTGCCATCCGTCAACAAAAGGCGAGCGCCGATCGCCACCGCAGTGAGGGACCGGTATACGCACCGGGAGATCGAGTCTGGCTCTCGACTCGAAACCTGCCCCTCCGCCTGCCCTGCCGGAAGCTGGGTCGGCGGTTTGTGGGGCCCTTCAAAGTCCTGAGAAGATTGAACGAGGTGTGTTACAGGTTACAACTGCCTATAGAGTATAAAAATATTAACCCCTCGTTCCATGTGTCTCTTCTCAGGCCGGTGGTAGCTGGCCCACTCCAAGAAGATGAGATAGGAGAGACCCCTCCGCTCCCTTTGGACATCGAGGGGGCCCCGGCGTACAGAGTCCGGACCATCTTGGACTCGAGGCGCCGGATGAGTGGTCTCCAGTATCTCGTGGAGTGGGAGGGGTACGGTCCGGAGGAACGGTGCTGGGTGCCCAGGAGGGACATACTCGATCCATCCCTCCTGACTGAGTTTCACCGTGGGCATCCCACGCGCCCGGGTCCGCGTCCTCCTGGCCGTCCCCGAGGCCGGGGTCGGCGCACGGCTGGAGCCGCACGTCAAGGGGGGGGGTACTGTCACGGTTTCGGCCGAGACTGCTCCTCCTCCTGGTTCGGGCAGGCTTCGGCGTTCGCCGTCCCCGGAGTACTAGCTGCCACCGCTCTATGTTTTCGTTATTTGATTGCTTTTGTCTGTCTGTTACACCTGTGTCCATTTGTGTGTTGATTACGTGTCGTATAAGTTCCTTGTTTTGCACTAGTATGATTGTGTGTTGTTTTCACTGTCATGCTGTTCGGAGCTACGTGTTTGCACTCTGTTTGTTTTATGTTTAGTGTTTACGCGTGTATGCGTAATTCTCCCTCGCCTCTTGTTTTGTCGAGGTCGTGTTACTTTTGGACATTTGACTTTGGATTATTAAAGTCTGTTGGACTTAACCTCTGTGTCCTGCGCCTGACTCCTCCACCACATCCACATCGGTTCCCTTCTGACAATATGAATTCGGAGGACAGAAATTATTAAATATTAAAGCATTAGACCTATCACTAAAAGCTTCAGTCATACAAAAGTTATACTTAAATCCGAACTGGTTCTCAAGCAAATTAGTAAGATTGTCTCACCCAATGTTCAAGAATGGCCTTTTTCCCTTTATTCAGACTACAACCACTAATTTTCAGTTATTTGAAAAGGAAATAATCTCCCAAATATCACTCTTTCTAAAACAAGCCATAGAAAGTTGGTTGCAATTTCAATTTAATCCTCCAGAAACGACAGAACAAATAATGCAACAAATATTGTGGTTAAATTCAAATATACAAATTGACCAAAAACCTTTATTTTTTGACAGAAAAATGTTTAAAAAAGGTATAATCTTCGTAATTATATCATCGGTAGGACTGGTGGAGTTATGTCGCACATGCAGCTAACAAAAACATATGGAAATGTCTGCTCTACCCAAAATTACAACCAAATAATTGCAGCCTTACCGCAAAAGTGGAAGAGGAAAGTGGAAGGGGGAGAAAGTAAGGAACTTGTCTGTCGGCCTTACATTAAAGAACATAATTGGTTAAGGAAAACTGTGATAAATAAAAAAGTATATCAGTTTCACTTAAGGACCAAAGGATTGACAGCCGTCCCATACAGTGGGGAAAAAAAGTATTTAGTCAGCCACCAATTGTGCAAGTTCTCCCACTTAAAAAGATGAGAGAGGCCTGTAATTTTCATCATAGGTACACGTCAACTATGACAGACAAAATGAGAAAAAGAAATCCAGAAAATCACATTGTAGGATTTTTAATGAATTTATTTGCAAATTATGGTGGAAAATAAGAATTTGCATTAACAAAAGTTTCTCAATACTTTGTTATATACCCTTTGTTGGCAATGACAGAGGTCAAACGTTTTCACAAGGTTTTCACACACTGTTGCTGGTATTTTGGCCCATTCCTCCATGCAGATCTCCTCTAGAGCAGTGATGTTTTGGGGCTGTCGCTGGGCAACACCTCTCTCTCTCTCTCTCTCTCTCTCGCTCGCTCTCTCGCTCTCTCTCTCTCTCTCTCTCTCTCTCTCTCTCTGAACCCAAGAAGAGTATTGTCCTGTGATGTGTCTTAGCATTCCCTCCCTCCTCTTCCTCCTCCTCCTCCTCCTCCTCCTCCTCCACTTTCAACTCCCTCCAAAGATTTTCTATGGGGTTGAGATCTGGAGACTGGCTAGGCCACTCCAGGACCTTGAAATGCTTCTTACGAAGCCACTCCTTCGTTGCCCGGGCGGTGTGTTTGGGATCATTGTCATGCTGAAAGACCCAGCCACGTTTAATCTTCAATGCCCTTGCTGATGGAAGGAGGTTTTCACTCAAAATCTCACGATACATGGCCCCATTCATTCTTTCCTTTACACTGATCAGTCGTCCTGGTCCCTTTGCAGAAAAACAGCCCCAAAGCATTATGTTTCCACCCCCATGCTTCACAGTAGGTATGGTGTTCTTTGGATGCAACTCAGCATTCTTTGTCCTCCAAACACGACGAGTTGAGTTTTTACCAAAAAGTTCTATTTTGGTTTCATCTGACCATATGACATTCTCCCAATCCTCTTCTGGATCATCCAAATGCACTCTAGCAAACTTCAGACGGGCCTGGACATGTACTGGCTTAAGCAGGGGGACACATCTGGCACTGCAGGATTTGAGTCCCTTGCGGCATAGTGTGTTACTGATGGTAGGCTTTGTTACTTTGGTCCCAGCTCTCTGCAGGTCATTCACTAGGTCCCCCCGTGTGGTTCTGGGATTTTTGCTCACCGTTCTTGTGATCATTTTGACCCCACGGGGTGAGATCTTGCGTGGAGCCCCAGATCGAGGGAGATTATCAGTGGTCTTGTATGTCTTCCATTTCCTAATAATTGCTCCCACAGTTGATTTCTTCAAACCAAACTGCTTACCTATTGCAGATTCAGTCTTCCCAGCCTGGTGCAGGTCTACAATTTTGTTTCTGGTGTCCTTTGACAGCTCTTTGGTCTTGGCCATAGTGGAGTTTGGAGTGTGACTGTTTGAGGTTGTGGACAGGTGTCTTTTATACTGATAACAAGTTCAAACAGGTGGCATTAATACATGTAACGAGTGGAGGACAGAGGAGCCTCTTAAAGAAGAAGTTACAGGTCTGTGAGAGCCAGAAATCTTGCTTGTTTGTAGGTGACCAAATACTTATTTTCCACCATAATTTGCAAATAAATTCATAAAAAATCCTACAATGTGATTTTCTGGAGAAAAAAAATCTCAATTTGTCTGTCATAGTTGACGTGTACCTATGATGAAAATTACAGGCCTCTCTCATCTTTTTAAGTGGGAGAACTTGCACAATTGGTGGCTGACTAAATACTTTTTTTCCCCACTGTATAAATTGCAAAATAGTTGGGAAGAGATTTTTGACGTACCAATCCCATGGCATAGTGTTTATGAACTGACACGCAAAACGACACTGGATTCAAAAATTAGAATCTTTAAATTTAAATTATTATATAAAATTCTTGCTACCAATAGAATGTTATTTATATGGGGGATACAATCTTCCCAGCTCTGCAGATTTTGCTGTGAAGAGACATTAGATCATTTGTTTTGGTTCTGTCCATTTGTAGCTTGTTTTTGGACACAGGTCCAGGAATGGCTAAAGGATTGCAATATTTACCTGGAGCTAACCTTGCAGATAGCATTACTGGGTGATCTGAAAAGTCATAGTCAATCGATCAATAATATAATAATACTTTTAGCAAATTTTTTTATTTTTAATTCACAATCTGTAGAAGCAATGAGAATAGAAAGGTTCAGAACTTTTGTAAAAACATCACAGTACGGTTGAAATATATATGGCAAATAGAAATCCTATATGGATGGTGTTAAGAGATAGATGGGAGGTATTGAATGGAGTTGAAGGATGGGACTAATAATAAATAACAACAAATAATAACAAGATAACTAATAATGTAAGCATACTGTGTCCATAATAAGTATATAGGTTGTATGTTGGGAGCTTTTGGGAAAGAGCACAGTTAGAAAGATATGGCATATAGAAGCAATCCGGATGGACAGCATGAAAATGATCGGAGAGGTTGAGAGTAGAAGAAGTTCAGGAGCAAAAACAAATAAAATAGAATTATTGTAAAATTGACTGTGTCCATAAGGTGTAGATAGTAAGTATAGGCTGGAAGTAGAGGCCTGGGCATTGTTGTTCACTAATTTACCCCAAGTAGGGAAATGATGGCGGGGTTGAAAAGTAATAAAGGGGAGTATATATATAAAAAACATGGGGGATTGGAAGTGATGCAGACAATTACATTGATGGAAGTTACAATCTATCTGCAATATTAAGCTGATCTACCCCCCCAAAAAAAACACGAAAAAAAAAAAAAACACAAGAACAACACCCAGAGGCATCCGTTCTACCTCACTTTCACCAACATGTCTCCTGCGCCACTAGGGGTGCTAAAACTCTAGACCACTTTTATTCTACCCTCAGAAACGCATACAAGCCCCTCCCTTGTCCTCCCTTCGGCAAATCTAACCCTGACTCTATTCTCCTGGTTCCTGTTTACAAACAAAAGCTCCAACAGGAAGTACCAGTGACACGCTCAATACGGAAGTGGTCCGATGAAGTAAACGCAAGGCTACAAGACTGTTCTGCTAGTACAGACTGGGACATAATCTTCTGGGATTCATCCGATAGTATTGAGGAGTTTACCATCTCAGTCATGGGCTTCATCAATAGGTGTATAGATGACGTCGTCCCCACAGTGACTATACGAACGTATCCAAACCAAAAACCATGGATTACAGGCAATATCCGTGCTGGGCTAAAGGCTAGAGCGACCGCTTACAATGAACAGGACACAGACTTGGGCGCATACAAGAAAACCCGCTACAACCTCTGACGAGACATCAAACATGCAAAAGGACAATACAGGAGGAAGGTGGAATCCTATTAAACCGGCTCTGCCGCTTGTCGTATGTGGCAGGGTTTGCAGACGTTAACGGATTACAAAGAGAAACCCAGCCGTGAGATGCCCAGTGATGCAGAACTTCCATGTCTAATTATGCTCGCTTCGAGGAATACAACACTGAGCCTTGCGTGAAAGCTCCGGTTGTTCAGGATGACTGTGTGATATCTCTCTCAGTGGCCGATGTGAGTAAAACTGAACAGGTTAACACTCGCAAGGCTGCCGGGAATACCAGGAGCTGATCGTGGGCTACAAGAGAAAGAGGGGAGAGCACGCCCCCATCCACATCGACAGGGCTGTAGTGGAGCGGGTCGAGAGCTTCAAGTTCCTTGGCGTCCACATCACTAAGGATGTAACATGGTCCACACACACCCGCACAGCCGTGAAGAGGGCCCGACAGCGCCTCTTCCCCCTCAGGAGGCTAAAAAGATTTGGCATGGGCACTCGGATCCTCAAAAATTTATACAGCTGCACCATCGAGAGCATCTTGACTGGCTGCATCACCGCTTGGTATGACAAACGCACCACCCTCGACCACAAAGTGCTACAGAGGGTGGTGCGGACAACCCAGTACATCACTGGGGCCGAGCTCCCTGCCATCCAGGACTTATATATCAGGCAGCGTCTGCCAAAGACTCCAGCCACCCAAGCCATAGACTGTTTCCTCTGCTACCGTCCGGCAAACGGTACCGGAGCATCGGCTCTTGGACCAACAGGCTCCGAGACAGCTTCTACTCTCAAGCCATAAGACTGATAAATAGCCATAAGACTGATAAATAGTTAATTAAATGGGTACCTGGACTATCTGCACGGACCCTATCTTGCACTGACTATGCACACTCACAAGACTACACTGAGTGTACCAAACATTAGGAACACCTTCCTAATATTGAGTTGCAAAATTGACTTCCAAAATTAAAATCACTTGGAGCTGATCTTTTGCTAAGAAAACTTCGGGGGCCAAATAAAATCACCCGCGGGCCGAGTCACTTTACTCTGCCTTCATGTATATATCTACCTCAAATACCTCGTACCCCTGCACAGTGAACTAGTACTGGCACTCATATACTGAACAAAAATATAAACGCAACATGACACTAAAAGGCCACTCTAAAATGTGCACAACACAATACCACAGATGTCTCATGTTTTGAGGGAGCGTGCAATTGGCATGCTGACTGCAGGAATGTCCACCATAGCTGTTGCCAGAGAATTGAATGTTAATTTCTCTACCATAAGCCACCTCCAACGTTGTTTTAGAGAATTTGGCAGTACGTCCAACCGGCCTCACAACTGCATATGGCGTTTGGTGGGCGAGCGGTTTGCTGATGTCAAAGTCGTGAACAGAGTGCCCCATGATGGCGGTGGGGTTATGGTATGGGCAAGCATAAGCTACGGACAACGAACACAATTACATTTTATCAATGGCAACTTGAATGCACAGATATACCGTGACGAGATCCTGAGGCCCACTGTCGTGCCATTCATCTGCCGTCATCACCTCATGTTTCAGCATGATAATGCACAGCCCCATGTCGCAAGGATCTGTACACAATTCCTGGAAGCTGAAAATGTCCCAGTTCTTCCATGGCCTGCATACTCACCAGACATGTCACCCATTGAGCATGTTTGGGATGCTCTTGATTGACGTGTACGACAGCGTATTCCAGTTCCCACCAAAACCAACAACTTCACACAGCCATTGAAGAGGAGTGGAACAACATTCCACAGGCCACAATCAACAGCCTGATCAACTCTATGCGAAGGAGATGTGTAGCGCTGCATGAGGCAAACGGTAGTCACACCAGATACTGACTGTTTTTCTGATCCATGCCCCTACATTTTTTTAAAGGTATCTGTGACCAACAGATGCATATCTGTATTTCCAGTCATGTGAAATCCATAGATTAAGGCCTAATGAATTTCAATTGACTGATTTCCTTATTTGAACGGTAACTCAGTAAAATATTTGAAATGTTTGCATATTGCGTTTATATTTTTGTTCAGTATATATGCACGCACACATTCACGCACGGACACACACACATGGCGGGGTACTGGTCGCATGAGACTGAGCTGCTTTCTGTGTAATCCCTGCTTGAATGGTCTCCTGTGTGCCAGGCATTCCTCTGTGTTTTATAGCGCTTTCTGGGGATTAGACCCCATTTACTTCCAGTGGCTGTGGGGCGGGATCAAAGCTGATTAGGCTGTGGCCTCCAGGGTGGTGGTGTGAGGAACACTGAGCCCATACTCAACTGAGACTGACTCACACAGGGGGACATGGGAACCTGACACCACGGCAGAGACATGAGACACTAACACAGGTCACACACACCCGGTGGGGGTCAAATCTGACCTAATCCGTGTCACTGTTAACCTCAGCTGTGATGACTGACAGCTTGGCCCTGGGAGGTAGGCCCTGGGTCTGGGTTTACACTTCAACAATAAATGAAGTATTATAGACCTCAGTTACTGGAGGTTACACAAACAAGGAACACAAATGAGAAATCATTTTGATTTTAATCTGTGATTTCCTTAATCAATCAATCACATTTATTTATAAAGCCCTTTTTACATCAGCAGATGTCACAAAGTGCTTATACAGAAACCCAGCCTAAAACCCCAAACAGCAAGCAATGCAGATGTAGAAGCACGGTGGCTAGGAAAAACTCCCCAGAAAGGCAGGAACCTAGGAATAAACCTAGAGCGGAACCAGGCTCTGAGGGGTGGCCAGCCCTCTTCTGGTTGTGCCGGGTGGAGATTATAAGAGTACATGGCCACTAAGATCACTTTACACACTATGAGGAGAGTCATTCATGGAGATGGTTTATGAATGAAAGATAGCCTTGTACAATGAGTGAAGCAATAGAGCTGGGCCACAAGATGATAAGTCTGTGTAACCTCCTGAGTGGCACAGTGGTCTAAGGCACTGCATCGCAGTGCTAGCTGTGCCACTAGAGATCCTGGTTCGAATCCAGGCTCTGTCGTAGCCGGCCGTGACCGGGAGACCCATGGGGCGGCGCACAATTGGCCCAGCGTCGTCCAGGGTAGGGGAGGGAAGTAGCTCAGTTGGTAGAGCATGGTGTTTGCAACGCCAGGGTTGTGGGTTCGATTCCCACAGGGGGCAAGTATGAAGAAAAAAAATGTATTCACTAACTGTAAGTTGCTCTGGATAAGAGTGTCTGCTAAATGACTAAAATGTATAATTATAATGATGAACAGTTATTGTAACACTGTCCTGGTTCCACACATCTCCCTCTGTCTTCTTCCAGGTTAAACAAACATCCAACGGAACTGATCAAAGATTACAACAAACAGTGTGCTAAGCTGTCATCAAGGCAAAGGGTGGCTACTTTGAAGAATCAAAAATTAAAATAACATCAAATTGATCAGAAATACAGTGTAGACATTGTTAATGTTGTAAATGGCTATTGTAGCTGGAAACGGCTGCTTTTGAATGGAATATCTACATAGGCGTACAGAGGCCCATTATCAGCAACCATCAGTCCTGTGTTCCAATGGCACGTTGTGTTTGCTAATCCAAGTTTATCATTTTAAAAGGCTAATTGATAATTAGAAAACCCTTTTGCAATTATGTTAGCACAGCTGAAAACTGTTGTGCTGATTAAAGAAGCAATAAAACTGGCCTTCTTGAGACTAGTGGAGTATCTTGAGCATCAGCAATTGTGGGTTCAATTACATGCTCATAATGGCCAGAAACAAATAACTTTCTTCTGAAACTCGTCAGTCTATTCTCGTTCTGAGAAATGAAGGCTATCCATGCAAGAAACTGAAGATCTTGTACAACGCTGTGTACTACTCCCTTCACAGAACAGCGCAAACTGGCTCTAACCAGAATAGAAAGAGGAGTGGGAGGCCCCGGTGCACAACTGAGCAAGATGACAAATACATTAGAGTGTCTAGTTTGAGAAACAGATGCCTCACAGGTCCTCAACTGGCAGCTTCATTAAACAGTACCCGCAAAACACCAGTCACAACGTCAACAGTGAAGAGGTGACTCAGGAATGCTGACCTTCTAGGCAAAGAAACAGCCATATCTCAGACTGCCTATCTTAATCTTTTATTTTTATTGGCCAGTCTGAGATATGGCTTTTTCTTTGCAACTCTGCCTAGAGGGTCAGCATCCCGGAGTTGCCTCTTTACTGTTGACGTTGAGACTGGTGTTTTGCAGGTACTATTTAATGAAGCTACAAGTTGAGGACCTGTGAGGCATCTGTTTTTCAAACTAGACACTCTAATGTATTTGTCCTCAATATTTTTCAACGGTAGTGTATATATACAGTGCATTCAGAAAGTATTCAGACCCCTTGACTTTTTCCACATTTTGTTATGTTATAGCCTTATTCTAAAATTGATTAAATATTTTTTTCCCCTCATCAATATACGCACAATACCCCATAATGACAAAGTGAAAACAGGTTTTTGAAACTTTTGCAAATGTATTAAAAATAAAAAACAGAAATACCATATTTACATAAGTATTCAGACCCTTTGCTATGAAACTCGGAATTGAGCTCAGGTGCATCCTGTTTCCATTGATCATCCTTGAGATGTTTCTACAACTTGATTGGAGTCCACCTGTGGTAACCTGTCTATATAAGGTCCCACAGTTGACAGTGCATGTCAGACAAAAACAAAGCCATGAGGTCGAAGGAATTGTCCATAGAGCTCCAACACAGGATTGTGTCGAGGCACAGATCTGGAGAAGGGTACCAAAATATTTCTGCAGCATTAAAGGTCCCCAAGAACACAGTGGCCTCCATCATTCTTAAATGGAATATGTTTGGAATCACCAAAACTCTTCATAGAGCTGGCCGCACGGCCAAACTGAGCAATCCGGGGAGAAGGGCCTTGGTCTGGGAGGTGACCAAGAACCCGATGGTCACTCTGACAGAGGTCCAGAGCTCCTATGTGGAGATGGGAGAAACTTCCAGAAGGACAACCATCTCTGCAGTACTCCACCAATCAGGCCTTTATGTAGAGTGGCCAGACCGAAGCCACTCCTCAGTAAAAGGCACATGACAGCCCGCTTGGAGTTTGCCAAAAGGCACCTAAAGGACTCTCAGACCATGAGAAACAAGATTCTCTGGTCTTATGAAACCAAGATTTAACTATTTGGCCTGAATGCCAAGCGTCACGTCTGGAGGAAACCTGGCACCATCCCTACGGTGAAGCATGGTGGTGGCAGCATCATGCTGTGGGGATGTTTTCAGCGGCAGGGACTGGGAGACTAGTCAGGATCAAGGGAAAGATGAACGGAGCAAAGTACAGAGAGATCCTTGATGAAAACCTGCTCCAGAGCGCTCAGGACCTCAGACTGGGGTGAAGGTTCACCTTCAAACAGGACAACGACCCTAAGCACACACAAATGCAGGAGTGGCTTCGGGACAAGTCTCTGAATGTCCTTGAGTGGCCCAGCCAGAGCCCGGACTTGAACTCTATCGAACATCTCTGGAGAGACCTGAAAATAGCTGTGCAATGACGCTCCCCATCCAACCTGACAGAGCTTGAGAGGATCTGCAGAGAAGAATGGGAGAAACTCCACAAATACAGGTGTGCCAAGATTGTAGCGTCATACACAAGAAGACTCAAGGCTGTAATTGCTGCCAAAGGTGCTTTAACAAAGTCCTCAGTAAAGGGTCTGAATACTGTGATGTGATATGTGATATTTCCTTTTTTTATTTTTTTATTTTTTTATTTGCAAAGATGTCTAAAAACTGTTTTTGCTTTGTCATTGTGGGGTATTGTGTGTAGATTGATGAGGGGGGGAAAAAACAATTTAATCAATTTTAGAATAAGGATGTAACGTAACAAAATGTGGAAAAAGTTAAGGGGTCTGAATACTTTCCGAATGCACTGTATCTACAGTATATATTAATTAAACATCCTCGACTAAAACCATGTAGAAAGTGTGTAGAAAATGATAATGAACCTATATATATTTTTTAATTTAACCTCTGAACGAAGAAATTTGGCCTGTCACCTAAAACCCTCACAAACTTTTACAGATGCACAATTGAGAGCATCCTGTCGGGGTGTATCACCGCCTGGTACGGCAACCGCACCGCCCACAACTCCAGAGGGTGGTGCGGTCTGCACAACGCATCACCAGGGGCAAACTACCTGCCCTCCTGGACACCTACAGCATCCGATGTCACAGGAAGGCCAAAAAGATAATCAAGGACAACTACCACCCGAGCCACTGCCTGTTCACCCCACTATCATCCAGAAGGTGAGGTCAGTACAGGTGCATCAAAGCTGGGACCGAGAGACTGAAAAACTGCTTCTATCTCAAGGCCATCAGACTGTTAAACAGCCATCACTAGCACAGACAGGCTGCTGCCTACATACAGACTTGAAAATCACTGGCCACTTTAATAAATGGAACACTAGTCACTTTAATAATGCCACTTTAATAACGTTTACATATCTTGCATTACCCATCTCATATGTATATACTTTATTCTATACTATCTATTGCATTTTAGCCAATACCACTCTGACAATGACATTGCTCATCCATATATTTATATATTCCTATTCCATTCCTTTACTTAGATTTGTGTGTATTAGGTATTTGTTGTGGAACTGTTAGATATTACTTGCTAGATATTGCTGCACTGTCGGAACTAGAAGCACAAGCATTTCGCTACACTCGCAATAACATCTGCTAACCATGTGTATGTGACCAATATATTTGATTTGAACTATTTTTCTTCAATCAAAGTATTTTCAACATAGAGTTATTAGCAGCGCTATTTAGTGGATTTGGTTGATTTTGTGGTCTCAAACCAGTGAGCTTAACATTCTTCATCAAGAATATAGGGAAAATTTAATTATTGACAATGAAAAAGGTGGTACTGTTGTTCTCTTGCCATATAATCGGTCCATTTACTATCAATATAGCATTAAACATAGTTTTCCAGATTGCATTTTGGATACAAAAATGATCTTGTCTTGTCTTGTCAATCACACACACCTGGTACTCATTCCCTCATTAGTCTGTGTATAAGTATTCCCTCTGCCCCCTTGTCCTTTGTGAGTGATTGTTCGTTGTGAGAGTGAGTAGCTCGGTTGAGGTTGATTTTCCCCATGGAATGGGGTGAGTTTGACATGTGCTTTAGACCTTTACCCAGGTACAACCACATGGCTATCTATCGTACTCTCAGAGGGACAGAGAGAGAGAGAAAGAGCAGATTTCTCAATAGTATCTCTAACTGAAGGGGTTTCTTCTGTTCTGCAATGACAAGTCTTTATCATCAAAATAAACAGTGTAAAAGGCAGGAAGGAAAGCAGCTCAACTAGAGGTGGAGTTGGCAGAGATCTCAGTCCCAGCACTCTGTCTGTCTCTCTTCCCTCTGGCCGGGAGCACATGGAGAAATACAAGAGGAGGATTAGCATGGCTTTATGAGGCCCCCCTGGGCACGCTCTGGAAATAAACCTGCTTCTACTGTGCCTACAGGCCCCTTCACCAACACATGTTACATGGCAGTTCAGTGTGTCCACATACACACACACACACATACACACACATTCACAACCTTGTTCTCTTTGCATGCTGGAATTTCAATGGCTTATCCACGTATAGCCTTGGATATCCGGAGCATCTCCACCTCAACCTAAATAAAGCACAACAATGTGACAGACATCAACACACACACATGCACACGCATGAGTGCACGAACACACAAACACACTTGCTCTACGTCAACAAACAGATCGGAGAGATAATAGGAATCATTCAAATAGTTGGCACCTGGACACAAATGAACCATACAACAGTGCAGAATGCACTTTAATAATAATCACAACACATTCTGCTGTTTTGGTGGGTCACATGTGGGTGCTGAATAAATGTAACAAGACTATTGCAATAAGATAAATACATAAAGTGTAACTCTGCTAGTTGAACTAAATCCAATGGCTTTATGAGAATAATTAATAGCAGTTAAATGACCTTTAAAGGACCTGAGCTTTCAGCACCAGGCGAGCGAGACCAGGCAGGCGGGCAGGCATGAGCTGGCACAACTCCCCCTCCCTGGCATTTAATGAATGAGTAAGCCAAGACAAATACTGTGAGTGTGTGTTTGTGTGTGTGTGTGGATGGTTGTATAGTTCTATCTTATTTCTCTGTGTGTGCTGCTCTTGTCTCACTGATATCAGCCCAGATGGAAGCCCTCTCATTTCATCTCCACACTGGTCCTTTGTGCTACAAATCTATACATCTACACCTTTTATCTCACCCCGATATGAACCAGCCACCCCAGCTCCCCCTCTCCTGAACCCAGCCGCCAGGGCCTGGGTCTGGGCAGTGTTAGAGAGGCGCGTTGGTCTGTCTCAAATCTGGTTTCCCTGACAGACAGAAATAGAGAGAGCCCTCTGGCCCGCAAGCTGTTTGTGTTTTGCACCATTGGAGATAAGTGTGTATGCTCTGTGTAGAGCACAAAGGGGTGATAAGGGGAGGACAGGCACCCAGAGCATGACAGAGGGAGGGATGGAGCAGGGCTAGGGATGGAGCAGGGCTGGGGAGAGAGCAGGGCTGGGGAGAGAGCAGGGCTGGGGAGAGAGCAGGGCTGGGGAGAGAGCAGGGCTGGGGATGGAGCAGGGCTGGGGAGAGAGCAGGGCTGGGGAGAGAGCAGGGCTGGGGGAGAGGGGGTCAGCAAGGGCCAGAGGCTCAGGAGAGAGGACTGGGGATGGCTACTTGGTTCAACATGGGGCCTTTCTCAGAGTTAAGTGTCCAGATCAGGGCCATGAAGTGTTTACTCAGTGGCAGGCTGCAATGTGGAGGCTTAAGTAGTTGGAGAGAAAAGAGCCAGAGCTGTGTGCGTGCGTGTTTCTAGATGCCTAAGCTGCTCTGCATCCTAGAAGCGTAGGTTTGCAACCTTCCCAAGTTCTCCCATGTCACCCCGCTCCTCCGCACACTCCACTAGCTTCCAGTTGAAGCTCGCGTTCACTACAAGACCATGGTGCTTGCCTAAGTAGCAGCAAGAGGAAATGCCCACCCTACCTTCAGGCTATGCTCAAACCCTACACACCAACCCAAGCACTCCGTCCTGCCACCTCTGGTCTCTTGGCCCTCCCACCCCTACAGGAGGGCAGCTCCCGCTCAGCCAGGTCCAAGCTCTTCTCTGTCCTGGCACCCCAATGGTGGAACCAGCTTCCCCCTGAAGCTAGGAGAGCAGAGTCCCTGCCCATCTTCCGAAAGCACCTGAAACCCTACCTCCTCAAATAATATCTTAAATGATCCCCCTCCTCACCTCGACCCCCCCTTTCTAGCTCTGACTTTGCTGATAGCTACTTTATTGAGGAAAAGTGTACTTACTATGCCTGTGATATGTGGTTGTCCCACCTAGCTATCTTAAGATTAATGCACTAACTCTAAGTCGCTCTGGATAAGAGCGTCTGCTAAATGACTCAAATGTGAATGTAAGCGTGAATAAAACCAGGCGTAGACACCAGTAAAATGTCATAAGTCACACACACACACACACACACACACACACACACACACACACACACACACACACACACACACACACACACACACACACACACACACACACACACACACACACACACACACACACACACACACACATACACACACACACACACACACACACACACACACACACACACACAGACAGACAGACAGACAGACACACACACAATGCCCTTGTCACATGCATGCACCCCTCCCTGTCGTTATTGTTTTACTGTGGCTAAAAGAGGGAGTTGTTTATTTTAAAGGCCGAATTTATTAAGCATGTGATGAGTGCTCTCAGAGTCTTATAGCAGACATGGGGGTTTGGGCTTTCTCAGCATCTTGGCTGAAATACACCACGGCCAGTAGAGGACAGAGAGAGGCCCATAGAGACAGCTGCTCTCTCTCCCCCCCCCTCTTCTCTCCCTCCCTCTCCCTCTCTCTCCCTTTCTCTCTCTCTGTCTCTCTCCCCCTCTCCCTCTTTCTCCCTCTCTCCCCCTCTCTCTCTTTCTCCCTCTCTCTCCCTTTCTCTCTCTCTGTCTCTCTCGGTTCCTCTCTCTCTCTCTCCATCTTCTTCCAACTCTCAACCGTCTCTCAGCCAGATCTGTGGAGATGCTGCTGCAGTGATGAAGTTATCTAGCCTTCCTCTGACATCCATTCTCAGCCCCAGGGCCAGGCAGCAATACAGCTAAGGCTGAGGCTGGGGTTCAATAACAGCATGACGGAGACACATGCCTGCTCTCTCAATACACTGGACCACCTCAACACTACACGTCAACCACAGGAAGAGACAGAGAGAAATGGAGGCAGGGAAACTGAATGAGAGTGAAAGAAGGACAGGAGTAAGAGAGGCAATGAGGGAGGATTATATTCATGGTGTCTTCACCCCCTTCTTGTTCCCTCCATTTCCCAGCAGGCAGAATGATGAGGGTATTATCTTATCTCTGAAAAGCACTTTAACACAACATGCCTTCAGCCAGAGCTGTGTATGTGAAGACATGCAGGGATAAAGGACACACACCCAAATGCGTGCGCCATAAACGCACGCACAGACAGAGCGGAGGTTCCTATGCAGGAGTGTGGAAGAGGATTAGAGGATCAGGAGAGAGGGAAAACAGAGGAGGCAGATCTAAACGGAAAACAAAAGAAAAGTAGAATTATCGACAAACGGAAATTCAAAAAAAGATCCAGAGCCATCAATCTGTGGAAAGCTGTTCTCTCGTCAGCTAATAAAAAAGGGTCTGTGTGATCACAACTCAGGGTCAACAGGGGTCAGCTCACCCTCAGGGGCCCAGCAGGGGAATACGTGTGGGACGGTGCCCTTATCTCAGCACACTGGTTCAAAAGAACACATGCTCCCCCACTCCAAGCCCCTAACCACTAAGTACTAAATTCCCTCCCACACACACACATCAGCCTTGGTGAAAGGCTGAACCAATGTGAATGACCCGTTGACGTTAGCCATATGCTTTCATGTAGCAGGGGGAAAAAAACATAATAAAGAAACACTAACAAATTGGAACATGGTGTAATATTAGCAAATCATTGATATCTAGTAGAGTAGAGGACTGGGTATAATTTCATTACCTGATTTCATTGGACGCAAACATGGTCACCAGAGGAAATCCCCTGAATTTATGAGTTATTAGAGACTTGCAGTTAAAGGAGTGTTTTCTGGCTGCTAACTGTAACTGTTTATAGGGTCTAAATCATGTGCAGGCAGGATCCCCCATGGTCACTGGGGTGGGTGTGATGTATTGGAGTGGTCCCAGTCCCTCTCAGCCATCACAATGTAAACCTGCCCAGCTCTACTCTACGCTCCAGAGACTAGCACTCCTCACTCAGCCAGACGCAGTGCTGTGACACACGAACAGAGACTTTATAAAACATCCAGCCAAAACGCTCTCTGTCTGCTCCACTGTATCTCTCCTCTGTGTGTGTGTGTCCTCCTGATGTGTCTGGCAGTGTGTGTTGTGTTCTGGAGGAGGCCCAGAGGTCTTGGCTGGGAGAGACCTGGGTCCCTAGGCGTATGGCAGTGTAATGTAGCAAAGCAGAATGGATATATAGTATACTGTCTCTCACACTGACTCCTGGCCCAGGAACTGGTGAGACAAGAGAGATAAATCAAACATAGTGGCATCCAGGAACAGACAGAGGGAATGAGTGTCTGTGCTCATGTGTCTCCGAGTGAGAGAATGTGATAGCGTATGTTTGATACTGTAAGTAGGACAAGGTATGTGGATGTGGATAAGTGAGAGTGTGTGAGTATGTGCATGTGAGAGTGTGTCCATTTGTACGTGTGTGAGACTGTGTCTACATGGTGAGCATAGCTTTGAGTGATGGGGTACTACTGGATCCAGCTGTCATACAAACCGTTGGACAGTAACTCTAATCTAAAGGATCCAACAGTGGGAAGAGGAAGAAGACTACTGAAGAGTCCACACAGTCATCCTCTCTTTCCCTTTCTCCTTCCTTATCTTCAACTCTTTGTTGGGACTTAATGGGTTTATGAAGGTGATAATTGAACTGAAGTTTCCAGGTCCTTTTTCATGGAGTATAATATATTTGGATATATTTGGAGTTTATTAAGAACAAGGTCCTTGACTTAGCAGACCATTTATGTTTTATCAGCAGCCTGTTAAACTACTCATGAAAGCTGCAAAAATCACAAGTGACAATTTAGGACAATCATGTTAAAATAAGTATTTTAAAGTCATACTCCCATCTATATAAAAATGGTCTTTACACAAAGCCGTCGTAAAAAGTATTTAATTTAAAATCTTTATAAAAGATTTGTAATTATAAATGACATCACTTGGTGGTGAGATGAGATGCTGAAGCAAGTGGAAAATTAAAGTAATTTAGTGCAATTTCAGCACTAAAGCATTTTACCATATTTCTGCGGGTGGATGAGGGTGAAAAGGGGAGTGAGTTATCAAAATTGAGACGTGTGATAGAACCCTAAGGCTCCTTGGCTGCTTCCATAGCGACATGGTTCATGATAATCCCTATCTCTGCCGTGACTAACTCATATAAAACCATATCAGTCAGGCTTGGTGGAACTATTTCACAGTTTAAACGTCAAAGGAGACAGTAGTCTGGAGAGCACACATTTCACTACAAGTCATTACAGAAAACAGCATATTATATTCACAAGAACCTTAAAATTCAACTATTGCATTATCAAACCAAGTAGTCAGGCATTCTCTACGAAGGAGCTACAGAAAAGGAGTTCCTTGCCTCTTTGGCAGCCATATTGCCACAGGCTCTATACTGTCTCCAGACTAAAGAATCTACACACATCTATTCCCTCTCTTTCCCTGCCCTCCCTCTACTCCCCTCTTCTGTTGTTGCCCTCTTGCTCCATGCTCCCTCCCTTCCTAGCAGCTGAAGCACACTGTACCATGTTCTGCCATCCTCTGTCAACACCCCTGTCTGTCTCTAAAGGGCTGTTTCACCTCAACATTCTATCACAGGCACAAGCGAGGAGGCGGAGAGGTGATGATACGTGTCCTGCCTCCGTCTGTCCTTCAGACACATTCACAAAGGAGGACAGCTGCCTGGCACGGTGCTGACATGACATGCTCCGTCCCATTGTAAGACTGATACACTGTGGAACACTATGGAACACTATGGAGCTCTATGGAACACTATGGAACACTATGGAGCTCTATGGAACACTATGGAGCTCTATGGAACACTATAGATCTATATTGAACAAAAGGAACACTATGGAACACTATGGAGCTCTATGGAGCTCTATGGAACACTATGGAACACTATGGAACACTATGGAACACTATGGAGCTCTATGGAACACTATGGAACACTATGGAGCTCTATGGAACACTATGGAGCTCTATGGAACACTATGGAACACTATGGAGCTCTATGGAACACTATGGAACACTATGGAGCTCTATGGAACACTATGGAGCTCTATGGAACACTATGGAACACTATGGAGCTCTATGGAACACTATGGAGCTCTATGGAACACTATATATCTATATTGAACAAAAGGAACACTATGGAACACTATGGAGCTCTATGGAACACTATAGATCTATATTGAACAAAAGGAACACTATGGAACACTATGGAGCTCTATGGAACACTATGGAGCTCTATGGAACACTATGGAACACTATGGAGCTCTATGGAACACTATGGAGCTCTATGGAACACGATGGAGCTCTATGGAACACTATGGAACACTATGGAGCTCTACGGAACACTATGGAGCTCTATGGAACACTATGGAGCTCTATGGAACACTATGGAACACTATGGAACACTGCAGCTCTATGAAACCTAGCTGTACCGTAATGGGCGGGTCAGGTTTCTGTTCTGTCAGGTGCAGTCAGGAGAAAGGAATTACAGTTTGCCAAAATAGCTCCTCTCTCTCCATCTACAATGGGGTGAATAGATTATTACCTGTCTGAGATAGAGGGAGAAAGATAGGACCTAAACTGTGCTTGGACTTTTAGCACTTCTCAGGTTCAGAACCCATCTGGCTGCAGCTTCAGTAACACAGCCTGAATGTGTCTATGTTTACACCAGCAGCTAGATTTACACAGCCAAAGTGGAGATTTCATATACATTTACATTTTTAGTCATTTAGCAGACGCTCTTATCCAGAGCGACTTTGTCTACCAACTGAGCTACATCCCTGCCGGCCATTCCCTCCCCTACCCTGGGCCAATTTCTCTCTCTCTCTCTCTCTCTCTCTCTCTCTCTCTCTCTCTCTCTCTCTCTCTCTCTCTCTCTCTCGCTCTCTCTCTCTCTCTCTCTCTCTCTCTCTCTCTCTCTCTCAATGTCATTCTACATTGTAGAATAATAGTGAAGACATCAAAACTATGAAATAACACATTTTGAATCATGTAGCAAACAAAAAGTGTTAAACAAATCAAAATATATTTTATATTTGAGATTCTTCAAATAGCCACCCTTTGCCTTGATGACAGCTTTACACACTCTTGGCATTTTCTCAACCAGCTTCATGAGGTAGTCACCTGGAATGCATTTCAATTAACAGGTGTGCCTTCTTAAAAGCTAATTTGTGGAATTTAATGCATTTGAGCCAATCAGTTGTGTTGTGACAAGGTAGGGGGGGTATACAGAAGATAGCCCAAGACCAAGTCCATATTATGGCAAGAACAGCTCAAATAAGCAAAGAGAAATGACAGTCCATCATTATTTTAAGACATGAAGGTCAGTCAATACAGAACATTTCAAGAACTTTGAAAGTTTCTTCAAGTGCAGTCGCAAAAACCATCAAGCGCTATTATGAAACTGGCTCTCATGAGGACCGCCACAGGAATGGAAGACCCAGAGTTACCTCTGCTGCAGAGGATAAGTTCATTAGAGCTACCAGCCTCAGAAATTGCAGCTCAAATAAATATAATAATATATAATATAATATGCCATTTAGCAGACGCTTTTATCCAAAGCGACTTACAGTCATGCGTGCATACATTTTTGTGTATGGGTGGTCCCGGGGATCGAACCCACTACCTTGGCGTTACAAGCGCCGTGCTCTACCAGCTGAGCTACAGAGGACCACATGCTTCACAGAGTTCAAGTCACAGACACTTCTCAACATCAACTGTTCAGAGGGGACTGTGTGAATCAGGCCTTCATGGTCGAATTGCTGCAAAGAAACCACTACTAAAGGACACCAATAATAAGAAGAGACCTGCTTGGGCCAAAAAACACGAGCAATGGACATTAGACTGGTGGAAATGTGTCCTTTGGTCTGGTTCCAACTGCCGTGTCTTTGTGAGACGCGGTGTGGTTGAACAGATGATCTCCGCATGTGTAGTTCCCACCGTAAAGCATGGAGGAGGAGGTGTTATGGTGTGGGGGTGCTTTGCTGGTGACACTGTCTGTGATTTATTTAGAATTCAAGGCACACTTAACCAGCATGACTACCACAGCATTCTGCAGCAATACGCCATCCCAACTGATTTGGGCTTAGTGGGACTATCATTTGTTTTTCAACAGGACAATGACCCAACACACCTCCAGGCTGTGTAAGGGCTATTTTACCAAGAAGGAGAGTGATGGAGTGCTGACCTGGCCTCCACAATCCCCTGACCTCAACCCAATTGAGATGGTTTGGGATAAGTCGGACGGCAGAGTGAAGGACAAGCAGCCAACAAGTGCTCAGCATATGTGGGAACTCTTTCAAGACTCTTGGAAAAGCATTCCAGGTGAAGCTGGTTGAGAGAATGCCAAGAGTGTGCAAAGCTGTCATCAAGGCAAAGAGTGGCTATTTGAAGAATCTCAAATATAACATATATTTTGATTTGTTTAACACTTTTTTGGTTACTACATGATTCCATATGTGTTATTTCATAGTTTTAATGTCTTCACTATTATTCTAGAATGTAGAAAATAGTAAAAATTAAGAAAAACCCTTGAATGAGTAGGTGTGTCCAAACTACTGACTGGTAGTGTATATGTGTGTGTGTGTGTGTGTGCGTGCGTCTGGATTGTGCCACTTCAGACAGTGACAGTCCTCCTCAGCACAGCCCTGTATCAGACACTATATCTTGCTCTTAGAGAGTGAGTGTGTGTCTGTCTAAGTCTGTACGTTCACACACGTGTCAGACAGAGGAGCGTTTCCCTCTGCAGTGTTTGCCCTGCGTTAATAGAGCGTGTAAGACATGCATCATTTAGGAGAGAGCTCATATCTCCTTCTCTCTCCTGACTCCTTCACTGTCACACCTCAGAGACCTCTGGACTCCATCATACTGCTATTACACATGCACACGCGCACCAACGCACACACACACACACACATGCACACACACACACACACAAACACACACACACACACACACCACAAACCACACACGCATGCATGCACGCACACACACTCACAGACCACATACACACATGCATACACACACACCACAAACACACACCACGCACACACCACACACACACACAAAAACACACACCACACACACGCATGCACAAACACACACACACAAACACACACACACACCACAAACCACACGCATGCATGCACGCACACACACTGACAGACCACATACACACATGCATACACACACACCACACACACACACACACAAACACACACACCACACACACGCATGCACAAACACACACACACACACACACACACACACACACACAAACACACATACATATATTATCTCCTTCATGCACAGAATGGAGGAGCGGGGACTTTGGCAGAACCAAACATTAGCACTGTCTTTTGCCTTCTGCCTCACTAGAGAATAGATATTTGTTGTTGAGGAGGCTTAGATCTGTGGTACAGAGCTTTCCAAGTGATGTTCAGGGATTGTGATGTGCTACCAGGTCATGGGTTCAGGGCTGGAGGAAGAGAAGGATGGTGTGACTGTGTCAGGGCAGTGTGCCAGAGCAGCTAGGTCACCCGTGATACAAGTCAGTATTCGACATCCATCCATGTCTGAGGACGTCAGGAGTTGACGTGGAAACCAGCCACTAGGGGCAACAGTGAGAGCTGTTACCTTCAAGTAGGTTTCGGTTTTGCTAGGGCGTTGTGGACAGGGATGGTGGATGGGTGTAAGCATTGCATCTGCCTCTGGTGCAAATGGTTGCAAGTTTGAATCCAGCGACAGAAAGTTATTTTTGACCCTTACCTTGACCATTCAGAGTTAATACCTAACCTTAAGATGACAGAGTTAATGCCTAATCTTAACTCTAACCTTACAAATTCGTAGCTAATGCCTAAACTTAACCTTAAACACTTTGAAATTGGATGTTTGGGACAACTTCGAAATTTGACGTTTGAGAAACATGGATGAACATCTAATTCTGAAGTGAAACTGTGAGAGCTTGTTGGCCAGAGAGTCTCTGCAGGGTGAGATCATTAACAAGAGGACGTACCCCTGAACCTCCAATCCCAGGCCCGCATTCCGCCCGCCCCGCCCCGCCCCGCCACCCTCTGGGACTCATCCAGAATGGGTTAATGACCCTGTGTTATGGTTGGATCCCCGCCTGCCCTCCACGGCCATGCAGAGCCAACAGCGGACTCCCCCGCTCCCCTCTGGTCAGGAACATAAATACAGCCTAATGAGAGAGATGTGTGTTCCTGCCTCCTCAGGTGTTTATGGTCCTCTCACACATTCACACTGAGCTCACAGCCAGGGCCTGGTAACACACACACACACACACACACACACACACACACACACACACACACACACACACACACACACACACACACACACACACACACACACACACACACACACACACACACACACACACACACACACACACACACACACACACACACACACACACACACACACACACGCACACACACACACAGTATTGTATAACTAACCTTGTGGGGACACACAATTCAGTCCCATTCAAAATCCTATTTTCCCTAACCCCTAACCCTAACCTTAACCCTAAAACTAACTCTAGGTCCTAACCCTAAACTTAATTCTAACCCTAAATCTAACTCTAGGTCCTAACCCTAAACCTAATTCTAACCCTAACACTGATTAATTGCCGTACTTCCGAGAACACTCGCATCTTTTCATAGCGAGCTAGCGAGGGACGGAAAGAGAGGGGAGGGGCACAACATAAGCAGGTCGGCCACCATGCAGACAGTGAGAAACGTGCATTTGGGCTATCTATCATCATTCAAAAGCTGTATCTCACAATGGAATGCTTTATCTTGCAATTTCAGTAAAGCAGGGCCTATCATCAATGAATAGGATAGGATATTCTACACGCAACAGACCGAAGACTGAATACACACTTGCATTATTAGCGAAGAGCAACAGCAGGCGAGACAGCGCAAGGGAGAGAGATTCACCAAAGTAGCTTAAAGTTCACCTCTTCCTCTCTGGTTTTATTGAAATTACACAACTTTCCCCAGACCTTTATAGCCTATTGTCTAGTTAGTCGGCTATGGATTTTTCTTAACGTTAAAGATGCACTATGCAGAAATCGGCATTTCCTGGTTGCATAAATGTTAATAGTTCACCTAATTTCAGTTTATGTGACAAAACAAGCAAGTATAGTGTAGTGAATCATTATACCATCTAAACCGCTGTGAAATATATTTTCCATAACCAAAAGTATTGTATTTTCAGCTGTTTGAAGCTGGTGTACAAAACCGAAAGTAAAAGACTTAAGCATAGAAATAGCGCACATAGAGCATATCTACCACTTCTTACACTTGCTTTCAATGAGAATGACAGATCTATAACTAACATTTCTATCAGTGGAGGCTGTTGAGGGGAGGATGGGTCATAATAATGGATGGAATAGTCCCCTGTAGCTCAGTTGGTAGAGCATGGCGCTTGCAACGCCAGGGTTGTGGGTTTGTTTCCCACGGGGGGCCAGTATGAAAATGTATGCACTCACTAACTGTAAGTCGCTCTGGATAAGAGCGTCTGCTAAATGACTAAAATGTCAAATGTAAAATAAATGGAGTAAATGGAATGGTATCAAACATATGAACAACACGTGTTTGATACCATTCCATTTACTCCATTCCAGCCATTATTATGAGCCGTTCTCCCCTCAGCAGCCTCCACTGATTTTTATGTGAATTTGGTCAGGTCGCCCAGAAAGTTACATATTGCAGCTTTAAGGATCCTACAGTAGGTTACAGGAATCTGTCAACACAAAATACATACTCAGTATGACATCAGAAATTAAATACTTAACAACTGTTGTTAATTTAATCTGTTTTTTTGTTTTGTTTTTTATTTCATATATTGTTTGAAATAACGTTCACACCCCTAATTTGGCCTCATACTGTATATCAGTCATCAGATCTTTAGAGACACTCCTATACCTTCCATTGTTCCCTGTTCCAGCCTATAAGGTGAAGTAATTTACCCCCAGTCAAGGCGATTCGTTCCACAGAGGCCAGAGGGAAGTATTGTCCTTTGTAGTCTCTGGTTGTTGCTCACAGAGCCAGGCTTGTCTCTAATTAGCCTCTGTGCAGCTCATCTAAAACCCCTTCTCCAGCCCCAGCTCCAACCCAGAATGAATCACTAGCCTCACCAGACCTCTCTCTTTCTGACTCAGCACCACCTCACTCCACCATATAAGCAGGGGAGAGGAGAGGAACACTAATTAGTGTTCACAAAGGGTAGAGTGAGGACACCAATGTGACTGCAACCTGAGTCTACTCATTCATCCAGCGGCTGCAGGTTTGAAGGTTTGGGTTTTAGAGGAACAGAAAGACAATGGGTTTTGGGAGGTGCTTGAAATGAGGGGTCATAAATGTCATCACCACCCGTCCATCCACCGCAGCCCAATGCTTTGTTGTGGTTGTCTGTCTGTCTGTGGTTTGGGATAGGGGAGTATAGTAGGGGAGACATGGTTTGGTTTAGATAGCTACTTCCTCAATCCACACCCATTGGACCACAACTCTTTGAGTCCCTCTCAAGTGGAGTTGGAGATGTTTATGAACTCTTCTAAAGATGACGAATGAGCAACCAGACAATTAAGACTTCTGGGAGTACGCAAAACCTCAAACAGATACTGCATATACACACTATGATAAACAGCACCAGTATAGCAACTGCTAGCATTGTTTCCATGCTGATTTCATACTAAACATTTTGCCTTGCAGCATCTGGGCACCACTGCAGGAGGGAGGGAGGAAAGAGGAGAAAAGGAGAGGAGGAGGGAGGGGCATAGTTAGATTTAATTTTGATTAATATCTGCAGCTGCCCAGGGCTCTAATAAAATAAAAAGCGATAAGTGAGAGAGAAAGAGAGAGAGAGAGTTGGCAGCGTGGAGGATTGAGAGGTAGCCAGGAATGACACACTGCACAGGGAGAGGTAAGAGAGAAGTAGAGATAAGAGAGGAACAGACCAAAGGATAAGAGAAAAGAGGAGAGGCGAGGAATGAGGATGCGAGAAGACAGGAGAGGAGAAGTGAGTGGAGAGACAGCCAGGGTAAGGCGAGGAGAGAGGTAGAAGATAGATTCAGAGAAGAGGAAAGATGGTTTAGGTAAGTAGAGGGAATGAGTGGAGGTCCTTCTGTGAAAGAGATCCACAGACAGAGGGAGGGAAATTCCATTGGGAGCCAGCGCTGGGCTAGGAGAACTCATCAGGGCTGTACAGCACATTACCACCAGCCCCATTAATGCTGCCATTGTCTCAGCCTCAACGATGTCAAATCACTGAGAAATATACCTCATGGCCTTGTCATAATCCATCAAAGCTACAGTAAAGGTAATAGGTTTAGACTCTGAGGGATTGAGGGACAGCAGGATGTAGAGCAGAGATAGTTGAGGGCTGCAGTGCAATTCCACACTATGGCTGACCTTCTTTACACCACTAACTTCTGAGAACTGAGGCTAACACAGGGAGATGAGGGGTGAGGTCATTAGCAGCACTGACCCAAAACAAAAATAATAGGATATCTGAGGGTTCTCTTTAAGATGTCTAAACCCCCTTTATGTCTGTTTCCCCATACTCCCCCCCGCCTCTCTCCCCTTCTGCCCATTTTCGTTGATAGTCCTTTGCTTGTGGGTTTATGGGTCACTCATACAGCAGCATACAGGTCATGTTAAACTGCAGGGTGAGAGGTAAAGCCTCAGAGGAGCGCATATTGGCTGCCATAGGATCTAGGGCAGGACTGTCTGTGTGTGTCTGTGTGTGTGTGTGTCTGTGTATGTGTGTGTGTGTGAGTGCGTGAGTGGTGGAGAGGGCAGGCAGGCACACAGCCTCACTATTTCAATAATCCACAACCCCTAGGGACTCCAGGGAGGCCAGGGAAACCATAAATAAACTGACCTGCACACAGCACAGGGAATCTCAACCCTCATCTGACCTGTGGCAATAGTTGGTTTCTTCTAAAATATACTTTGAAATAGTCTAAAACAACTCTTTACCATTTCCGTCTTAACAAAGAAGCACACAACAACAACAGAGGAGCGCGCGAGACAGAGGGAGAAAAAAAGCTTCCTTTCCCCTGTTTGCTTTAGTTAATTGATGGCTGGTCACACTAATAAATTGACTGGTGTCGTATGGTAATTAATGACAGTTGTGACTATTCCCCTCTGAGTGAAGAAGCGAGGGGCCAGGGGCTGGACTCTCTCGTCTCTAATCTCATCTGGGGCCCTTAGCTCTCCTCCCCTTGCATCGCCTCTGCTTCAGCTGCTTCCAATTTGGGCTCGGCACTTGTGCTGCTGTCGCTTGCCATTTACACAGCCATGAATCTCCGCAGCACAGGCCTGTCTGCATACGGCTGGGGGCATGCCTGTCTGTGTGGATGTATAGGATGCCTTTATGGGTATGTGTGTCTGTGCAAATAGTGTTTTGTGGCTGACGGTGATTGTGTGTTTGTGTACGTAAAAGAGTATGTGTGTATGTGTGCAAATCGTGACGTGTGTGTCTATGTTTCCTTCTAAATAAATCAGTGTGTTTGAGTGTATATGTATGTATGAGTGTGTTTGAGTGTATGTGTATGTATGAGTGTGCTTGAGTGTATGTGTATGTCTTCTGTGAGTGTTCCAGTGGTTTTACAACCTGTTTAATGCAAACAAGGAGACTGTGGGACCAGGGGGGTGTGGTTGAGAGGAGAGAGAAGGGCCACTTCAGAGACAGCTCTGGAAAGTGGTGGCTTTATGTTGGGTCAGAATATTTTGTTTTTGACAGCGTTCCTTTGTGTGATCCAAGAGGAGTGGGAGTGGAGGTCAGCACTCAGAGAGAGAGGAACTGGTCTCGTGCGGCTCCCACACCAGTGACCTCACACTGGGGTCTTTCCACTTACAGCTACTAAAAACTACAGCCATTAAAACGGCTAATCACGCTTAACAGCTGCATGCTTCACTATACAAATTCTTAACACCTCGCTCTCCCACCCACACACACGTATATATATATACACACACACACAAACACACAGAACACACCGAACACACAAGCACCCACATACTCCCACACTCCCCTTGCTAATGGAAAGCTGCAGCCCAGCGATGTTTAAAGTGAGGGGCTTAGAGTGTAGGCCTCTGATAAGCTGAGCTGAGCTGTGAAAACACAGATTACATTTTTGCGGCTTATTAAAGATGCCGCGCCTCTGCCTCTCGGCCACGCTGTAATTGCAGCCCAGAAACCGCAGCCTCCGCTTGACTGCGAGACACAGCTTGATGGGGCTCTTTCAGCCGCACTAATTCAGCAAAATCTCCTCCCTACACAGGAGGTTGGTGGCACCTTAATTGGGAGGACAGGCTCGTGGTAATGGCTGGAGTGGAATGGTATCAAATATGGAACCCATGTGTTTGATGCCATTCCATTAGCTCCTTTCCAGCTATTATTATGAGTCTCAGCAGCCTCCACTGCCTCCCTAATGTCTCAATGTGCTGCCTGCCCCTCTTGAGGTAAACTGCCTGGTGTTGTGTTGTTTCAAGTGTCTGTCTTTATAAATCGTGTTCAGTCCATGATATCAACTGGAACCTCCCACAGTCATCCTCTCTTTCTCACACTATATCCTCACATAATTCAGTCACAGCAGGGGAGAAGGGCAGGAGGCCAGCTACCACACCTGACCTGAGGGAGACATGAATACTATCACAGTTTATATGCCAGAGAGACTATGATCTCCATTTCAAGTTTTATTAGTCGTATGTACGGGATACGCATGGTATACATCGTCCAACAAAATGCTAACTTGCAGGTTCCTTCTCGACAATAAAACAACAATAAGAAATAGTAAAACATAAGAATACAAACATAAAGTAAATGGCAGTAGAATATAATTAACATTTTAGCATAAGTATAATACAGGAAGGCATGGGGGGATGGGGGGCAAGTGTATAAACTGAGCAGTATAATAAGAGTCTGGTAGCAGCAGCTGTGATGTGTGATAATGTGTGGAGGATCAGAGCAGGTGGTCAGTCCAGTTCAAGTGTTCAGCAGTCTGATGGCTTATAGATAGAAACTGTCTCTGAGCCTGTTGGTAACAGACCTCATGCTCCGATACTGTCTGCCCAATGGTAAGGGAGAGAACAGCTTGCGGCTGGGGTGTGTGGGGTCCTTGATGATGATGCTGACCTTCCTCAGGCACCGTTTTGAGTAGATGTCCAGGATGGGTTGCAGCACGGTACTGGGCCATCTTCACCACCCGCTGGATGGCCTTTTGGTCGTGGACGGAGCAATTCCCGTACCAGGCCGTGATGCAACCGGTCAGGACGCTCTCGATGGTGCAGCGGAAGTATTTGGAGAGGACCTGGGGCAGCATGCCAAATTTCTTCAGCCGCCATAGGAAGTAGAGACGATGTTGCGCCCTCTTGACAAGGGCGGTGGTGTTGTTGGTCCATGACAAGTCCTCGGTGATGTGGACGCCGAGGAACTTAAAACTTGTGACTCTCTCTACTACAGTCCCATTGATGTGGATCGGGTATGTTCCCTCCTCTGCTTCCTGAAGTCAACAATCAACTCCTTTGTTTGATACAGTACTTTGATACTGTAGACACTGTGATGTGTTTGACAACTAAATTCAATGTCATAATCTAGCCTGTATGGAATATATTTGATATTATGTTATAATAAAATTGCTATCTAAATGGGGTATAATTTTTATAGTGTTATTTGATGTACTGTAACTTGGGATATCCCCACTGAAAACAAGAGTGTTGTTGCTTGGAAGGGTGAAGCGATCCAGGCATACATTATATCCATGTTCTCTGGCAGCTTATGAAAGTGCCTCCATCTGCAAATACTTAGAGTTTTTTTCAAGCTCAATCAGAGATAAAGGCCATTGTGTTGCAGGTCCAGCAGTAAGACAATATCTCCCCAACCTCATAGAAAACAATTAGGATGAGGTAATTACACCACTGGTCTGGAATTTGAGCCAAGGCTTGAGATTTGGGTGGGGGCCTGAGAAACAGAGAAATATGAGGGGTGGCTGTCTTAATACAGTGTTATCTTACTCCACATTGACTCTCTCTGACTGAGTGTGTTTGTCTGTTATCAGCCTGTGTGTGATGTAATGTTTTGTTTTTGGAGCCCATGGGCTGGATGGGGTGGAGCCAACGGGCCACATATCCCACAGGATCCTCTGATTGGACAAGAGAGTCTCTCAGGTGCCAGAGTGACCTGAACCCATCCAATAGCATTCACTCACTCATCCTGGGTCTGTGCACTCTGCGCCCGGGTCATTGGGACTGGGGGAAACACATCAAGAGGTTCTAAACTAAAACAGAGACGTGTTATCTCTAGGTCAGACACACCAGACAGACTGGACCCTAGTCAGCCACTCTGACAACAGGCAGGGGACCAAACTCCAAAGCGCCTAACAGAGTTAGAGAGTACACACGTAAGGGAAAGAACTCAGCTAAGTGAGTGAAGGAACAAAAGTGAAAACAACCCTCAACAATCAACGCTACGAATACAGCGCCCTCACCGCTCTGGCTTTCCTGAGTGAGGACGATTGCCATCATTCAGTCTCACCTTAACTCTCACCCTCCCAGTGAGAGTCCCAGTCCTAGTCCCAGTCTGCAGCTGGCCTGTCTGTCTGTCTGCTGTGGTGACGGCTGCAGTAATGCAGACCAGCCCTGGGAGGGGGGTCAGTCAGGGTAGTGGTACAGTACAGAGGATGTAGGGGAGGTAAAGTAAAGTAAATCAGAGGATCATGCACATTTTCCACAGTCTGTGAGAGGCAGACAGCAGACAGGCAGCAGAGGGAGTGTGTAGATGGAGGGATGGAAGGAAGGGGGGAACACCTGAGACTACTCTTAACTGGAACTTTGAATGGGTCATAGATCAAGACGACAGGACATCACATTAGTTCAACTTCAGACCAAAGATAGGTCCCATATGTCCACTTCAACGAATAACATACAGCTATGTTATGTGTCTAAAACACACAAATACATTCTCTAGGCCATGTATCCTCAAAGCCACAGCCACACAAGCACAACAACGTGACACACACATCTTATCTTTGACCTTGCACTCGAATGCTGCACTAACTGAGAATGCTGCACTAACTTCCCTTGGCAACGCTATGGCAACTTAGTGGTTAAGAGTGTTGTGCCAGTAACCGAAAGGTCGCTGGTTCTAATCCCCGAGCCGACTAGGTGAAAAATCTGTCGATGTGCCCTTGAGCAAGGCACTTAACCCTAATTGCTCCTGTAAGTCGCTCTGGATAAGAGCGTCTGCTAAATGACTAAAATGTAAATGTAAATGCAACGATTTGTGCATGTGCTGTCCCATCTCCAGTCATCCTGTGTCGCTGGTTTTTATTTCTCCTTAAGGTAGGGGATGAGGGGCTGAGAGGAGGGGTATCAGGCTGGGTGCTGACAGGGGCCTCTCCTACACAGTCCCGGCGGCGGCAGTCCTGGATGCTATCCACCGTGCTGCATAGCAGGGTTCTCTGAATAGCAGCTGTCACTTCCACTGAGCGCTGCCTGTGATCTGAGACACCCGGAACGGCGCTCTCATAAGTGCCTAATCTCAGCATCCCCCCCCCCCCCAGACAAACCCCCCCCCCCCCCCCCCCCCCAGACAAACCCCCACCACAGCCAAACCCCCACCACAGCCCTCCAGTACCACTTAATTGGATAATTCTAGGTCTTTTAACAGTGTGTGTGTGTGTGTGTGTGTGTGTGTGTGTGTGTGTGTGTGTGTGTGTGTGTGTGTGTGTGTGTGTGTGTGTGTGTGTGTGTGTGTGTGTGTGTGTGTGTGTGCTTTCTGTGTGTGTATCTCGGTGGTCTGTCCATGCGTGTGTGGTAGTTTTTGAGTGTCTCAAACGCTGTATCAGAGTGCTTGTGACATGTGTACACCTCAGTGGCGGTCAGTGACGTTTAAGATGAGGGAGGATGATTTTTTGAGCATGGCCTTATTTCTATTACAGCATATTGGATGACTGTCATTCATATTCCATTCACCCAGTTCAATATAACAGCGAGAGGTTTAGGCTACTACATAATACAAAAAATGTCCTTATACCCATCATGAGGTTGCTATAACCTAGCCTATGAATGAAAGTTTACAAAGTAGGTGCACACAGGTAGAGAGAAACATTTGAGGTGAAAGACAGTGACACACGGACAGACAGTGACACATTAAATACCGCCTTGCACACTCTTGCCTGCATCTAGCTGATATAGGGTGTAATCATTAGTCCAAGAGTTGCAAACGAGAGATTCTATTGGACAAATTCAGGTATGTTTATCCCCGTTTTGTTCCGTTTGCAACTATATTTGACTTGGAATCCTTGGACAGACCCCATGAGTTCATCTTTGTCGATGAAGCAGGCTTCAATCTAACAAAGAGGAGAAGGAGAGGCCGAAACATGATTGGACAGCGGGCCAATGTTGAAGTCCCTGGTCAACGAGGTGGCAATGTCACAATCTGTGCTGCTATCAGCAACCATGGTGTTCTACATCACAATGTTACACTCGGGCCATATAACACCCATCACCTTCTAAGATTTATTGCCAATCTAAAATATATTTTATTTGAGCAGCAGGTTCAAGAGCAGCAGGATCAAGAGCTAAATGAGAATCCCATTCCCACCTATGTGATAGTGTGGGACAATGTCAGTTTCCACCGAGCTGCTCAGGTAAGGGAATGGTTTAACATCAATGGGCAGTTTATGAACTTGTACCTCCCTCCATACTCGCCTTTCCTGAATCCGATATAGGAGTTTTTCTCCTCTTGGAGATGGAAAGTGATTGATAGACAACCCTACACCAGAGTAAATCTGCTGCAAGCCATGGATTTAGCCTGTGGTGATATAGGTGAGGAATCAAGGTTTCAGAAATTGTGTTTTAGCAATTGAGAAAAACTGTAATAAGGTTTGTATCACAACTAAAGTGGCCAAATAATTTCTTAAAATCAAGCACATTAATCCGCTTTACAAGGGGTATAGAGCCTAACTGGCATACATAAGCAGCGTGTGAGTTTCAAGTTTGGGGAAGATAATTTTCACCATAAAAATGCACCTTTATAATAAAAGCATTACATGCTTAATTGCATTTGCGGTCACTTTTGATAATGGTGTTTTCCCGCTAATGGAACATTTGTGCTTATAGCCTACTGCCATGTGCGCATTGCTGCGCTTATTATGTGAAGAAATAACATTTTAAGCTAAACGTTCTGATCTGTTGCGTCAGCCACATTGTGTAAAAAAGGTTTTTTGATACTAGTGGTTGTATTAATTTGGGATCTTTCGCATCCCACAACTGTCCCAGACTATGTTTGGAATATTTATGTCTCACACAGAATAGGTCGACTTTTGTACTATGGGGGATAGTAGATTGACATAGGCTAGTGCTTTTGCTGTTCGTTAGGCCTCCTCATCTTGTTGGCTGACGAAAAGTAAATGTGGACAGTTCTTCCAATATCTTCAATATGCACCTCGCGTGCGTCCTTATCCAATTCCGAGGTGCATATTGAAGATATTGGAAGAACTGTCCACATTTACTTTTCGTCAGCCAACAAGATGAGGAGGCTATATTACATGGATTTATTAGACTTTTTTAAATGTAGATGTTCCAAAGGTCTGCATTAGTGGCTTGTAGGCTATGTGTGGAAGCCAGGAGATGCTAAATGTGTTTATGTTAATTAACGGTCAATTACCGTGAGACCGACGGTTATTTGCTTGACAATCACCAGCTGACGAAATTTCGTGACCGCCACAGCCGTAGGCTGTGTAAAGGGTGTGCTGGTGGGAAAAGTGGAGTAATTTCTCCCAAATGAGGCCCTATTACAACACCCTCCAGCAGGTACTGGGCCCCTGTGAGGCCCCCAGAGAGACTGTTAGCTCACCTGGGAGGAGTGGGCTGGCTAGTGAGGGAAACAGCAGTCCCATGTCAACACCACTGAGTAGTCAACGTTTTATCACAGTAAAGGGTTATTGTAATCAGCCCTGGGTCCTGGGGCAAACAGTCACTCCACCCTCTACACCAGACAGGGTCCCAGCCAGCGCCAAGGGAAATCATTAGGCTCTGTTCTGTTCTGGGTGAGAGGTGTGAGGAGAAGTGTGTGTGGAGCGTAGGCAGGGGGAGCTACTGGAGTTGAAAGGATCAGAATAACAATAACAGAGTGTTAGCATAGCACTTTAAGGGGATGACACCATACTTGCAGATGGACTATAAAACTCAAAACCATATAAAATAATCGATTCAATAACTGTAAAGTTGGACACGTAAAAGATGAATAAACTGGAGGCTGTTGGCTCTGCCCTAAGATGCTGATGTGAGGTTTCTCTAGACCATTGGAGAGTGAGTGAGTTTGTTATGATGCAGGCCAACAGAGGGGGATCCTAGTGTTTATCCATGTTACTCATATATTCGTTTTGAGAAACTCCTAAGAGACTAACAGTGAGGAACTGGGAAAACTGGATAACATAGAGAAAGATAGAGATAGAGAGATATGCTGAAAGGGGGAATGGAACGAAGACAAAGATACATTATTGAACTTGAGATAAGTGAGAAAAGATAACTTACAGACAGGAAGAAAGGGATGAGATAAAAGAGAGAAATGAGAGAGATATCAAACCTGAGAGTGAGAGAAAGTGAACCAAACGAGAGAGAGAGTGAGAAGGGGAAGTGAGAGAAGGGAAAGAGGGAGGAAGTGGGGGAAAGCCAAGGCAGTCCTGGCAGCCGTCTGGTCTTCACGGTTTCTCCAATCACAACATGGCTGAGGGGCTGGCTCCCGCTCAGAGTTGCGTCAGAACCAGGCTCCAGGACTACATATCACATGCACAGGATTCACTACCTCAGCCCTTAATCACCCTCACCTCCTCGGGTCTCTCTCTCTCCTCTCACCAAAACCTCATGTTCTCATTGTTCTGCTCACATTCATGTGTTTTCAGTTGTGAGCACTGCCAGTCAATCAGAGGAGCAGAGAGAGAGAGAGAGAGAGAGAGAGAGAGAGAGAGAGAGAGAGAGAGGAGAGAGAGAGAGAGAGAGAGAGAGAGAGAGAGAGAGAGAGAGAGAGAGAGAGAGAGAGAGAGAGAGAGAGAAAGAAAGAGAGAAGAAGGGGGCAGGGACCAGAAACTAGAGAAGTACAGCGATGTACAGAAAAGTACAGAGATGTACAGAAAAGTACAGAGATGTACAGAGAAGTACAGAGATGTACAGAGAAGTACAGAGATGTACAGAAAAGTACAGAGATGTGCTCAGCTGGAGAAGAACTGAGAAATCTGTAAGTGCATAAATCCCAGAAGATGTTGACCTCTGTTGCCCTCTTACCTTCTTCACAGGCCATGCCGCTGTAGCCTGGACAGCACTTCCACTCCAGAGAGTTGATGGTGCGGTACACCACCTTATAGGAGGGCCTGACCACTGTCCGGTAGCTGGGGAACACACACACAGGCCAATATCACAAACAGTGTAAGGATGAAACAGTTCCTCTGATCTTGTGGCTCATTCATCAAGGTGTAGATGTGGGGTGTGTTCTGTGAGGTTTTGACATGCTTTGTTATGGGTTAGACATCCCAGACTCACCTGCCCCCTGTGCATCCCTGTGGCCAGCGACATGTCTGGTAGACACGCTGCAGGGTTGTCCCATTCTGCACCTGGCAAGTCACCGTCTTAGTGACCGTATGGGGACACCAGTTCCTGAGAGAGAGGAGAGAGGAAGAGCGAGAGAAAGAGAGAGAGGGAGAGAGAGAGAGAGAAAGTGTGGGGAGGGGGGGGGGGGGGGGGGAGGAGACACACACAGAGCAGGTTTAGCATGCACACTCAAATTCAACAAGACAAAAGGTAAGAGAAACGTACGCTTCAGTTCTCCTCCACACCTGTTCAGAATAAAATATACAAGCCACAGGTGGTCATATCATTATCTGATAAAAACACACACACCCACAATCTCACAAACACACACACACACACAAACACATGCGTACGCACACGCACATAAAGGGAAATGATCCGTGCCCTCGCACTTTCTTCTCATTCTCCCCCCTCTTTCTTTTCAAAGTCCTTCTGGTGTTTACATGAGTTCAATCGGCCGTGAGACTTGCGGGAGTTTATTGTAGGCTGTGTTTACATTTCGGTCTTTCCCCTATCAATACACATCCACTGGCTTTTTCCCCCCTGGGTCTCAGAAGAGGCAGAGTCACTGAGGGAGGAACAGAGGGGGGAGGGACTCACACAGAGATTAGAGTGAGTTTTCAAACATAGGCTAATAGTAGGTCATAGGCCCACTCCCTTTCCAAGACGACTCCTTTCGTAAGACGTTATCAGGACCTGCTTTGCACAGCTGGAGAGTCTGGGAGCGGGATGACCTGCCAGGAAATCAGCTTACCCAGAGGTCACAGGTCAACATCAGATACTGAAGCCCTCGTTAGTCTAAGTGTGTATTTTAAGAATAAGTTAGACACAAAGCTTTACATTTACCTCCATTTTTTATGTAGCCTCTATAAAGGCTTTGTATACTTACTCTCACTACTAATGAAGCTCTTGGTTTTGAGACCTCTTTTGAACCATATGCAGCCAAGGACAGAGAACAGGGAGTCAGTGCAGTAGTGTATCAGTTAGTCTGGACCAGGTCTTTTCCATGTTAGTCAACCAGGACCAGATCTGTTTCCCTGTGCTGTGCCATGTAGAGGAGATATCTGAGCCGGATTAGGAGAGGAGCTATGGGATGGTTTCAATCACTGCATTATTGGTCGGAAGAAAATACTGACTTAGGGAAACAATGCTCTTAGAAATAAAGGGGAAAAAACCTCTCCGTGGTATTCATTAAACATGTCCTACAGTGCATTCGGAAAGTATTCAGACCCCTTCACTTTTTCCAGATTGTGTTACGTTACAGCCTTACTCTAAAATTGATTAAATCATTTTTTCCCCTCATCTCCCATCCCTCAAGTCGACAACTATAAATCAAGGAAACATGAAGCAGCACTTCGAGAAATGTAATGTATACGTACATACGGAGGCTATTAGAGCCAACATGTGTTAGCAGTCTTTTATTAACAAAGAAGTGCACAAATACCCTGATTACCCTCATATGGCTTGGGCTGAATAGAGAGGGTGGAACATGGAAAACAATTTGTTTAGCATATAGAACACCCAACAGCTGAGGATCCTCTGTGTGCTTCATAGCAATACTATGACTGTGATACAGGAACACTGGTGTCACAATGTTTCAACCAATGACTGTACTGAATGTGTGTGTGTACACTGCTGGACAATGCCAAGGGCCCTAAAGCAGCTCACAGTAACGATCCACACATGTTGTGGTGTCCGTACACAAGCCCCTACTAGGGCTGTATGATATAGGGAACCAGATTGAAATATTTGAGCAGTTTCCGAGGCGATAAAATCCTAAATGCAACTTCCTTATTGGCGTTAGAAGACAGAGGAGGGGAGGTGGGATGCAGCAGGACACTGTTGGCAGCTCCTAGGGGCCATGTGTGAACACAGGTCTTCCTTCCACCTACACACTTTATATGTGTAATTGTGCAAACACAATGATCTCTTTCATGGTGAATTAGCACTAGCAGAACAATGAAATCTTTCTTTACATGTTTTTCATCTAGCTAACATACTTCTGGATGCTAGTGCTAAACTCTTGTCTCTTATTCATCCACTCAGTGTTTTCCCTATATGCTTCTAGCAGCGTCAGCGGCGCACCATCTACTGTGTAGCTGTAGAGATGTATGCCCCAGGAAGACGCCCCCACCTGCCTACTCTGGCACCGCTGCTGAAAAAAATCTTAGGGGAAACATTGATCCACCTGACACAGACTAAGACAACAGCTACTGTCCCTTTCCCCATTTAACACTGTACGAGCCTCCACCTTCCCCAAGCCATTCAGTAGTACCATTCAGTCCTGATTTCTCAAGTAATAATTTTGCTAGGACTGTCTGGGGGTGGTCTGAGTGGGGAGGGGAAAACTGAAAACGAGCTGTTATTGGGGGAACTGCATCACACATTGCAGCCAAATGGACTGCATGTGCAACTCGCTATTCAGGTTTGATGCAATTTTCAAACTTGTATTTATTTATTTCCATATTTATTATCATTTGTTTATCATTATTATTATTATTATTGTACAGTATATAATTATTATTATTGTAGGCCTACTTAAGAATCTAAACCATTCTTTATACACTGAACAAAAATATAAATGCAACATGCAACAATTTCAAAGATTTTACTGAGTTACAGAAAACACTGCTACTCCTCCTGCTCTTTCCTCGTCTGACCATGTGTTCTCGCATACCCCGAGAGCATCTGGTCAGCGCGGCGGTGGCACAGGAATCCTCATCTCTCCCAAGTGGACATTCTCTCTTTTTCTCCTGACCCATCTGTCTATCTCCTCATTTGAATTCCATGCTGTCACAGTCACTAGCCCATTCAAGCTTAACATCCTTGTCATTTATCGCCCTCCAGGTTCCCTTGGAGAGTTCATCAATGAGCTTGACGCCTTGATAAGTTCCTTTCCTGAGGATGGCTCACCCCTCACAGTTCTGGGTGACTTTAACCTCCCTACATCTGCCTTTGACTCATCTCTCTCTGCCTCCTTCTTTCCACTCCTTTCCTCTTTTGACCTCACCCTCTCACCGTCCCCCCCTACTAACAAGGCAGGCAATACGCTTGACCTCATCTTTACTAGATGCTGTTCTTCTACTAATCTCACTGCAACTCCCCTCCAAGTCTCCGACCACTACTTTGTATCCTTTTCTCTCTCGCTCTCCTCCAACACTACTCACTCTGCCCCTACTCAGATGGTAATGTGCCGTCGCAACCTTCGCTCTCTCTCTCCCGCTACTCTCTCCTCTTCCATCCTATCATCTCTTCCCTCTGCTAAATCCTTCTCCCTCCGATCTCCTGATTCTGCCTCCTCAACCCTCCTCTCCTCCCTTTCTGCATCTTTTTACTCTCTATGTCCCCTATCGTCCCGGCTGGCTCTGTCCTCCCCTCCTGCTCCGTGGCTTGACGACTCATTGCGAGCTCACAGAAGAGGGCTCCGGGCAGCCGAGCGGAAATGGAGGAAAACTAGACTCCCTGCGGACCTGTCATCTTTTCACTCCCTCCTCTCTACATTCTCTTCCTCTGTTTCCGCTGCTAAAGCCACTTTCTACCACTCTAAATTTCAAGCCTCTGCCTCTAACCCTAGGAAGCTCTTTGCCACCTTCTCCTCCCTGCTGAATCCTCCGCCTCCTCCCCCTCCCTCCTCCCTCTCTGTGGATGACTTCGTCAACCATTTTGAAAAGAAGGTTGACGACATCTGATCCTAATTTATTAAGTCAAATGACACCGCTGGTCCTGCTCACACCTCCCTACCCTATGCTTTGACTTCTTTCTCCCCTCTCTCTCCAGATGAAATCTTGCGACTTGTGACGGCCGGCCGCCCAACAACCTGCCAGCTTGACCCTATCCCCTCCTCTCTTCTCCAGACCATTTCCGGAGACCTTCTCCCTTACCTCACCTCGCTCATCAACTCATCCTTGACCGCTGGCCATGTCCCTTCCTTCTTCAAGAGAGCGAGAGTTGCACCCCTCCTCAAAAAACCTACAATCGATCCCTCCGATGTCAACAACTACAGACCAGTATCCCTTCTTTCTTTTTTCTCCAAAACTCTTGAGCGTGCCGTCTTTAGCCAACTCTCCTGCTATCTCTCTCAGAATGACCTTCTTGATCCAAACCAGTCAGGTTTCAAGACTGGTCATTCAACTGAGACTGCTCTTCTCTGTGTCACGGAGGCTCTCGGCACTGCTAAAGCTAACTCTCTCTCCTCTGCTCTTATCCTTCTAGACCTATCCGTTGCCTTTGATACTGTGAACCATCAGATCCTCCTCTCCACCCTCTCCGAGTTGGGCATCTCCGGCGCTGCTCACTCTTGGATTGCGTCCTACCTGACAGGTCGCTCCTACCAGGTGGCGTGGCGAGAATCTGTCTCCGCAACACGTGCTCTCACCACTGGTGTCCCCCAGGGCTCAGTTCTAGGCCTTCTCCTATTCTCTCTAAACACCAAGTCACTTGGCTCTTTCATATCCTCACATGGTCTCTCCTATCATTGATACACAGATGACACACAATTAACTTTCTCCTTTCCCCCTTCTGATAACCAGGTGGCGAATCGCATCTCTGCATGTCTGGCAGACATATCAGTGTGGATGTCGGATCACCACCTCAAGCTGAACCTCGGCAAGACTGAGCTGCTCTTCCTCCCGGGGAAGGACTGCCCGCTCCATGATCTCGCCATCATGGTTGACAACTCCATTGTGTCCTCCTCCCAGAGTGCAAAGAACCTTGGCGTGACCCTGGACAACACCCTGTCGTTCTTCGCTAACATCAAAGCGGTGAACCGATCCTGCAGGTTCATGCTCTACAACATTCGCAGAGTACGACCCTACCTTACACAGAAAGCGGCACAGGTTCTTATCCAGGTACTTGTCATCTCCCGTCTGGATTACTGCAACTCGCTGTTGGCTGGGCTCCCTGCCTGTGCCATTAAACCCCTACAACTTATCCAGAACGCTGAAGCCCGTCTGGTGTTCAACCTTCCCAAGTTCTCTCATGTCACCCCGCTCCTCCGCACACTCCACTGGCTTCCAGTTGAGGCTTGCATCTACTACAAGACCATGGTGCTTGCCTACAGAGCTGTGAGGGGAACGGCACCTCCTTACCTTCAGGCTCTGATCAGACCCTACACCCAAACGAGTGCACTATGTTCATCCACCTCTGGCCTGCTGTCTCCCCTACCTCTACGGAAGCACAGTTCCCGCTCAGCCCAGTCAAAGCTATTCGCTGCTCTGGCACCCCAATGGTGGAACAAGCTCCCCCACGACGCCAGGACAGCGGAGTCACTGACCACCTTCCGGAGACACTTGAAACCCTACCTCTTTAAGGAATACCTGGAATAGTATAAAGTAATCCTTCCCCCAACCCCCATAAAAAAAATTATTTAAAAAAGTGGTTGTCCCACTAGCTATCATAAGTTGAATGCACCAATTTGTAAGTCGCTCTGGATAAGAGCGTCTGCTAAAGGATGTAAATGTAAATATAAGGAAATCAGTCAATTGAAATTAATTCATGAGGCCCTAATCTATGGATTCCATATGAATAAAGATATGCATCTGTTGGACACAGATACACTACAAAAGTATGTGGACACCTTAAAATGTGTGGATTTGGCTATTTCAGCCACACCCGTTGCTGACAGGTGTATAAAATCGAGCACACTGCCATGCAATTTTCCATCGACAAACATTGGCAGTAGAATGGCCCGTACTGAAGAGCTCAGTGACATTCAACATGGCACCGTCATAGGATGCCACCTTTCCAACAAGTCAGTTTGTCAAAGTTCTGCCCCGGTCAACTGTAAGTGCTGTTATTGTGAAGTGGAAACGTCTAGGAGCAACAACGGCTCAGCCGCAAAGAGGTAGGCCACACAAGCTAACAGAACGGGACCGCCGAGTGCTGAAGCGCGTAGCCCATAAAAATCCTCTGTCCTCGGTTGCAACACTCAATGTACCTTTAGAAAAGATAGGGGCGTGGATCAGAAAACCAGTCAGCATCTGGTGTGACCATCATTTGCCTCAACACATCTCTTTCGCATAGAGTTGATCAGGCTGTTGATTGTGGCCTATGGAATGTTGTTCCACTCCTCTTCAATGGCTGTGTGAAGTTGCTGGATATTATCGGGAACTGGTACAAGCTGTCGTACATGTCAATCCATAGCATCCCAAACATGTTCAATGGGTGACATGTCTGGTGAGTATGCAGGCCATGGAAGAAATGGGACATTTTCAGCTTCCAGGAATCGTGTATAGATCCTTGCGACATCGGGCCATGCATTATAATGTTGAAACATGAGGTAATGGCGGCGGATTAATGGCATGACAATGGGCCTCAGGATCTCATCACGGTATCTCTCTGCATTCAAATTGCCTTTGATAAAATGCAATTGTGTTCGTTGTCTGTAACTTATGCCTGCTCATACCATAACCCCACCGCCACCATGGGGCACTCTGTTCACAACGTTGACATCAGCAAACCGCTCGCCCACACGATGCCATACACGCTGTCTGCCATCTGCCAGGTACATTTGAAACCGGGATTCATCCATGAAAAGCACACTTTTCCAGCGTGCCAGTGGCCATCGAAGGTGAGCATTTGCCCACTGAAGTTGGTAACGACGCCAAAATGCTGTCAGGTCAAGACCCTGGTGAGGACGACGAGCACGCAGATGAGCTTCCCTGAGACGGTTTCTGACAGTTTGTGCAGAAATTCTTCGGATGTGCAAACCCACAGTTTCATCAGCTGTCTGGGTGGCTGGTCTCAGATGATCCCACAGGTGAAGAAGCCGGATGTGGAGGTCCTGGGCTGGTGTGATTACAAATGGTCTGCGGTTGTGAGGCTGGTTGGACATACTGCCAAATTCTCTAAAACGGCCTCCCAAGTGGCGCAGCGGTCTAAGGCACTACACTGTAGTGCTGAAGCACCACTACAGCCTCGGGTTCGATCCCAGGCTGTGTCACTGCCGGCCATGACCGGGAGCCCCATGGGACGGCGCACAATTGCCCCAGCGTCATCCGGGTTAGGGGAGGGTTTGGCCGGAGGGATTTCCTTGGCTCATCGTTCTCTAGCGACTCCTTGTGGTGGGCCCGGCGCCTGCAAGCTGACTTCAGTTGTCAGTTGGACGGTGTTTCCTCCGAACACATTGGTGCGGCTAGCTTTCGGGTTAAGCAAGCAGTATGTTAAGAAGCAGCGCGGCTTGGCAGGTCATGTTTCGGAGGATGCATGACTCTCGACCTTCGCCTCTCCCGAGTCCTTTGGGGAGTTGCAGCGATGAGACAAGATCGTAACTTCCAATTGAATATCACACGCAATTATCTTTTAAATCTAAAACGATGTTGGAGGCGGCTTATGGTAGAGAAATTAACATACAATTATCTGGAAACAGCTCTGGTGGACATTCCTGCAGTCAGGATGCCAATTGCGCACTCCCTCAAAACTTGAGACATATGTGGCATTGTGTTGTGTGACAAAACTGCACATTATAGTGGCCTTTTATTGTCCCCAGCACAAGGTGCACCTGTCTAATGATCATCCTGTTTAATCAGCTTCTTGATATGCCACACCTGTCAGGTGGATGGATTATCTTGGCAAAGGAGAAATGCTCACTAACAGGGATGTAAACAAATTTGTGCCCAACATTTGTGAAAAATAAGGTTTTTGTGAGTATCGAACATTTCTGGGATGTTTTATTTCAGCTCAAACATGGGACCAACACTTTACATGTTGCATTTATATTTTTGGTCAGTATATATGCAAAAAGTGTTTTGTTTCATTTTGCTGATACATTTTCATTAGCTATATTAAGTTCTAACTGTCTTTATTTTGTGCTATATTTAGTTGAAGATTAAAAATATGTTAAAAATAGGCCTGTTGTAAAATAAATAGCATTAGGCTATTGCTGTCATTTGTTGGGTAGGCCTACGGTAGGCACTAGCCTTTGTTGGTATTTTTGAACGTTTAAACCAGTTCTTTAAATAGCTTATGCAACAAGTGTTTTGTTTCATTTTCTTTTGCCATTTTCTTTGGCCAAATTAAGTTCATGTTATGTTTGCCGCAATATAACATAATTACCGGTAGGCCTATCTAGGGCTACTCGCACTCAAACCATAAAAAGGAAAAACCAAAGAGGGCGAGATGCAAAACTTAATTTAATGCCGCAATATAATAACCTGTTTGTATGACTTGACTTAGGTCACCAGCGTTCCAACTCTCTCTGACAACTGAACTTGAGGTCAGGAAGAAATTTTAGGCCTACCAGTTTCATCTAACAATATAATGCTTATCCTTCTGTACGCCTATATCTGTATAGCAGTAGTAGCCTATCTGATAAGTATAAATGCATGTCAGTGTCAGGAACATGGCGCCAGCATATCTCTATCTTTCTCTCGGTCGCTCTAGGGCTAGGCCTAAACTTCTCTTCCTTTATATTTTAAATATTAATATCATACAGTGGATGTCTAGGCCTATAGGCCTATATGCATGCAATGCCCTGATGCATTTAGCGTTCAAATCTCTGACAGCTGAACCATGAGGTGGACAATTATTGTTTAGGAAAGTAAACACAAATAAAACAATAGTCTATAAAGTTTTGAATATGCTACACATCGAAACACAACAAATACTTTTATTTTTATTTTTATGTATAGTCCGTTTTTAAAGACAAGTAACTAGGGATAATTTGGCCAATATCACTTGTTTATTGATGGAGCTGGCAGTGCCCGGTCTGAGGTTTCTTTCTCTCTCTCTTTCTACTCTCGGATATGAATGGGTATTTGGTATTTGGTATTTATAAGGATCCCCATTAACTGCTGCAAAAGCATCAGCTACTCTTCCTGGGGTCCACATGAAACATTACATAATACATTACTACCAGTGAAAAGTTTGGACACACCTACTCATTCAAGGGTTTTTCTTAATTTTTTACTATTTTTTACATTGTAGAATAATAGTGAAGACATCAAAACTATGAAATAACACATATGGAATCATGTAGTAACCAAAAACGTAAAATAAATGTTATTCAAATAGCCACCCTTTGCCTTGATGCTTTGCACACTCTTGGCATTCTTTCAACCAGCTTCATGAGGTAGTCACCTGGAATGCATTTCAATTAACAGATGTGCCTTGTTAAAAATTAATTTGTGCAATTTCTTTCCTTCTTTATACGTTTGAGCCAATCAGTTGTGTTGTGACAGACGATAACCCTATTTGGTATAAGACCAAGTCCATATTATGGCAAGAACAGCTCAAATAAGCAAAGAGAAACGACAGTCCATCATTACTTTAAGACATGAAGGTCAGTCAATACGGAAAATTTCAAGAACTTTGAAAGTTTCTTAGAGTGCAGTCGCAAAAACCATCAAGCGCTATGATGAAACTGGCTCTCATGAGGTATGTTCATTAGAGTTACCAGCCTCAGAAATTGCATCCCAAATAAATGCTTCACAGTTCAAGTCACAGACACATCTCAACATCAACTGTTCAGAGGGGACTGCGTGAATCAGGCCTTCATGGTCGAATTGCTGCAAGGAAACCACTACTAAAGGACACCAATAAGAAGAAGAGACCTGCTTGGGCCAAGAAACACGAGCAATGGACATTAGACTGGTGGAAATGTGTCCTTTGGTCTGGAGTCCAAATTGGAGATTTTTGGTTCTAACCGCCGTGTCTTTGTGAGATGCGATGTGGGTGAACAGATGATCTCCGCATGTGTAATTCCCACCGTAAAGCATGGAGGAGGAGGTGTTATGGTGTGGGGGTGCTTTGCTGGTGACACTGTCTGTGATTTATTTAGAATTCAAGGCACACTTAACCAGCATGGCTACCACAGCATTCTGTAGCGATACACCATCCCATCTGGTTTGGGCTTAGTGGGACTATTATTTGTTTTTCAACAGGACAATGACCCAACACACCTCCAGATTGCGTAAGGGCTATTTGACCAAGAAGGAGAGCGATGGCGTGCTGCATTAGATGACCTGGCCTCCACAATCCCCCGACCTCAACCTAATTGGGATTGTTTGGGATGAGTCGGACCGCAGAGTGAAGGAAAAGCAGCCAACAAGTGCTCAGCATATGTGGGAACTCCTTCAAGACTGTTGGAAAAGCATTCCAGGTGAAGCTGGTTGAGAGAATGCCAAGAGTGTGCTAAGCTGTCATCAAGGCAAAGGGTGGCTATTTGAAGAATCTCAAATATAACATATATTTGAATAACATTTATTTTACGTTTTTGGTTACTACATGATTCCATATGTGTTATTTCATAGTTTTGATGTCTTCACTATTATTCTACAATGTAAAGAATAGTAAAAATAAAGAGCAACCCTTGAATGAGTAGGTGTGTCCAAACTTTTGACTGGTACTGTTGTACAGAACATTATTAGTCAAGGACTGAAATACATTCATTTAAAAGGTCACACATAGCCTACATATCAGTACATATACACACAATTGCTGCTACCAACCACAGCAATTTACCATCCAGGTTGTCGGTACCAGGTGGTTTGTCCTTATTTATAGATAGCAGAAATGTTTTCACCTCTTCCACACCCACTTTGTGGAACTTAAAACTACAGCGCTTGTCTTTCATTATTTGGTCCATTATGCATGAATATGAACGCTCAGCATTTGTTGTTTGCATGTCATACCTACATTTGCTAATCTTGTCAACAAAAAAGCTATTAAAGTGGTTGGCAATATCAAATAATGTTGTTATGAGCAAGCCATCTGCCTCAATGAAGGATGGAGCCAAGCTTGCTTTTTTGCCTAGAAATTCATTTAAAGTACTCAAGAGATTTTTACTATCATTCTTTATATCATTTATCTTTGTTCCATAGTATAGTTTCTTTTTCTTTTTGTTTAGTTTAGTTACGTGATTTCTCAATTTACTGTATGTTTGCCAGTCTGATGTGTTGTCAGACTTATTTGCTATTCCCTTTGCCTCATCCCTCTCAGCCATACAGTTTTTCAATTCATCATCTATCCATGGGGATTTGGCAGTTCTAACAGTCCATTTCTTAATGGGTGCATGCCTATCAGTAACCGGAAGATGCAGTTTCATAAATGCTTCAAGTGCAGCATCCGGATGTTCCTTATTACACACACCAGAGCAACAAATATTTCATATCTTCGACATAGGAATCATTGCAAAACCTCTTGTATGATTGTTTATACACAATTTTAGGTCCAGTCTTTGGAACTTTGGTTTTTCTAGATTTGGCTATTATATTATGATCACTACATCCGATGGGTGTGGATACTGCTCTCTTGGATCTGAACCGGCATGTGTCTGTTTGGGTCTGTTTTTCCACGGGCCTTTTCGGAACGTGGCTGACTATCCTTGGGTCCATTCGGAACGGGTCTATGTTTAAAAATATATTTATGCACATCGGGTCGGATGGGATCAATACAGATCTATTTCGGAACAGGTCCACATTTTTTTACCCTTGAAGACCTCTAGTGCAAACCTTCCACAGGGTTGAGCTGTTCCCTGGGGTACAAGGTGTGAAACCGAACAGCACGGCTGTGTTTAACTGGCACTGGCACCAGGCAGGCAGGCAGGTCCACAGTGGGTATCAGGTCTCTCTGCAAACACCCCACACTCCCTCCTTTCCTGCCTCCCTCCCTGCCTCCCTCCTTCACTCCTGATGCTGGGCCAAAACCAAGTAAATCACAAAGCACCATGAGCACTCAAACAGATCACAGCCAATGGGGAAAGAAAATCGAAATCCATAAGGGAGAGAAAGATCTCGCCAAGACAGTAAAATAGAGGGGGAAACAAAAGCACGCTGCTGCACCCCAAATGAATAATACTGATAGAGAGAGAGCTCAGGAAATTGTCATGATGACAAGATTCTACTCTTCAAAAAGAGCAGTGCTGCTGTTGTCCCCTCACTGCAGTGTGGCTGGGGACTGTTAACACAGGGAGGCTCCTCCAAGACCATGCATGCAGATCCATATACAGTTAGGTAATAGCACTTTATGCTTTAAGAGAGACATTGGAAAGAGACGAACAACAGAGAGAGCGAGAGAGATAGAGAGAGAGGAACAACCCCAGAGCCAGGGCCTCAGACGCAGAGAGAAAGAGAGAGAAGTGGAGGGCAGGCAGGCAGGCTCACAGAGTACAGAAGAAGGCCAGGTTAGGGTGAATAACGTCCAGGTGTGCTCCCCACTGAGCTTCCTGTTTCAGTCCCCCTCCCTCTCAATAACTCTCTGCCTTTGGGACAAAGTTGAAGAATCCCAGCCCCCGTTCTCCCCCTCTTTCTCCACCCCTATGCTGTGGGAGGAGGGTAGAACGCTAAAAAAATGACATTTAGTATGATAAAAATCTCATAGAATTTCTCTAGATTTCTGGCTGTGGGAAAAGCCTTTGTGGAGAACAAACGACAATAGACAGATGTGGCAGACAGCCAGACGAGAGGAGAGGAGGAGGAGAAGTGGAGAGGAGGAGGTGGAGGTCATTTTACCATAGGGGTCAAAAAGGAAGCCCCCAGTGGGACAGACAAGGGGTTAGAGGATAGACCAATGAGGATAGGATGCACTGTGGGTCCAAAGGCACAGGTAAGAGGCCAGAGATAAATGTGGTGCAACAAAGGAGAGAGACATTCAGTGACATTAACAGTGGTGGGAAGTACTTAAGTAAAACTACTTGAAAGTACTACTTAAGTAGTTGTTTGGGGTATCTATACTTTACTATTTATATTTCTGACAAATTGTACTTTTACTTCACTACATTCCTAAAGAAATGAATGTACTTTTTATGCCATACATTTTCCCTGGCACCCAAAAGTACTCATATATTTGAATGCTTAGCAGGACAGGAAAATGGTCTAATTCACACACTTATCAAAAGAACATAGCTGGTCATCCCTACAGCCTCTGATCTGGTGGACTCACTAAACACATGCTTCGTTTGTAAACGATGTCTGAGTGTTGGAGTGTGCACCTGGCTATCCGTAAATACATTTTAAAAAATAAGAAAATGATGCCGTCTGGTTTGCTTAATGTAAGGAATTTGAAATTATTTTCACTTTTACTTTTGATACTTAAGTATATTTTAGCAATTACATTTACTAAACCAAATACTTTTAGACTTTTACTCAAGTAGTATTTTACTGGGTGACTCACTTTTACTTGAGTCATTTTCTATTAAGGTATCTTTACTTTTACTCAAGTATGACAATTGGGTACTTTTTCCACCACTGGACATTAATGAAGAGAGATGGATCACACATTCCTGGAGTTAAAACCTGGAGCTGGAGAGAATGAGCGCGAGCTTCTAACTGGGATAGACTATCTAGTCGACAAATGAAAGACATTATTCTGCACAAAGATAGAGGGAAAGTTAGAAGGACTGATTTTTATCAAGGATATGAACAAATACAACACACACAGAGTTAGATACGGAGGGTATTTTGTTTTAGAAAACTACAGCAATAGAGAGAGAGAAATGCAAAAGAGATCAATAGAAAAAGCGCCAAAAAAGAAAAGTAAAGTTGAGATAAGTAATAGTAGCATACTGAGTTTCATGGTCTTCACGGCACTGCTCTGTGGGGTGAAATACTGCAGTGGTGTAGAGGAGGTGTTGAATGAAAGAGGTTAATGGGGGACATTAGGGGTGGCCCATTGTGCTGCAGGTTCAGTCAGGTTCAAAGGACATATCAGGGGCCAATCAGGCCAAGGTGAATGAGAGGAGGGGGCTCTCTAAGGGCTCTCCATACTGGTCCCCGCTCTGTATCAGTGAACTCCCAATGAAAATACCTAAACACCATCAAAGTACCAGAGCGAGGCCTTGAAGGGGTTGTGGAAGACAAGTGGATTTCACAAAGCAGTCTGACACAGTGAGCCTGAATGGACTCACCCACATCCAGCCCAGCTGTGGCCAAGACAACAGGTTGGAGTTCACCTGTGATGTGTGTGTGTGTGACTGTAACTGTCAGCTCCTCTGTTGGGGGTAGTTGGGGGTAGTTCAGGAGAATGCGTGGTGAGGCTGAGGGGAGGTGGTGATGGGTCAGGCTCTAGAGGTCCCACAGGGAGTAGCCTGTCTGGCAGTCAGACCATGACTTCCCCTCCTCAGGCAGGCAGCTCAGGAAATAGCTGCTTTCTTAACCCTTCCCTCTGCTTGGCTCCAATAGTCATCATTAAGGCCAAGGGTGAACAGACTGCTGCACTGGGCTGGCTACTCTACAGAGGGACGGTACAAGTCAAGAGCTCACTCAAGTACTGTTAATCCCTTCCATTTGCATAGGTGGTACTATTTATATTGAACAGGTTGTTGAGGCATGCAGTTGTTTCTAGTTGTTACCCAATGTCACTAGTCGCATTGCCTTATTGTAAGAAAGCATAGTTGTTTACTACGATTATTTTTGATACTGTAATGGCTTTGATACTGTAGTGTTTCTACTTGCCACCTGCTGTCACTAGTCAGCATTGCCTCAATTGTAAGAATGCATAGTGGTTTACTTAAAATTATTTTTTATACTGTAATGGCCATGTGATTTTTTGCAAGCTCTGATGCTTGACGTATTGCACTCTGATGTTTTTCTGGCTTGTGTCGTGTACATGTTCGTTACTGACGTGCTGCTTATTGTATTGATGTAATTTTTTGCCTGATTGTATGTCATGTGCCTGTTTGTGTGGTACTGACGTGTTGATGCTGCGGTCTTGGTCCAAGTCTCTCTTGAATTAAAAATAATAATAATATGTTGTTCTGGTTGCTGGTCTGAATCTAGCACTAGGTAGGTAGGACTGGAGACTTCTTTCAGTCATTGTTATCTCTTGACCAATACTCATTATCTCTTGAACACCCTTCCCTTGTTAAAATCAACTTTCATCTCTCTCAGTACCTCTGTTGTCAAGAAATTGTTCAATGCTTTGTATGTGGACAAAGGACTTGGGACTTTAAGAATGTTACAGTGCTCCTACTATGGCCTTGTGAGCGGAGAGGACAGCCCTCTGTCCTACACAGAGCTAATGGTAATGCCCCAGACTGGTCTTGCTGACACACACCATAGACATGCCTGTCTACATGAAGCAGCCTAGACAGACAGCAGGTGGAGGGAGATTAGCTATGCAGCTCCTCTAATGTCATGTCAAACCCACTGACCCCATCCTCAGACCAGGGCTGACTCACTAGAACACCCCCCACTCCACCACTCCATACTCACTTCCCTTCCTCCCCAGCCTAGCTAAACATCAAACAGCATCCATGTAAACTGTAAACTTCACCTCTTCCAAGCCCAAATGCATTAGAGCTGCAGCTGCATGTGTTTAGTAAACATGTCCACCAACCACGGCACATGAGTGACAGAGAGAGGCTCAGGGTGTGGGAGTGAACCCAGCACCAGCGGACCAAGGCCAGGATCTCTCTGCACCATCTGGACACTTCCAGGGACACTTCACCCATCAGGATGATCCTCCACCCACTGCCCCCCACCACTCAGAACCTGAGAGCATAAATATTAGTGTGATGGGGGATTTAATCACATCCACATTGGCTGGCTGGCCTCTGTGAAAAACGTGTTCAGAAGGGAAGCTGGTGTTTTCCCCCCTCTGTGTTTAGTCTGAGGGCTTTGCTCACAGAACCACCCTCATCAACAATCCTGCTGTCATATGGAACACTCACCTCTGAGGATCACAGGAGAGGAACACACAGAGAGAGTACTAAACAGAGATCTGATCATCTCACACAAATTATTTGTATATTTGTGCAAAGAACGATAAATACTACCTTTATTCAGCAGATCCACTTTATTACAACATAAAACAGACCAGTGTTGTCCATTCACTACCCATTCCCATTGTAGAGCTCCCAAGATGAGAGGGCTGAGTTGGTGGTTTTTAACCGTCTTTAAGGATGTGTATGGGGCTTAGTGGAAGAGGACTGAGCCTGGTCAGATGTGAGGAGGTCCCTGACAGCTGAGCGGGAGCAGATGTTGGAGAGAAGAGAGAGGTGCAGAGAAGAGAGAGGTGCTGCTGGACAGACTAGAGCACAGTTTAGAGACAGCACTTCTCTCACATGACAGGAGCCAACAGGCCACCCAGAGCGATAGTGGGCAGGCCAGGCAGGCAAGCAGAGACAATGAGGATGGGACAGTGTGCTGCTTGGACAGGAAAAAGGAAAACCCAGTGTGAAGAAGACAATGAGACCTGCTAGATGGATAGGAGACGGATGGAATGGGAAAAGCTCTGTCATTGCTGGTTGTATAAACAAGCAGAAAAAAGGGGACCTTGAGGATATGGATGGAATTGATAACAATAGGAGGTTAGTTATAATTATATCTGAAAATAAATAATTGTATTTTAGTCAACTAAAATGAATTGTGGATAGAGTATTTATTTAGGAACATTAAATGTAGCCTAGTCTATGAAGGTGTCACACTGTGAATATGTATTATGAATGGTATGCACACTAAAGCAGGTAGTTTTGTCTGAAAGGATGCTTCAAGGACACAGCACCTTTGAGTGAGACTTTGACAGGTTTGTTTTATTATGCCTTATGAAGATCTAGCCTACTGTAGCCTACTTACAGTCTCATCAACATTTCCATGAAAGGTTATAACTAGGCTCTAATACACGAAATTAGAAGATGCACAACAATAAATGATCATGCATTTATCCATACCTTTTTTGATAAATAGAGGTTTGAG